TGCCCTCGTATAATAACTCTATCATAGTGTCATCTCTGATAGTTTCTTTTTATTTTCATTTTGAGTTGTATTTTTCAGTTTCTTTTTATTTTCATTTTGAGTTGTATTTTTCTGCTTTGCAGTTCTCATAACATTTTTATTGGATTCTAGATATCTTGAATTTATCTTTTGGTTCTGGATATTTTATTATTCTTTTAAATATTTTTGGTCTTTGTTCTGGAATACAGTTAATTTACTTGGAAACATTTTTATTTTTTTCAAACTTTCTTTGTTGGGCAGGATCAAAGTAGCATTTAAACTTGGGCTAATGCTTCCCCTTGACTAAATATGTACTTGATGCCTTGTTCATTACAAACTTTTCTACTTTAGCTGGTGATAACATGTTCTCCACTCCAACAATCCTCTCCCTTCCTCTCTGATTGTTCTTTCTCTGGCCTCAGGTAGTTCCTCCTACATGTACTTATTGTTACTAAGCACAAAATGTGAAAGAAACCCTCTGTAGATGTCTGGAGTACTCTCTCTCTGTCTCTCTCCCTCTCTCTCTCTCTCTCTCCATCTCTCTCTCTCCCTCCCTCCCTGCCTTCTTCCCTCCTTCTCTACCTCCCTCCAACCTTCTCTCTGCAGTCCTCCTAGGAGCTTGTCTCTTCTCTCCTGTACTCTGCTCTGTGAAACTAGCTGTACTGGTGTCTCCAAATTTTAGTATCTCTCTTTAAGTCGAGGAGATTATCTATCTGAGTTTGTGGCCTGAAAACTCTTTCTATGAAGTAAGCTGACCAATCAGAGCACTCATCTCAAATGCTCAACTTTATGTTAGGGATCACTGAACTATCTTGCTTATTGTTCAATGTCTGAGAACTGTTGTCCAATTTTTTAGATGTCTATTCCTCTTAGAAGCTGTGATCCCAAATAAATGTTTTATACCATTCTCTGGAAACTAAGTGCTTTCATAGTTTACAATAGATGAGGTTCTTCCTGGGACTTCAGAGTTAGATCTTCCAGATGCTCCTGGGTAGGTGCAAGGATAATGATTTGTGCATTTTGCTGTCTCCTATCTGTTTCAGATATATTTGCCTTGTCCTTTTATTTAGTTTCCTGAGGTCAGACATCCTATATATCTTATATTTTTTCTTTCTTTTTTTAAAGAGTTCTGAGTACAAATACACTGTATCTTATATTTCTGTCTCCATCCCAAACTATACACATTTACTTGTTTTGTTTTGAGACAGGGTGTCACTATATAGTCCAGACTGGCCTGGATGTGTAGCTCAAACTTTGATCCTCCTGCCTTCTAAGTGCTATTACAGGTTTGTGCCACCACACCTGGCACTTTAGACACATTTGCTTTTAACTATTACTCAGCCACTGAAAATTCTCCTGGAGGTGTTAATAAATAATGCACCTAGGATTAGAGTGTGTTAAGCATCAATGCCATATAGTCAAATGCCACTATCTATCTATCTATCTATCTATCTATCTATCTATCTACATATATACATATTTATATAGTCACCACTACTCCCAGGTGCTCAGCTGAGAAATTTTTTATCCTCCAGATTGGTTAATAATATCTCTTCAAGATAATAAGTTCTTAAGAAAATGCAGATAATTCTAAATTGCAAAGTAAAGAACCAGTTCTTTGGTAACTGGAAGCACTGATTCTGCATATAAAAGTATATCTGATTATGAGCCAAAGTAAATATCAGTAAAGTGATATTCAATTAGGTCATTTTGTTATTTTGCTTTTTTCTCTAATGAATTTCCACTAATTTTATTCTGAATAGAAATAGCAAAAAATTAAAATTACTTTCTTATCTGCTATAATATTAAGAAAAACATAGAATGGATTTCATTCACTCTGTCCATGAGAAATACTCCATTATTCAACAATAAATCTATCTGGGCATCTGTTCCTGATGTAGAGGGAAGATATTAAATGCTCTGTTCTCATGGTGTATTTCCTCTCAGTACTGTTTATATATGGAAGGTTTGTTTAGGTTATTGGTGTTATATACTTATAATATGTGAAGAACCATGGGTTCATCCAACAAATCTTTGTTGAATACCTCATACATTCCAAACATTTCTGTGGGCACTGATGTAGTAGAAATGAACAAAACGCACCCATGGAGCTTATGTTTGAGGAAGATGAAGGGCAGTAAAATAGATAATAAATAGGTAAGGAAAGTGGTCAGGGCTCTAAAAATAATAAAGCAGGGGCTTGATGGGAAAGGGTTCTGTTTTAACATAGAGTGGTCAGAGAAGGCCTCTCTCATACTGTCTGGCACTATGGCAGAGATATGATGAAGCATGGGGACTAGTTAGCCAGACAGATTAGTTAAGGGAATCATTTCAGGTTGAGGGAAAATTACAAGTGTAAATGAGCTGAGGCAGGAGTGGGCTTGGTATATTTGAGTGAAACTAGCAGAGTAAGAAGAGAATGTTAGGAAGTAGAGTAAAAATATGAGGGAGTCAAATAAGATAGTGCAGTGTATAGCAAAGTCAGTGCATTTTGTTTGATGAAATAGCAAGCTATAGGAAAAGTATTGAGCACAAGAGAAACACAGCCAAATTTATATTTTAAAATATTACTCTAGTTGCTATGAGACAATAGATATTGGCAGTATGAGGGTAGAAGCAAGAACAGTGCAAAGGCTACTGTCATGTGCCTTATGATGGTTTGGCCTACAGTGTTGGCATAGCAGGTGGTGAGAAGTGGTTAACTTTTAGATATAATTCAAATGCCTATGCTGAGTGAAAGAAATCAGACAAAAAAATACATACTGTAGAATTCCATCAGATTCTAGAAAATGCTAACTAATCTATAGTGACGAAAGATTTAGTAGACAAACAGGAGAGGGGAAGGACAGATTATAAAGAGGCATAAGGGATGATTTGAGGATGATAGAAGTATTCATCTGTCAATGAAATCTATTGAAACTGAATGGTCTCTAGGGTGAATCCATGTCAAAACTTAATAAATTATAGACCTGGAAGCATGGCTCAAGTGGTGAAGAAACTTATCAAATTGTATACTTTAAACGTATACAATTTCCTGTGGGTTAATGATACCTCAATAAAGCTATTAAAATAAAGGCATAGGATTGTGTGATGGATTGGACTTGGGGTGTGAGAGAAAAAAGATCACGGATGGTTTGTAAATTTTGGTACCACCCAAAGGGTGTCTGTCCATGACCTTACCCACTGTAAAATCCTCCGTAGTACATTGTTCTAGTGGGACCTCTCATTGTTCTAACATACAAACATTTGTGAGTATCGCCTTTTCATCTTTTTCTTTATTCAGCATTATGGGTTACATTGTGGATCACAGTCTTTTCTCTGGATTTTAAAGAATCCAGTGGATTTGTTGTTCAAGATTGAGAGGACTACAGTGAGAAGCCCCTGGTCACAGACAAATGTAAACCATTCCAACAAGGATTGAAGTGTCAGGGCTACTTTTCACTGATCGCTTGTGACTTAAAAAATATAGACAATTCAGTTACATCATGATCGAAGTAAGGTTTTGCTCTCTAGTTGGCAAGAAAGTACAACTGGATGGAGGATTTTAAATTGTGACTAAGAGGGAATGTGCTAGGTAGGCAGGGGTGTGGTTCAAGTGATAGAGTGCCTATCTAGCCCTGAGTTCAAACCCCAGTACCACCAGAGAGAGAAAGAGAGAAAGAGTGAGCGAGAGCAGGTACTACATGAGTTTGAATCTTAGCTTCATCACTAACTAGATGTGTGAATGCTTTGATTTACTCATCTTAAGATGAACTATTATTGTGAAAGTTAAATGATCTATACAAAAACTGTAGAATAGCAACTGGGCATATAGAAAGCACTCAGTAAACACGAAGTAGTATTGATTATCATTACTTCTCTCATTATTATTTTTCGGGTTTAGTTTTTTTTATTTGGTGTTCCTGGGGTTTGAACTTGGGCCTCATGCTTGCTAGGCAGGTGCTCTGCCACTTGAGCCACTCTGCCAACCCTTTTTTTGTGTTGGTTATTTTCAAGAGAGGGTCATGTAAACTATTTCCTCAGGCTGGCCTGTAAGAGCCATCCTCCTGATCTCTGCCTCCTAAGTGGCTAGGAGTACAGGTGTGAGCCTCCAGCGCCTGGCCTCTTCATTTTTTTGTCAGTTGGTTTCCACTAACTTATGGACTTTTGACTTATCTCGTCTCCCACAGCATAGTAGGGCTTTGTCCAATGTCTGAAACGGGAGCACAAAATGGAAGCTCAGTCCATTGGTGTGAATTAAATTACTTCCGTTATGAGTAAAGACAAGAATCTCAATCGCAGCCAGAGGACCACTGGCTACCTCTGTGTACCCCCACGGGTACCCATCTTAAAAGAACAAGCAGGCCATAGTCTCTAATTTCCATCTTCCATTCCATTCACTTTTTCCTTTCCTAATCAAAAGGAATCCGTGGGGTTCACAAAGGAACCCCTGGGAGTCTAAAGTGGGATGGGGGAGAATCTGGAAACAAGAGACAAATTGTGACAAATCGTGGGTGGGATTTGGTAGTTCAGAAAAGGAGGTACCAAACTAAGAAGGAGGGTTTGGGAAGTGGGGGGATGGGCTAGTTCAGGATGGACCAGAAATAGTAAACTGATGAACGAGCCAGAAAGGAACTGTTGGGCTGGCAAGTGGGGGAGGGGGGAGCGAAGACTAGAGTCACGCGGGGGGGGGGTCGCCCGTTAGGGGACAGAAGCAAAGGCAGCTGATTGGACGAGGGAAAAAAAACTCAGAATTCAGTTGCTTAGGCAGCGACCAAACAGAAAACGCTGGGGGAGAAGGACGGAGCTTGGGCGTCGTCCGCACGGTCCCCAGCATCTCTCTCTTAATTCTCTACTGACGTGTCGGTAGCGAACTGTTCAACCCAACCCAGGTCGCCTCTTCTCGGTGCCCCGCTCTCCCCCGCCCCCTGTCCCCTCCCCCGGCGCCGCCCGCCGGCGTCCGCCCAGCCTCCTCGTCCGCGTCACTGACTGCCGAGATGACCACAACATGGCTGCGGCGCCGGTGCTGTTCGTCTGGCTGCTAGTTCTCTGGCTGCCCTGGGGCGTGCCGAGCCCGCCAGACCCCAGCACCAAAAGGCGCTTCTCCGAGCAGAAAATCTGCGCGGACGAAGAATGCAGCCGTGAGTGTGCGGACCGACGGGAGGGCAGGCGTGTGGGTGGCCGGGGGGTCACCGCAGTGGCGCCTCCTGGAGTCGGAGCCCCTCAGCTCGGTGGCTGGCGTACGGGGTCGCAGGCCCCGTGGGCGGAGTACCGGGATGGCCGAGACCCAGGACCCTGCGTTTGTCCGCTCGGGCTCTGCAGGCGCCCGACCAGCCGGCCCTGACTGTAGGGGACTACACCTCCCACTTGTTGCCAGCCTTTCCTTTCTCCGCTGCTGGCTGAGGCAAAGGGCTGGGCTGGGGCCCCCGATCCCGAGGGACAGCTTCCAGCTTTCCTCTTCCCCGATCCGCCCTGGGCTCCCCAAGCCTTGCTGAGCGCTTTCCTGCCCTCGCCGCTGGAACCTGGGTCGGCGCGGGAGGAAGGCAGATGCTCTGAGGGATCGGTGGGCGCAATCCGAGTGGCAGTTGATAGTGGGGTTCCCCAGTAAAGGTGCCCTGGCGCAGCCCCTTCGCACTTCAGCTACACTGGGATTTGGGCTTGGGCGCCTTTTGAACGGAGACTGGAGTGAGAGGTTTGGGACGAGCCCCCGAGTCCAGGCATGCTGTGTATTTCCAGGTCTCCACCCTAACTGCTTCAATCCTGTTATTTCTGTGCATAGAAGCCTGTTTGCAAGTTGCCAGGTAGGGCAGCAGAAAGGCCAAATCCTTTCGTTCTTGAAAAAGGCCTAAAATCTGCATCCACCACCTGAGAACCTCAGCCTAGTCATCTGTGCGCAGGAAGCGGAATTGCGCCTCGGTCCTGGATTGGAGGTGGGCGGTGGGGAGGGCGCAGATCTTCAGACTTAGGTGAACAGGTCTGTTACAGTAATGGCAATAATAAATGCTCCAAGGGTCTTCTAAGCCAATCCAGCCCTAGCTTAAGTCTCTTGGGTTGCTGGGAGGAATCCTTTCCTATGTATTTGCCCACCCACAATTCTTTTGGGGTGCAGGTTGGTCTCCAGTAAAGTTGTAATTTACTGACGATGTTATTCATAAATTATAAGCAATCCATATAGAAAATAGTTCATTGTAAAAAGGCCCCAAAGCCTACAGTTTAGCTCTCTGTGTTCCAATTTGTTAACAAAATTAGATTTAGTAATTTTAATTGTTTGTGTCACTCTAATAGCATTAAAGAAATCGAAAGGATGCACCTGTAATTTATGTTAAACTATTCCTAGAGCTAGTCCTAGGGCCGAGGTGAGAAAACACTGCAAAATCGGAACAAGTGCCATTATTTTCCCCTTCTGTTTTCCCTGAACAAAATTGGCCTATTCTCATTTTGCCATTAAATATGGCAAAATGTTTGCTGTTCTTTGCTATCATGCACCATCCTACCTGATTTCCTCAAAACAAGTTACCTGGAGACTCACATCACAATTGCTTTCTCAGAATAGGCAAGCTGTTAAAGGGCTCCCGGTTGTAACATAACTTGGGAAATGGACTGTGTCCAAACAGATGTCACCAAACACAACCAGCAGTAGGAGGAGCAGGGCTTGGGTCTATGTTATATTGTATGAAGGGTTTGGGTGAAGTGTGTTTTGTCAGGTGTCCTTGTGTGCTTTGCAAATAGGTGTTCCAGTGTTAACTGATGATTATTTTTTCTATCTTTATATGCAGTACTAATGTACCGGGGTGAAGCTCTCGAAGATTTCACAGGCCCGGATTGCCGTTTTGTGAATTTTAAAAAAGGTGACCCTGTGTATGTCTATTATAAACTGACAGGGGGATCACCTCAAGTTTGGGCAGGAAGTGTAAGTAAAAATTTAACAATCTTTATTTTCTTACTTTGGATTGAATTACTTAGCAATTCAATTTAAACAACTGTTTTCTTGGGGTCTAGAATGGGAGTAACCTAGACTGAAAAAACAAGATGGTCCTGTGATCCTAGCAGGCCTCAGGCCTGGCACAGAGGCTCAGTAGAGACTCCTGAAACTGAACCAAACTAATTCTGGTTACTCCCCCTCAGCATCAAGTTCCAGAACACTACTTAAACCATAAAGGTTGACGTTACATGATGAATGCGTGAAAATTCTTAACTGTAAATTCATTGCTTCCAAAAGGAAGTATCCATGGACATTAGACTTAATCTTGTAAACTATGTGCAAGATACTGTTTCATACATGCAAGTTTAAAGATAACTTTATGTATCTCTTTTTTCTATATTAATAATATTTGTTAAAAAAAAAAGTGTTGGCCCTGGAAGAGAATCCTGTTTGATTCTTAGTCTGTTAAAAAAGCAACCTGTTAGCCGGGTACCGGTGGCTCACAAGTATAATCCTAGCTACTCAGGAGGAAGAGATCAGGAGGATTCGAAGCCAGCCCAGGCAAATGGTTCACGAGACCCTATCTTGGACAAATCCACCACAAAAAAGGGTTGGTGGAGTAGCTCCAGTTGTAGGCCCTAAGTTCAAGCCCCAGTACTGAAAACAAAACAAAACAAAAAAAAAAAACTGTTGTGTTCTCTGTGTGCTTTTTTTTTTTTATTTTTGTTTGTCATCCTCTCCCTGCTTTTCAGAAACTTGGTGCCTGGAAGTCCCCCCCAAGTCTTCTGTTCCCAGCCAGCTTTATGGATGTCTTGATGTCAGACATCAGTGACTTCATCATGTTCTGATGTTCTTAATCAGAAGATTGTCTAGCAGTGACCTGGTTGAGAGGTTTAGGAGTATTGTCCTTTCCTTTTTAAAAAGTGTGATATGTATATGTGGAATCTTTGTTTACTTAAAGTAGTAGCAAGTATCCTTGATGCCCTTAGGATTATTCTGACTTAGAACTGTTCCCAGTCCCAAATGTGAGAGATCATGCCCTCAATGAACACCACACAGACAGAAAATAAGACTCTAGAAATGCCTCATGAGAAAAATAGGTTTATTTTGTTATTCCATATTTCTCACGAAGAATCTTGAAACATCAAGTGGTAAGGTACAACTCTTTATTTAGACAGAATCCCAGTTGCATCACTCCATATAAAAAATCTATTCTGTTTCTTTCAAATCTCTAATTGGGATGTCTTGATAGCTTTCACTCTTGGAACTGTTCTCCGTGTTCTTCATGTCTTTCTTCCTTTTGTCATGTCTTATTCTTCCTCCTTTTGTTATTTCCTTACAAGATGGAGGCACTTAATTATGTTTGTTCTGATACTGGCTGATGCAGAATTTATTCTCTTGAGGCAATTCTTTTAACTCCTCCACCCCCAAATCAAACCAAGAGTACCATGGCAGTGATAATACATGGAAGCAAAATTAGACATAAAAATTGCTTCCAGTCTTGAGGACCCATGATTCTATGCCATTTTTCATCAGATCATTAAGAAATGAGATACCACCTGGTATATTAATTGTGGAGCTTTATATAACATATGTCTCAATGGATAAAGATTAAATTTTTATCTTTCCTTTCTCCATATGTCTCTGGTTCCTTTCCTTTTTTTAGATTCAACCTTAATAGAATTTTCCTCAGAGGTGAAAAGTGTATTTACCCATAGACTCCCCTCATTTTATGAGCCTTATAATTAAGAAATTAAAAACCCTCTCTTCTTCTTTTCAAAATGACTCTCATTCCTGCTTCTTAGTTCTCATTTTGCAGTCTTTTGTTTTGTTTTCTTAGAATTTCAGACTTTATCTGCCAGTAATGCAGCTTTTAATTGCCCTGTCTTATCTAATCTTCATAGCAGTATTGTACCGCTAATACTGGCCTTCAAATGGTTTCCAGATATAACAAGAGCACTCTTGAATGGGGATATTTTAGAATTAGGGATAAGATGACCCTTTTTTCTATTTGTGTACTTGATTTGCAAATCAGTCCTCTTTAATGATTTGGGAAAAGATACTGTTTCAGATAGTAGCTCAGTAAAAGACAGTGTGTTCTCAAGGGGAAATTTATGTACCTTATATACACTTTATGTAGCATAGCTGTTGGTGCCAAAAATGTTTATTTTCTGTACAGGTTTTATTTTGTATGGAACTAAAACTTGGTGTATAGATATAAGCCTGTGTTTCCTTGAAATTTAATTTCCCCTCAAACACTTATAAATGCAGTTTTTGAAAATGCTAGCACAGCATGAAATATCAGTAAGTATTTGCCATTTTTTGTGGTAGTCATATAGTTCAGAAATTTTGTATTCTTTTTACTTATTAATTTTCATGGCTGTAATTTAAGGAAGATACAAGTACTGGCTTCTAAGCAATGCTATAAAATGTGTGGGTAAATTCTTAGTAGAGGTTATTTGGAAATATGTCTCTAACCAGCTTATGATTTTCACAATTTTAATCATATAGTAAATAATAATCTTATGCAGATCTTTTAGTTACTTCTAAATCTAACTTTGTGTGTCAGGTGTTTAGAATTAAACTGGATATATAAAAGAAAACATCAATGGTTTTGGAAATGTTGGTTTAACAATATTATGGATTTAATTCTTACTGGATTAATAATATCAGTGTAATTATTTCAATAATATTCTCTCTCTCTTGTGTATATCTACCTACTCTCTATGTGTATATTTCCTGTCACTACTAAGAAGTCTCTCATTTATATTCCTCATATAGATTTGATTAATATTTGACTCCTTTGCCCATTCATTCATATAGGTTGGACGTATCTTTGGATATTTCCCAAAGGATTTAATCAAGGTACTCCATGAATACACTAAAGAAGAACTTCAAGTCCCTACAGATGTAAGTTGTAGAGTTCTGTTTTGTTTTCAACTATAAGTTAGCCTATACATTCATCAGTTGTATTCAGTTAACTGTTTTCAAAAGTCTTTGAATATGTTTTGGTCATATTCACACCTAACATTTGTGTATCAGATTTTAATTTGGAATCATTTTCCAGAGTTTTAAAATTTATAGTAATTGGTGCTCACCTTCATTGAATCATCCTTCGGCAGCTCTTTGGAGTGGCTCAGCGCATACAAGCTGCTGGGCTAGGGCAGTTCTTAGTTGAGATAGACAGAATGAATAAAGTCACAGAGCTTTTTCTATTCTTAAAATTTCTTGATAATCTCAGGAGCCATGACATCAGTCCTATTGCCTGTTGGGCCTTACTGCTGATAAAGAGACTGGCTGGCATATAAATGAGAGACAGCAGTATGTTAATCACAGAGACCTCACCTGTTTTGGATTCTGCCTTCTTAGTATACTTCCCCATTGGTATTAAGAAAATGGCTTGGCAGGTGGAGGGGCCCTGGTGGAGCGGTGCGAGTGGTAGAGTGTCCACCCAGCAAGTGTGAGGCCTTGAGTTCAAGCCCCAGTTCCACCAAAAAAAAAAAGAGAGAGAGAGAAAGAGAAAATGACTTGGAAATGCATGTGATGGGCAGAAGAAATCATTCTGTTGAATATTATGAAGGTTTGGTTAGGAGGCAAGTTATTTTTGTTGGTTTCTTAGCTTTCCACTCAGTTTATGGCTCTTTTTATGCTAATTTGCTTACTAGTGGAGAAAGGGCGAGAAGATACATTTATGGATAGCCCCTGAAAGCACATCTTAATGGCTGCCTAGAACCCTAATTTAGAGACAGTATATACATCTTGCTGACTTTTGCTTTCAAGTTGTTCTTGTGGTAATAATAAAAGTGGGAGTGCCCTTGACATCATTCTTTGGCACTTCAAATTTTTACTTCCCATGCATCTGTACCTCAGTAAGATACCTCTTAAACTGATTTATCTTTCTCAATCCAAGGAAAAATATTTGCCAAAATCCATGTAAATTTAGAGCCTGATAGGAAGGTGATTCTGCCAATTTCTAGTTGGGTGAGCAGAGTATTGTGTAGAGGACTAAATGGTCTTCCAGCTTCTCCTGGAAAGATTATTATCAGGTGAATTCCCAAAACATCAGCTGTAGATATAAGGAGTGTGGGACCCAATACATAGATACCCCACTTTCCCCTCTCTTTTGCTCAGAACAAATTGAAGACATAGTGTCAGGCAGATGGACCAAAATGCCACTATTATTTATTTATTATGATTTTTAAAGAATATGACCCATATTTTAAAATAATGCAGAATTAATGGACTTTCTAACTTCCCAGTCTAGAATAAGAAAGACTTAGCCATGGAAGAGCTGGCCAACTAGGAGCCTACCTAAGGGTCACTGTCCCTATAAAACTCACAGCATGGGGGAACAGAATATTTATTTATCCTTTGGCAATCCCAGATAGCAAACATAAAACAGGGATGGGGTCGAACAAACTCACCAACCACGTGAGTCCTTCTTCTCTTGAGGAAGAGAGAATGAAGGGAAATGAAGACTATTACTCAGGTAGAAAGTGGGTTCCAGCCTCCCATTTCTACACATCCAAAGAACAGTCATTGCCCAATGTTGATCCAAAGCCCTCCCTGAGCCAAGCGTAATTTTCAAATTATCTCTCATTAGCATGAGTAAGAGTTGCTCTTGTGACACTTGATTGTTGACACCTTAATGTTTTTCTTTCACTTACAGGAAACAGATTTTGTCTGTTTTGATGGTGGAAGAGATGAATTTAATAATTACAACGTAAAAGAACTTTTAGGGTTTTTGAAATTGTATGATTCCGCAACTGACCATTCTGACAAAGGTATAGAAAAAGTTTCTCAGGGTGTAGAAAAACCTCCTGACATATCTGAGGAAAGTGAACCTGAACCTGAGTTAGGAGATGCCAACTCAGAGGAAAGAGAAAGTGCTTTCTTAGAAAGCACTAAAGAACTAGAGGAGCAGTATTTGGCTCTGAAGAGCCAATTCCATGAAAGCACTCAAGCAGATAATGCTCAAGAAGAGTATTATGCATTTGATCCTTTTGAAGAAATGTTGCAAGATAAATTACAGGTGCCAGAAAGTGAAAACAAAACCAGCAATATTTCTCAGGTTTCAAATGGACAGAAGATTGACACATACAAACTTTTGAAGACAGAAATGACTCTAGACTTGGAAACAAAATTTGGCTCAACAGCTGATGCACTCGTTTCTGACGATGAGACAACCAAACTGGTTACTTCGTTAGAAGATGATTTTGAGGAGGACTTGGATCCTCAGTATTATGTGGTAGAAAATGAAAAAGAGGAGAATACAGACAACTCTGATGAATTATCATTATTAACATTTATGGATGGAGAAAATGTGAAAACACCAATGAAGTATGGAATAGAGAAACAGTCAACAGATAAAGAGCAAAATTCAGATGAAGGGGATACAGTTGAGGTGACTCTACCCCCTGAAATAAAAAATGATGATAAAAATATACTGACAACTTTGGAGGATACTTTCTTCTCTGTTGTCACAGGAAGTGATGAAAAAGCAGGTATGATGAATTCAGAGATTTCTAATTCAGAGAAAGAAAAGGAGGATGACGATGTATTAGTCCCAGATAGCAAACAGGGGAGACCACAATTGGCAATGGGTTACGTTGACCCTGAGAATGCTGAAGATGGTCTTTCTGTGGATGTCTCTAAAACAAATGATGACTTCGAAATGGACACAGAAGTTGACATTAAAGGAAAAGGGGAGGACATTCAGGAGTCCAAGCAAGGCTTGGTGCAGGATGAGTCAGAATTAGTGGGTGTAAAGCTAGAAGGTGCTGCACACAGTTCTCCTCAAAATAACAAGCTCATCTTGCCAGCTGCTAAAAAGGAAAAACACACATTAAAAGCAGCATCCAAAAACAAAGAAAATGACCTAAAAGAAGCAATTATTCATATCTCAAAAGAAACACTTCATGAAGAAAAATCTGGAGAGCAGCTTTTGGACAATAGCTCAGAGAGTAAATCTCTACATAAAGGTATGAGGAGTCAGATGACTGAAGAAAAGAATAACCAGGAAACTTTGGGTGTCACACCACTCTTGAGAGAGAATAATGCATCCAAAGATAGGACAGAGGAGGTAGGTGTTTCAGTAAGTGGACCAAAAGCGCATATACATTCAATGGAGAATCAACATCATGTATTTAAAGTGAAACAAGATCTTAAAACTCAAAATCAACCAAGATTCTCCTCTTCAGGGGACGTTGGTTTGTCAAGAAAACTGGAAGAAAAGGTCCCTGTCCTGGGAAGAAATATTTCTTGGCAGCAAGAAAGTGACGTAGCTGTCACAGTCAATAAGCAGGTAAATGAGAAGATAGGACTCTCTGAAGAAGAGGGCACAGAGAATCCTGCAGATGCACAGTTGGCTTATCACCAAGCAACACAGGGGACACAGGAAGTAGAAAAAACTGAGCAGTCAGACAGCATGGAAGTATCACATTTTCATACTGAAAAACCAGAAGCAGATGAGGACGATTATCCGTCTGAAGAGCTCCTGGAGGATGAAAATGCTCTCAGTGCAGAACGGTTTAAAGAAACACATCTAGGTATTCAGAATAAGAGGTCAGATGTTAATCTGCAAGTTTCTGAAGAAGTAATTTCAGTGACCGTTAAACCTGAACCAGAAACTGAAAGAAAAAAACAGGAAACTAATATGATTGTGGAGATTGAAAAAACAAGTGACACTACATCCAAAGGGGCAGACAGGATGGGCAGAGAATCAGATAATGTAGTAGTGGGCAGAAAGGAAAGCCCTTTGGCAGATGAGAAAGCCCAGAGACCATCTGAAGTAAGTGTCTTTCCTGACAAGAAAATAGTTCAGACTCCAAAGTTAGGTGAAGTATTTCAGCATAAAGATCCTGATGATCTGGAAAAAGATAGCCATGAGGAACATCTGAATACCTCAGGACTTGTGAAAAAGCCTGGGGAAGAAGAAATCTCAAATGAGGACCCTGAGGGCATAGAGAAACTCATGGGCACAGACAGCCAGGGCCCTGCTCCAGAAGATCCTGAAGATGACTTACTGCACTGGAGCCCACCTATAGCTCTGGAGCCAGAGCTCAGTGGGCTCAGAGAGGACTTACCTATTATATGTAGCTTCTTCAAAGAACAGCATTCCCTGCAGCGGTTCCTGAAGTACTTTGATGTCCATGAACTGGAAGCAATGCTACACGAAATGTCATTAAAGTTGAAGTCCGCACAACAGGAAAGCCTGCCCTACAACGTGGAAAAAGTCCTAGATAAGGTCTTCCGTGCCTCCGAGTCACAAATTCTTAGTGTGGCAGAGAAAATGCTTGACACTCGAGTGACTCAAAGTAAAGATCCGGGAGTGAAGGAGAATAGCATATCTGAAGAGGTTGCAGTGCTAGACGATATTCAAGACCTGATCTACTTTGTCAGGTACAAGCACTCCATGGTGGAGGAAACTGCCCCACTGATCACAGCCCCCCCACCAGAGGAAAGATGGGCTGGAGCAATGGAAGGTAAAGTACCTGTCTGTGATCTTGTAGAGTTAGGCTGGAGAAACCAGTGGTGGTAGTAGTAGTAGTAGTAGTAGTAGTAGTAGTAGTAGTAGTAGTAGTGTGTGTGTGTGTGTGTGTGTGTGTGTGTGTGTGTGTGTGTATGGGGGGAGTGTTTCACCAAATTGCTTCATATCTTATTTGAAGTCTGGTCATTGTGTCCACGTCCCCAAGGAGAAGGCCAACACAAGCCCACTTGTCCCTCGCTTCTTTCTTTTAGGCTGGAGCATGGAGGGAGATTTCTTAGTTTTTCCTTAGGACAGTTGAGATTGGTTAGTTTTTTCAGAAGGAAACTTTATAAAAAGCTAAATAGAAATGATCATGAAAATAACAATGGATTATGTCCTGAGCTTAGTGAAGGAGATGGGTTCACTCTGGCTCTTGGAGGCACTTGTAAATATTTGAAAGCTACTCTGGCTGCCCATGTGTGGACTGTCCTTCCCCATTTTGTCTCTGAGAGACATGCTGTGTGGATGAGAGAGTTTTATAGTGTTTTACATTTCTGCTCTTGACAGGAATTCGCTTCTGCACATTTATTATGTGGGCATATGCTGATTTTCAGGGGGAGTTAAGTTACTGAAGTTCTTTCCATAAATGTGTTTAATTTATGAAATACCCTGGGATAATAGATTCTCTGTACATTTGACAAGGTAGAACAGTCATCCTTTAATTAGTATAAATAAATGGAAACTCCTGTTTCTTGCCTGGCTGGTCTTATGTATGTCAGGACATAGGGGCCAGTGTTGAGGAATTGTATGATAAGGGAATGCTGATCAGGGGTATGAGCTGAATGGATAACTCAGTGCATTCTTCTCCCATATAGAGGTGCAGCTACCACAAGAAGATAATTTCCAACAAGAGAACACAGATCTCAATATACAGCCACCTGAAGAGCCTGATCTTTTGGATCAACCCGTGACTGGGAACATGGATTTCTCAGAAGTATCCCAGAAGCTGAATACTGAGAAAGAAATAGACCCAGGTAAAGCTTGCTAATTTTTCTTGATAAAGTAGAAGCATATCATAAAGAAGACTGGCTGGGATCTTTGTTGTCAAAGGTAAGAAAGGAGGACAGAACATAGAGACCCAAAATAGGAAAGAGGTCAGAGTGTATAACTAACTTACAAACAAATGCTTGGCTGCATCTGGTTGTGTAACTCATTTTATCTAAAATATTATTCTTTGAAGACCATGTATTCAAAAACAGACTTTTCAATTAGACCAGAAAGTTCAGAAACTCAGGGGGTTAGGGACAATAATCTGTGATTAAGAAGCCCTCCAGGAAAGTCTGGTCTGGTACAAGTCAAAGTTTTAGAACCACTGTTCTGAAACTCATAAATTCTGTGTTTTCCCCCACTTCATCCCTTGAATGAAATTTCAAAGTAGCTCACTTCCTTTTTTGATTTTCTGCCTCAACATGGCAAGTAAAACTTTTTAGGCTATAGTGAAAGGATGCAGGCATCTTTATATTATAAGTACAGAACTTTGCAGTCCAGTATACACTGATACTTGTGAATAGTACTTGATTGCAGCACACAGTAAACATCCAGTGGAAATGAAAAGTTAAAAAAAAAAATCTTTGGGTTGGGGGAGACCTGAAAGGCAACTAGGCCAGCCTCTCACTAGCTGCACATTGGACTCCTAACTGTTTAATAAAATGTGCTGCAGCTTATGTAACTCATACTAAAACCCCAGCCCCACCTCCTCCTCTTGTGCAGATCCTCTCAAGTAAATTGGAACCACGTTCACAGAGCTTCCATGCCAGTTTTCCATTCTACAAGTCATTCTCTTTAGTCTCTCTTCTCATTTTCCATATTCTCCTTTATGTAGCTGTCATCTGCTCATTCAGTGATTAGTTACTGAGTACCTGCAAGGTGCCAGGTGCTGTGCTAAACCTCGGTATGTTCCACCTGCAAATCCTTTTCAACCTGAAGTTTCTAATACAGTACCTTGCCAGCACCAAATCAGTGTTTATTGAATGTGACTGTGTCTATATAGTGAAAGCATAAAATTCTGTTTGTTTGTTTCTTGAATTCCCATGAGGAAATATTATTGTGGTAGCAGTTGTATGGCCAGGAAAGTGATGGAAGGGGCTGATGGGAACTGTGTTCATTTTACAATTGAAGGATCTTATGGCTTTAATTAAGATTCTGGAATTTTATCTCTGTGTAATTTTTGTAATTTTTTTAGGAGAATGCATAGTGATTAACAGTACCCACTAAATTTAAATAGCATAAATATAATTTTTAATATAATGTATGAAAAAAATCTGTTTTTCCCCTCAACCTTAGGGCTATTTGCAACTGAAGATAATCCTGTTGATGAGCAACCAGAGATACGTATGGAAAAGCCAGCAAGTGCGTCACCTTCGGAAAACACAACCTTTTTAGTACATTCATTTGTTCTTTACCTAACTGAGAAGGTAAGTTTGGCATGGTTTCTTACAGTTTGTAAGGTGATATTGAGCATCAAGTGAAGACTTTAAAATGTCTTTATGAAAATGACTCCTGATCCTCTGACGATAACTCCTGAAATGAAATGAGCCATAGGTGAATGGCTTTAATTAGGGATCCTTAGTTTAGCACACAAGGTGGATTTGCTGCTATAAAACCTGGTTCTTGCCCTCAAGACCTTGCAGTCTAGCAAGGAGATGTTTCAATCTTATGAAACATCATAAGATTTGGGCAGAGATGAGGCCCTGAGTTCAAACCCCATTACTGCCAAAAAACCCTGTTAAAGTGGTAAAAGCACACCTGCCCAGCAAGCATGAGGCCTTGAGTTCAAACTCCAGTGGTGCAAAAAAATAATAATAAACACTTTTGGGCTGGTGGAGTGGCTCAAGTGGTAGAGTACCTGCCTATCAAGTATGAAGCCCTGAGTTCAAACTCCAGTACTGCAAAAAAAAAAAAAGAAAGAAAGAAAGAAAGAAAAAAGATATGGGCAGAAAGAGAAGTGTTTATCTGATCATAACAGTATATTCCATAAGTTGTCTTATCATGGTTTGAAGATGATAGATAAAGAGGTTAACTGAGATACATTTTAAGCAGAATCAAAGGACAAATGGAGTTTGTTGTTGGGGACAGTGGGCAGTCAGAAGAAGTAACACAGTCAGAGAATTGGAGGCTTGAAGAAAAGATGAAGTGGGGAAGCCAGGGAAGCATGAATAGTGTGGGGCTCAAGGGGGATGGATGGTGTCTATTGGAGGGAGGTGGGGCGTATCATAAAGGAAGCTGTGTCCATGAGGAGGAGAGGTAAACCATTCATGGTAGGGATCCTTTGAAGGTTTTGGCTCTTAGAAAGAGCCACTTATGATAGAATATTTATAGAGTGAGTCAGGATCCAAATGAGTTTTAGTGATTTTGAAAAGCAGTATGGAGACCCCTCAAAAAGCTGAAAATAGAACTGGCATATGATCCACTGATACCACTCCTGGGCATCTACTCAAAGGAAGTAAGTCAGGATACAATAGAGGCACTTGCACACTGATGTTTATTGCAGCACAGCTCCAATAACCAAACTTTGAAAACAATCAAGATGCCCTACAGCTGATGATCGAGAAAATATGGTACGTATATATAGTAAGGAGTTTTACTCAGCCATAAGGAAGAGAATGACACCATGTGGTTTGAAGGTAAATGGATGCAATTGGAGGACATCATGTTAAATGAAATCAGGTTTAGAAAGATAAAAGTCACATGTTCCTCTCATATGTGGAAGATAAATCCAAAAGATAAACATATACACAAAAACAACATGATCATATGCAAACATATATGTAGAACAGGTTTATAATAGTGGAACTACTCTGTGGAACTTGGCGAAGGAGGGAAGGGAAAAGTGAATGATAGAGCATCAACAATATCATAAACATAACATTTGTGAAGGTAGAGGATATAACAATATGTATTGAAAGCTGTTGAAAATGAGTGGTGAGAGGGAAGGGAGAAGGGAGAGCAATGGAAGGGGTTGAACTGACCAACATAAAATATACTCACAGTAGGGATACATCGAGAATTCCCTTTGAACATTGATTTAGAAATTAATAGGTACTGTAAAATAGGTACAGTATGTGTCTATGTGGGGGGTACTTATGGGGAGGGAGGGTGAACAAGGAAATGAAGGTAAGGGAATATGGATGATCGACTCCATATACGAAATAGAACAATGAAACCTCTGCTTTAAGTAGGGCAGGAGGAGGTTGAGGGGGAGAGATGGTGGGGGTAATCTAACCAATGAATAATGTAAGCCTATTCAGAATTGTCACAATGAATCTCCTCTGTACAACAAATATATCTTAATGAGATAGAGAGGGAAGGAAAGAGGGGGGAAGGAAGGGAGGGAGGGAAGGAAAGGAAAAAAGGAGGGAGGGAGGGAGGGAAGGAAAGGAAGGAAGGAAAGAGGGAGGGAGGGAAGGAAGGAAAAGAAGGAAGGAAAGAGGGAGGGAGAGAAGGAAGGAAAAGAAGGAAAGAGGGAGGGAGGTAGGAAGGGAGAGAGAAAAATTCACTATGGTAGAATATTTATAGAGTCAGAATCCAAATAAGACATTATATCTGTCTTGAAGCTTAAGCTCTCTCTTGTGGTACTTTGTGGTATGGATACCGAACTTTTGGGTAAATTGTAGGAATGAACAAGCTTTCAGAAGTTGGAGGACAAGATGCCTCAGGACTGTAGAGAAGGTGACCTCTTCAATCACAGTAGTTTCCTGTAGGTTATGTTATTTCAAGGCTTGTGTAGGAAAGAGGGGTTTTGTTGTTGTTGTTTCTGTAAATAACCCAGGGTTGTTCCAAAGTCATCATTTAGAAATTTGAGCAAACTCCTAAACTTTTTGTTTTTTATTGAGACATAATATTTGTATATCTTTATGGGGCATTAGGGTAATTTGATACCTGGATACATTTTGTAATAATCAAGTCAGGGTAATAAGCACTTTCATCTTTTCAAACAATCATTTTTATGTGTCAGGAATGTTGTATTCTTCTAGTCATTTTGAAATATATCATAGGTTTTTATTTATTTATTTTGAGGTCCTGGGGTTTGAGCTCAGGGCTTTGCACAGCTAGGCAAATGCTCTACCACTTGAGCCATGCTCCCAGCCCTTTTTCTTGTAGTTTGTTTTTCAGATAGTCTTGCACTTTTGTTTGGACTGGCCTTGGACTGTGAATTTCCTACCTTTGTCTTCTGAGTAGCTAAGATTATAGGGGTATGCCACCATGCCTGGCCTCATAGGTTTTTTTTTTGTTTGTTTTTGGTACTGGGACTTTTGAGCCATTCCACCAGCCGTATTTTTGTGAAGGGTTTTTCAAGATAGGGTCTCACGAACTGTTTGCCCTGGCTGGCTTTAAACCTCAATCCTCCTGATCTCTGCTTCCTAAGTAGCTATGATTACAGGCGTGAGCCACCAGCACCCGGCTCATAGGTTGTTTTAACCAGTAGTTATCTTATTATGCTATAAAATTCCTCCTCTCTATGTTTTGGCACCTCTCTTAACTTCTTTCTGTCCTTCTGCTCTTCCCAGTCTCTACTGATCACTATTTCATTCTGATCTTCAATAAGACTGATTTATTATAAATTAATAAATTTTTAATGTCAGCTTCCTTATCTGAAAAATATAGATAATACCTACTCAAACTGTTGTAAGAATTAAATGATTTGATAATGTAAAGTGTCTGGTGAGGTGCCTGGCATTTTGCAGGATTTCATCACCCTCCTAATTCTTATTTGGACAGTGGACAGTGGAAAGACACTGAATTCCCAGGGAATTCAGGAGAAGGGCTGCTATGATGGGAAAGGTGGAGGAAAACCAAACCATTTCTGTTTCTCCATGGTTTGATAAAGGTGTGCTTGATCTATGCAGTTAAAATAAAATTTCCAGTGAATAAGCCAGTACAGAAGTCATACTTTGGTTATTAGAATGAATCATCATCACTTAGAAAATTTAACAGCCTGCAGATGGAGGAGGAATTCTTTGTTATATTTCTAGATAGGCACAGTGCTGTCTTCTAGGCCTGGGTTGGAGATACAGATGTCATGCAGTATTATGGTCTCTAATTGTGGGGAAGACACAGACATGAGTGGCAAGAGGAATGCATTGTTACACAATGCTGACTTGAAGGGGCTTATCAAAAGACATTTTGATGTCCCAATATTTATAGGACATTGTGCTAGGAAAAAAACATTCTTAGATGAATAAAGCCTAAATCTGATTTTTGAAAGGCTTAAGGGTTTATCAAATGTAGATGAAAATTGGGGAAATAGAGGATGTATGAACTAGTGATGTGAGGTTTCAAATAACTAGTAGAGTGATCTGATAGGACTGGGGAATAATGGGTATTCCCCATTATTATTCCCTATTAATGGAAGAACTACACCAGAGTCAATGTTGATTGATACTTCATAGAATCTTAGGGTTAGAAGAGAGACCTTGAAAGGCTACTCGTCCAGTTTCTCACTAATTACGGTAATTTCCTCTTGTAGTTATAAGCCCGTGTAACAGTAATTCCTGGTACAAGCCACTTACCTTACAGGGCTTCACATTTCTCTGTTGGCTAATTCTTTCTCATATTGACTCCAAATTTCCTTCCATATGATATCCTCTATAAAAACCCAATGCCATCCAGCAACTTGGCAAGCAGATACAGGAGGATCAAGGTTTGAGGCCAGCCCAGGCAAGTCAGTGGTGAGACCCTATGTGAAAAACAAACTGAAAGCAAAATGACTGGATGTGTGTCTCAAGTGGCAGAGCACTTGTCTATAAGTATGGGGCCCTCGGTTCAATCTCCTAGCACACCAAAAAAAAAAAAAAACAAAAACTATTTTTTTCTACATAGTAATCCTTTAAATATTTAAAGTTATATCTTAATTTAAAAATTTATTTTAGTATTTTATCATGAAAAATTTCAAACAAAATCAGAGAGAATAGTAAAGTGACTATAGATAATAATGGTACAGTGTGCATTTCCAAAAGATGAAAGAAAGGATTTTGAAAGTTTTTCCATACTGAAATGATAAATGTTTAAGAATGTAGACGTGTTTAGCCAGATTAAAATTGCAGTGTTACACAACACATTGTTTTGAAACACCACAGTATCGAAAAAAGGGTTTTGTTTAACTCTTATCTGAGAATCATTGTCATGTCATGGATTTAAAAATATTTGGTGTTTCCATCCAGTCAAGAATAGTAATTCTTATTGATATTCAATTTCTCCTAGTTTTGGCTAGTGGGAATCTCTTCAGCTTGGCTCCTGGGTCTTGTGACACCACCTAGTGGTCATTGCTAACTGCTCACTATGCTTTCTAGTATGACAAAATATTCAAGCTCATCTTATATATTTCCTGTCCAAATCTTGAAGGAGCTATTTCTCTAAGGAGCCTTGCTTCCTTATCATGGGAAACAGTATTTAGAGACTATATTCCAAGTACTAAGATTGCTTATTGCTTTTGAGTTGGCCATCATTTCTAGGCCTTTTTAGAGAACAAAGCCAGGGAATATGTGGGGTTTTTAAATGTGAATATTCATCATAATATCACAGGGATACTTTCAATCAAAATTCAGGATGTATGAAATTGTACGTCATGTCATGTATCTTAGATTAGTATTTTCTTTCTCTGATGCTAGAAATCATGGTTTTCCATGACATCAGTGTAACTACAGTCATATGCAATACACTGGCTATTGCCTTACTGCATCCTAGATAATTTTATTATCTATCTGATCATTAAAAAAAATGGGACTGGGAATATAGCACAGTGGTAGCTTTTGGGAGACCCTCCCTTTGATCAACATCACACACAAAAAAAGTCAAATGATTTCCATAGCCAGCTACGATAGCTTTATACACACTGTTTTTACCTTCTTAACTGAAACAACTAAAAAAAAAAGAGTCAAAATTAATGAAACAACAATTTTCTTTAGATTTTATTTTTTTCTTTTTTCTTGGCTTTGAACTCAGGGCCTCACACTTGCTAGGCAGGTGCTTTTACCACTTGAGCCACTCAGCCAGCCCAACAATTTTCAAGGAATTGGACATTAAGCAACAAAGGAGAGTAATTCCAGAAACATAAGGAACAGATGCCATGAGCAATACAATTGTCGCAGCTTGCTATGTTAAGAGAGTTACTGGGGCATGGCACAGAAAGGGAGAACTCAAATACAACCAGTGGTTACCCTGAGTTGAGATTATGCTAAGGTTCCAGGGAGACCAAAGCAACTAGAATTTACAGGGTGGAGTACCACAAGAAGAAAGCTGCCTTGAGAAAAAACCTCTGGAGATCCGTGAAGGGTCATTTGAGTATTCAGCAAAGTATTCATCAGCACACGAGTGTGACAAAACTACCCAAAATCAGAGAAACAAATTGATTAGAAGGAACCATTACTGGCACTCTCCTTCACCAGCGTCTCCGCTTACTTGGGCTCTCCCGCTCAGTCCTCCCCCCGCCTACGCCGGCTGTTGGTTGGTTCCACCCTGGCCCCGCCCCCGCGGCTGGCTGCGTAGGCGCGTTGACGTCTGTCAGATGACGTGTGTTATTGAAGGCGGAGGGCGGAAGGGGCCGGCAGCTGGGAAGGCGAAGTTCATTCCCAGAGTCCATCCCCTGAGCGGGTCCTTCCAAAGGAGGAAACGGTGAAAGAGAGGGGTCGTGTGTTGTTCAGTTGGGACGCGTCGCCTCCGCTCTGCTGTCCTACACAATGGACACAGTACCGGCCACTGTGCCTTCTGTCACCGCTTCCTCTGGGGATGCGGAACTTCTGGGACCCCTGTCGGTGCTCTACGCGGCCCTCATAGCCAAGCTACTGGAGGTGACGGTCCCCACTCCCAGGAAGAAACTCCAGCTCTGGCAGGCGGGTGGGGGGCACTAATTGACAGGGTGGAGAAGTATGGACGTTGCTGTGCTCTTGAGGGAGGCCCGTGAAAGTGTATTTGAGTTTTCGTCACTTGGTCTTTTTTTTTAAACAGCACTTACGAAGCAACAAGCACTGTGTTAGGTTCTGGAATGCAGTCGCAATCAAAATAGCAAAATGTCCTTACAGACCTTTCCCCTTTGCACTGTTGCGGAATGGGGCCAGTTTGACAGCTACCTCCCATACTCAGAGAAGGCAGTGCAAACAGTGTATAATTGGCAGGTGTTTAATGCACTTTGAGGAAACACTTAGAATTAGGCATTGAGTTTCACAAAAGACAGTTCAGAGCTTTCTATTTGAAGTTACTTGGGACTTCTGTGTTTATGTAAGAGTAAAATGGAGTTAAGATTAAAAGTTGTAGAGGAATAACAGATTATTTGTATTCTTCATTATCCTATAGGTTTTATTTTCAGCAATAAAAGTTAATTACTTTTATCTTATATTTAAATTTTTCATGTTATCTAAGAGAAAAGTATGATTCAGAGGGATTCCAGCCATGTATTTAGACAACATGATAAGGCAGGTTCTATTACGAACTGGAAATATATGCTTGAGTTAAAGATATGTACACAAAACACTATAAGCCAAAAATTAAATAGGAGACAGCTAATATCCTCTTTCTTGAAGCAGGAGCCATTGAAGATTTTTGAGGGGAGTAGTTATCTGATAGAAGTTGCTTTAGAATTTCTGTGATATTCTTTGTGACTGCTTTGTTGTAAACTTCTTTTTCTAATATTTCTATTTCAGCTGGTTGCTACATTGCCTGAACATGTTCAACCTGGTCCTGATTTTTATGGACTACCATGGAAACCTGTAATTCTCACTATCTTTTTGGGAATGGCTTCATTTTACCTTTTCTTCTGGAGAGTTTTTGTTTTTGTGAGTAAATTAACTTATAATCTGACTCATAAATACATGGAGTATTTTATAATCACTGGCCCTTTTATTTGCTCCTCTTTTAGTTACTAATAGAAACACAAATTAATGGTTATAATTCAAGCTTTGTAATTCAGGTAACTCTTCTAAAAAAATTTAGTGTAATCTTTGTGTTGATAAAGACTTAAGAGAACAAGATAAGTATCTAATCTCAATGAGAAAACTTCAATTTGTAAATTCTTTATATTAAAACCTAAAGATTAAGGATTAGGTAGGTGCAGATGTATACATTTGTAGAATTGAACATTCTTACAGTCATCCTGAAAAGTAGTTTAATAGTATCTATCAGAACCTTTAAAAATGGGACAGGATATATAAATATCCTCTTTTATAGCATAATGTCCTGTCTGATAATACATCCTAAAGAAATAACTGATTAAACATTAAAGATCTTGCACAAGTGTGTTCAATGGAACAGTATTTATTTGAGTGAAAATTTGGCACAACCTAAATAATAGTAGGGGAATTTTTAAGTTATTGTACATACACATAATGGAATATTAGGCAGATTTATATATTTCAAAGACTTGGATACAGAAAATGCTTATAATTTAATGTGAAGTAGAATAAAGCAGAAACTAAGACTTCAAAATACTGTTAACCTGTATATTATATAAACACAAATACATGTAGGACAAAATGCTACAAATAGATACAGCAGAATGATAGAAATGTCTAGGAGGTAAAGTAACTTTTCAGTCTTTTCTTTATATAGATGTTTCCTAGATTTTCTGATTTGATCAGGTATTAATTGTGCTCAGAAGATACATTAAAATTTTCATTCCCTAGTCTTTTTCTGAGCAGAATTTATCTTTCAGATACATATAGACACACATATACATGCTCACATTTATACATATTTGTGATTATATTGGAGGTGGTTCTCCATCATAGTTGTTTAGTGAAATTGGGGGGAAATTACTGCATGTAAAGGAGCTTTGCAAATGAAAAGTGTTCAGTTGAAACTTTGTGGCCCAAACCATTAGATGCAAATCTTTCTAAACTGAGGTTTCTTTTTTGTTTTGTTTTTTTTCTGATTTCTTAATTATATTAGACATATCATTATTAGTAAGTTTTCTAGCTGGGCATAGAGGTGCAAACCTATAATCCTACCACTCTGGAGACTGAGGCAGGGTTATCACAAGTATAAGGCCAGCCTAGTTACTGGGTCTGCATAGAGTTTCAGGCCAGCTCTATATAGTCAGGCCCTGCCTCAAAAAACCAAACAACAACAACAAAAAAAGTGCCTTCTTACGAAGAAGAATCTTTTGCCTGGATTCCTATGAGGACTTTTCTAACCTCACTGAACTTTTCCTTAAGTAAAAGGAAAAAGAATAGAAGGGTAAGTGGGAAAGGGGAAAAGTGAAAACATTTTGTACTTCTTATTTTTGTTCTCCCTTTTCAAGAACCCTAATACCTGTTTCTATTTTCACTGGGCTGTGTCAGCCCAGTGTCCTACACTGCTGCTCCTCCAATCTCAGCATTTACCTTTGCAAACTTCGGAGCCTTCCCTTAGATTCTAGCTTTTTGCTTCTTTTTACTTTCCCTTGCTTTCTAGTTTGGGTGAAAGGAAGCTTATTCTCTGATTAATGAGGCTATGACATTAGAGAAGTAGTCCTCTCTTTCCCTTGTTGAGTTTTCTAAATGCATTTTTCTCTATCAAGAGTATAAGAGATATTTTAGATACTGTAATAATACTTAAATACCATGGATGATATGTAGCCTTCTCTGAGTATCCCATCACCATTTTTAACATTTGACATGAGAAATGTATTATAAGTTATAAGAAAATTTAGCAATACACTTTCTCTTAATTCATTTGTGTCTTTGGAGAATTCAGTTTTTGCCCTTTCAGGAAGATGTCAGCTGTCAATTCTCTTGTTGCTTATGCATTCTCCTCTAGCAGTCTTCCCTTCCCTTTCAGATTTATTACCACAGTTGTAGTGGTCCGGAAAATCAGATGATGTACCCCTATTAGATTATTCCTAAATTCAGTCAGTAGCCAATTTTGAATAGGATTTCTAAGATGTTTTCTGGTGAGTGAAAGAGGCATGTTTTAGTGCAAAGATTATGCCCTTAATTTTGTTTCCTCAGTCTTTTTTTCAATGGTCATTGTTGACTTTATTCTGGCTACTGGCAGTGTCAAATAAATGACATTGAGCAAATAAAGCATTAATGTATTTATTATGAAGGTAGTACTCACTTTTATTAAAGGCAAGTATTCCTGTCATAAGATTGATGCTCATTTATTACATATGTAAGCATATCTTTAGCTGTAAAATAAGATACATACCTTATTGTTTCGTCTATTGAGGCTATTTATGAAATAGCGATACCAATTAAATTTGAAATACTTTTTTTTTTCCTTTTGGACAGCACTGGGGTTTGAACTCAGAGCCTCATGCTTGCTAGGCAGACGCACTTACTGCTTGAGCCACTCTGCCAGCCCTTTTTTGTAGTGTTTTTTTTTTTTCAAGATAGGCCAGGCTGGCTTTGAATTGCAATCCTCCTGATCTTTGCTAGGATTACAGGTGTGAGCCACCAGTGCTAGGCTTGAAATTCTTTTTAATTTTCCTTATTGGAACCAAACTGTTATCTCATTTGTTTATGATTCTGACTGTTGTATTAACAATATGCTCCTATGAATCAAATGATTGACATCAAATTGAATTTTATTTCTTTCTCTTCTAGATAAAGGATAAATTATATGAAGGTAAATTTTTAAGCTTACTTTAACACTTGTACTATTCTTCTATATTAGAGTTTGATATGGGTTTTACATAAATTATTATTATTTTTTGGTGGTACTAAGGCTTGAACTTAGTGCCTTGTGCTTAATTGAGCCATGCCCCTAATCTTTTTTGCTTTAGTTATTTTGGGATAGGATCTTGTATTTATGCCTGGGTGGGTAGGACTGAATTTTACATTTCCCAAGTAGCTGGTAAATGCCACCATACCCAGCTATTTGTTGAGACAGGGTCTCGCTAACTTTTTGCCCAGTCTTCCTTTTTGAATGGTAATCCTCTTGATCTCTGCTTCCCAAGTAACTGGGATTACAAGCATGAACCACTGTACCTGGCCTTCAGCTTGTTCTGTGGGATATATCTCACTAACTTTTTTGCTTAGGTTGCCCACAAACTGCCATCCTCCCATCTCTACCTCCTGAGTAGCAGTTTTAATGACCTCTGATGTCTAATTTATTTATTAACTCCCAGATTGCTAGCTTGGGTAAAAGATATGATGATGTTGCCAACTAAAATAGGAGATGAGGAATAAATTATGGTGTAGGAAGAGCATGATTTTAATTTAAATCGATTGACTTCGATTTATTCCAGATTTATTAGAATTGAACAGTGTTCCTGTGCTAATGATTTAATCAGTACAATAACTATTTATAGGTACATAATTTAAGGAACTGTAATGCAACCCTGTATGCTTGAATGTTCTGTTTCTCTTTGCGAGTAACATGTATTAGAAGTTATCCCATATTCTGAGAAGAAAAGCTTTCTTTAAAGGGATGAATATCAACCTATAACATTTTCCTATATTTCCCATCTTTGAAATAAAATTTACTATATTTTCTTAAATTTTAATAATATTTTACACCCTTATATCTATTAATTACAGATTGCTTTTAAAGATGTAATAGATATGCTAAGGGGTTCTCTTTCTTCATCATGGTAGTTAACATGTCTTTGCTGATAATACATGTGTAATTCAATTTCATGTGGTGATCATAATCTATGTATTTTTTTTCTCTTTTTAGTCAGTGAACTGCACATTTACGAAAAGATGAAGATTTTCAGGACAGAAAATTCTTCACTTAAGCAAAAATTGTCAAATTATGACCAGGAGGTATAATTATTCTTTTTTTTCCCCCGGGCTCCACCTTTAATTATTTCTACCTATCTTGCCATTCAGTTATTAGGATATTTAAAAAACATATTTCCTTTTTTCATTATTTCCTATAAGCCATTTCACATCTTAACCAGTTGTGTTGTCATATTTATAGATTATTGCTTTCTTCTGTAAGGGGTTACCTCTTGGAAAAACATTTTGGTAGCACTACAATTTGTATTTCATTAATTCTGAATGCTTTGTTTTACAGAGGAAGAATTCAAATAAACATGTTCAAGAAACCAAGAAACAAAATACAATTCTCCATGATGAAACAATTAAATATAAGGTAAAAGTTCCTTCTCTTTTTGGAGTTACATTCTAAAAGCAAAAATAAATGTAAGGAATAATTTTTAATAATTAAAAAATCTTTTAAGGATAAAGTGAAGGAACTTGAAGAAACCAATAGAATCCTGAGGGAGAAAGCTAAAAGTCTCCATATTATGTTAGAATCACAGAGAGAACAGAATATCAAAACTCAAGACATGGTAAGAGTTTCACTAGTAATTATCATTATAATTTGCATCATGAATTATTTTGTAGGGTGAGTTGAACTTTTCCCATGCTGCTAACTAAAGTAAGATTAGGAGTCAGGGAAATTTGAACCTGTCTGCTTATTTTGTAGAATTTTAAGTACAAAATCCAACAAATACTTTAATGGGCCTAGAAGTATTTTTGTCTTCAACCCTGGATAATTTCAGATGGGTTGGCTCTGCCCTTCAAAGCATGTAGAACAACTAAAAAATATAGCTGGTTGAATAGTTCTTGTACTTTGTTTTGTTTAAAAAATTATTTTTTCAATAAACTTTTTATCATAGTTTTAAATTACATAATAGTTGAAAAGACAGTAGAGAGGCTCCCAAATATCCCACTCACAGTTAAGCTTGATCACATAGCTAAGGTAGTATTTGCCATGTTTCTGCACTATAAAAGTAGTTTTTCAGCCCTTTGCATACTGTATTCTCTGGAAGGAAGTTATTATGCACACGACTCACAATTAAAAAGTCAACACTTATGTTTTACCTCCTTGATGAGTTAGTTATCTCCACGAGTTTTTTGAAATTCTTCTGTATGTGAGATTTGTCTATTCTCTCTCAAATTCTATCATGTTTAATTTAATCAAGAGAATTTTTCTGGGAAGGCAGTATTGGGACTTGCACTTAGGACTTCACACTTGTTAGACAGGTGCTCTTCCACCTGAGCCATACCTCCAGCCCTTTTCTCTGGTTATTTTGAAGATAGGATCTTGCTTTTTGATGCACTGGCGTGGACAATGATCCTCCTATTTATACTTCACACTGTAGGTGGGATGTGCAGCTCCCTACCCCAGCCTTTTTTGTTGAGATGGGTCTCACTAACTTTTTGCCTGGGCTGTCCTGGGACTGTGTAGCTGGGATGATAGGCTCATGCCACTGTGCCCAGCTATTGTATGAGATGAGGTCTCATGAACTATTTTACCATGCTGGCCTTTAACAGCAATCCTTCTGATTTCATTCTCCCAAGTAGCTAGGATTACAGATGTGAGCCATCATGCCTAGCTCAAAAGAATATTTAAAGTGATCTTGGGGATTGTTTTAATCTACTACTAGGGAAAAACAAAAGTATAGCCCATTAATGTGAACTGGTTTGTTTGGAAGTTTTTTTTGTTTTTTCAATTTTCTTTACTTTTATCTTTTTGTGTAGTCATCTAATACATTATCTCATAATTGGGAAGGCTGTGGGTGCCATGAAACATTTTTGACTTCAATTATTTTCCTTCATTTCTTTAAGTTCTTGATTTTTCCCTTAGGCCACAGTTGGGTCTCCTGCTTTTATCTGAAATGTAGGGAATGGCTTGGGATGTGTTTTGTTAATGTTTCTTCTTTTTTAGCATATGTATCAGTGATTCTACTGAGATCCTAATGCATGTTTTATGTTCTGTTTTCCCCTGACAGATAATGAAAAAAGATAGATTCCTAGAGAAATTAAAAGATGCTATTTCCACAAATACCTCAGAATTTTCCAAGGTAAAGCTGCCTGTGTTTCATGCAGGATGTCAATACTATGTCTTAGTTTTTGTTGAGGAACAAAAATTTGGTGTTTGTTAAAATGTGCAAAAAATGAAAACTGTGATGGGAAAATGTAACTTTTTTTCCCCTTGGGAATTAATTCACTAATAGGAGTGTTTTGCATTAGGTTCAAATTGCCCTTAATGAAGCTAAGCTTAGTGAAGAGAAGGTAAAGTCTGAATATCATCGAGTTCAAGACGAAAATGCTAAGCTTAAGAAGAAGAAAGATGAGGTAAACAAAAATTCATGTCATAGATAATAAAAGATCGAGAACCAATTGTTATTACATCTCAGATGATTGTTTTCTCAATTTTTTTTTTATTTGGGGGTGGGGGACTGGGGTTTGAACTCAGGGGTTCATGCTTGCAAAGCAGGCACTCTAACACTTGAACTGTGCTTCCAGATCATTTTGCTCTGATTGTTTTGGAGATGGGGGTCTCTCAAACTGTTTGCTCAGGCTGGCCTCAAACTGTGATCTCAACTTCCTAAGTAGCTAGGATTGTAAGTGTGAGCTACTGGGGCCCAGCAGATCTGTTTTTAAGGAAAGGAAATTCATGGAGATTCCTGTTCTTAGATATGCAAAGTTTAAACCATGGTTCCCAAATATACATATTTGAATACACATACCTTCATAAATTTTATATAAATTTTTTCCCTCCATTTGTTCTCAGTGTTCTGTTCTGTACAATTTATTACAGCTCTCAGTGTTGGGTTTTTATCTTGTCAAACGCCTATCAGTTATTACCTTGAGTGATCTCAAAGGGGCAGTGGGTTGGCTTTTTAGACCAAAAAATTAGGTAATTTATAACCCTTCTTTGAACAATTACTGCTTCACTAGCCAAGGGAAAGTTACTAGTTTGACCTAGTATCTGGATTTAGGAGACAGTGAGATGGGCATATCCATTCCTACTGGAAGTACTTGAATTAGCAAAAATCTTCTGAAGGATGCAATAGAGTCATTCTGGAGAATTCTGATCTTCTGACCTCTCTCTTAACTTAGGTCTTAGCCCCTAGTGAGACGTCAAAGAGGAGTTCCCTGTTTCAGTCACATGACCCTCATGTCTCCTTTGCAAATTCCTTAACTCATAGGAATTCTTATGTTTTGACTTCTCAGTTGGAGCAGCACATTACAGAATTGAGGAAATCACATGTTGGTCTCAGTGAACAAATCAAATCATTTGAGAAGTCTCAGAATGATTTAAAAATAACTGTTACTCACAAAGATGATAATATTAAGGTAAGTTTATTCTCACAAATACATGCTTAATCTCATGAATTCTTCTGAAATATGCTGAATTAAAGTTAAGACGCTCTTACACCCTTTCGCTTTTTTTTTTTTTTTTTAGAATTTGACTAACTGTCTTATACAGTTGAATCAATTAGAGAATGAATATGAGGACCAAAAAGAAAATAAATCAGATGAATTCGCCAATGGAGAACTGTGTGGTAAGATCAGCCTCAGTGAGGTTAGACTTCTTTTGCCCTCGTCTTTAAGTACATTAATGTGTAATGGATTAACATCGTCTTAAGCTTTAGAGTTGTAGATACATATAGCCGGACTTATAGATGTGTCTGTTTGCATTGGGCAGAAGTGGATTGCTAGGGTATAGTGTAGTAATAAGCATGTACAGAACACTGACTTTAGTTTTGAAAACTAGGTATGCATGCTGGAATTGCCATAGGTTGTGTCTTGAACACTGTACAGTAGGAGAAACTTGTTTCTCATGTTTATCATATTTGATTGATAATTGTCTCTGTAGCTTTGTGGTTTTAAGGACCAGAACCCATTTCATATTATTGAGGTGCTTAGAGTTATAAACTAAGGCTGTCAGAGCAGAGGCTAGAGAATGTCAGGAAGCTAGAGGGTAGTGTGTTTACTGATTGGGAAAATATCTCCAGATGTTGTCTCGCTGAGTGAATATTGCTTGCATAGGTGTGTTTTAAACCATACCTGGTAGCAGATTTAGGGGGAAAACAGAGGAGTGAATTTTTGCAAACAAGACACTTGTGTAGGCAGAGGTAGATCTGAGAAGAAAGGACTTTACATGATGTAAGTCTTTTTGCTTAGGAACAACATGAATAACATTTTTATTATACAAGCTGGGAACTCATTTTTTAAATCTAAGTTGGAAATTCTCTTAAAAGTCAATCAGTCTTATCATTTCTGTTGGTTAATTTGGTTTTTGTTTCCCCCAATGTTTGAATATGATCATTATTTAGTTTTGGGGAAGTCAAGAAAGTATAGAGTTAAAAAGCAAGGAAAGAAAAAGCAATTAATCTCTTGTTTTTTAGGTGACCGGAATGAGAAGATAAAAAATCAGATTAAGCAGATGATGGATGTCTCTCGGGTATGGTTCTTTATTTATAGAGTCCTATAAGTACCTGCAAATTCTTAACTATGCCTCACTGTTTAAGACTACATCTCTCTCCTGTAATTTTTAGACACAAACTGCAATGTCAGCAATTGAAGAGGATCTAAAAGTTGTACAACAAAAGCTAGGAGACTCGTTGTCCACTAAATGTGACCTGCAAGGTAGGTGGTTCTTGCGAGGAAATTGACATATATTAGAAAGATTTAAAATGTTTTTGGAAAGATAAAGAATGGGTTCTCTGTTTCATGCTTCTCACTCCCCTCAGCCAAGTTCTCAAGTCCTTGTGCACACTTACAGAAATTTATAGAATAACTTTTATCATTTACAGATCAAATAAAGAAATTAGAAGATGATTATAATACTCTCAAATCCTCTAAAGATGGACTGGAAGATAAGTGCAAAACTCTAAAGCAGAAAGTAGAGATTCTGAACGAACTCTACCAGCAAAAGGAGATGGCTCTGCAAAAGTAAGATCACTCATTGCTAACAATTTTATCAGTAAATGTATGAACTAATTTTATCTTTTTAAAAGATTATTTGTACTTTTTTCCATTTGTAATTAGTAGAGATTTATCTTTCTTCCTTTGTGCTTTGGTTTCCATAACTTGCATTTTTCTTTCTGTTCTAACCAATTGTCAGAAATAGCTACCTATAATTCATATGAAAGGAGAGTCATTATGGGTACTTACAGCTACTGCTGCCAGAATCCTTCTTTTTTGAAGATCTGTACTCTTTCAATGGCTCTGCCTCTTATTTCACTTCCTTTCTTTGTGGTCACTTATGTAATTGTGTGTGTCTTACTAGCTGTGTTTTGCTAGCTGTTAGCATAGCCTGTAAAGATCCTGAATGGATATGTATCACATATATTTAGTAGAATAAAAACTCAAAAGAAGTATTTAGTTATTGAAGTTATTCCAAATTTTAGACATTCATATTTCCAAATATTGAGAGTGAACATAACAATTGTATTAAAAACATTCGAAGTTTTGATTACAGAAGTACTTGCTTGTAGTATGTGTTTAGGTATTATCTTCTGAAATGTACATCTCAAATTTGGAGCTAAAGGTGTATTTTTGTAGTTTATTTAAAGTTTTTCTTCCATAAAAAATACCTGAATTCTTTAAATATCGATTGTCTGTGCCAGACACTATTTGTGTTTGCTACTATACTTTCCTCTTTGGTCTATTTGGAAGGTGTGTCTTGGTAAGCAAATTTAATCTGTTTTACATGTTACTGCCTAATGAAATTAAACACTGAAATCACACCATTAACTTTTCTGCTAATTTGTGCTAAGCAACCAGTTTAAATCCTTCAAATTCTGTTCAAGCCATTTCTAAATGCCCAGCCTGCTTCAGAGAACCATTTCTCATTTGATCATTTTTGAAAAAGAGCACTTCTCTGCTTCAAATAATAACCTAAATTACTTAAATGACAATTGATTTTCTTTATGATGCAGTTAAATGTTGCACTGTTTTATTAAGCTCCTCCCAGATCCTTTCAGTCACCATCTCTGGTTTGTGTTCTGCTGTCTGTCCCCAACCAGTTAGTTCAGGCCTACATCATCTTTTCTACCAGTCACCTAACTAGCCCATCTCCAGTCACCCTTTCTTATACAACTTCTTCCAAACTCTGGTTAATTTTCTTTACAGTTGCTTTAGTGAACTTTCTGAAATGTAAGTCTATTCATGTAGTATGTGTTTAAAGTCTGCAGAAAATTTGTTTTCTATTTAATGGCCTGTTCTGTGCTCTTTTTTATTCTTTTTTTCTTTCTTCTTTCTTTTTGGGCAGTATGAAGGGTTCACTTATGTAGTCAAGGCTGCTCTGAAACTTGCTATGTAGCCCAGGCTCTGGGCTACATAGTTTATAAACTACAGTAAAATTCATAATCTTGATTTTTACTGCCTTGAATATTTAAGGCACAATTATTTAAAAATCTGTGCGATAGTCCCACTAAGTGGTTCTCTTGTCTGTTAGATTTTGTTCAGTGTCTTGTCTTGTGGAGGGCTTGGTCTGTTTTGATTGAGTGGCAAACATTGTATGTGATAATTGTAGAGGAAATTTGAGGCCTAGGACGATGCTATTTTACAGAAAAGATCTTGAGATTACTTCTAGCAAGTGACTATTACTTTAATTTAGTCAGCAATTAAGACCAAAAAATGGTTTAGTCCCTTCAAAGGATATATTGTATTGCCTATTGAATACTCCAAGTGACAGTATTCTAGTCTCAACCCCAAGTCTTGACATTTTATTAGGGCCTCCCCCTCATTTGTAGCCCTCAAATCCACTTCTTTTTTCTCTGAACTCAAGAAATTTATTGAACACTGTTTATATCTCTGCATTGTCTTCAACCTCCCTAAATCTCCATTGTCTTCAATTTGTGGAAGAGACAGGAAAAAACTGGCTTAAAATGTAGCATGACATGTAATTCTGAGATTGTTTTTTCTACTGGATCTTGGCCACTTAAATGTGTCTTTGCATGTCTTCAAGGACATTCTATTACATTTTTGTCTTAAGTGTTCTGATTGTTCATAGTGTTCTCAGACTAACTCGTCCATTATTAGAAACAAAATTCCCTCTGATCTTTTCTGTTGGGGGTGGGTTGAGATGGTATTGTTTATGCTCAACACTGAGATTTCAGTATCACCACCACACCAGGCTTGATCTTTCTTCAAGACTTGTTTTTTTCACATTCCTTCTTAAGTTGGAGTCAGGGAGAGATTATTCTGTTCCTACATATTTTTTATACATAAAGTTGTGCTCCCTTAGTTCAAGAATAGTGCTTTATCTATACATTCATCTTTAACATCTTATAAGGTAATTAGTTTATTATAGCTGCTCATAAAATACTTGTTGAAATATTGAATAGGTAGTTATAAAAGACTTGGTCCTTTTCCTACTTGGTGTTAATAATCCTCTTTCCTATTTATTTTGTTCTGATTCATAGAAAATTAAGTTTCAAATAAAGTAACTTTTGAGTTGGGACTATGAGTAATGTAGTACAAGGATAAGCAGAAAACAGTTGTGGGGTATTTTTTGGTTTTTTTTTTAGACAGGGTTTCACTTGGTAGCCAGATTGGCCTGGCACTTACTGTGTAACCCAGGCTGGCCTGGATCTTCTGATTCCCTCCTGCCTCAGCCTCCCAAGTGCTAGGATTAAGAAAAGAGCATTTTAATATCATTAAATGTTGCTATCTTTTCAATTTGTGATATAGTAGATCGACATTTTGAGTTTCATGATTAGGGTTAAGGCCAGTTTCCATAGATAATACCGACATTATGGGGCAGTTGGGATTTGTTTTCTTAGTGATAGATATTGTCAACTACTCAAGCTGCCTCTCCTTCTTCACAGTTCCATTGAAATAGGGAGTTAAGAGTTCTTTGTCTGTAGTGTGAAAATGTTCTGTGGTTAAATGCCTAGTTAGATGACTCTGTCTTTGATTAACAATATGTTTAACATGGTACCAGTTTGGATTGAGCAACAGTTCTTTAATGATGAAATAGAAAAAGAATTAGTGCCTTTTCTATGGCAGCAGTAAGAGAAGTACTTACTCCCCTCTTTCTCCTAATAAGTTCAGTTGTGTTAAGTTGGTCATTCTCGGCTTTCCACATTGAAGTCCTGTGCTTTCATCACCTCAAGCATGAGACACTTATCCATGGAGCACAGTGGGTTTTTTTGTTCTTACATTTGTTTTATTTACCAGTGAGGAGAGGTTAGAAAATGTAAGTGATTTGCCAGAGGCCAGAGTTTGAGTTCCTACATAGCAGGTTTGAATTCTTTCTTATGACTATGTGTCTGTGCATTTTTGAGAAGGATGGGAAGTGTCATTTGAATAGAACATTCAGACAACTGCTGTAAGGAAAGAGAACTTTCATTTGGCAGCTGGTTTTATCTTAGGAAACTAAGTCAAGAAGAATATGACAGACGAGAAAAAGAGAACCAGCTGTTGGCTGCAGATGAAAAAATGGTCGTGGCTACAGAAGAAGTAAAAACCTACAAGTGAGTTCAGCTTTAAAGGGGGTCAGTGCTTCAGGACACTAATGTTTGCTTTCTTTTAAACTGTCCATATATTATATAGAAGAAACAAAAGCACAAATAAATGATGAGAGGGAATGAGTAAATACATTCAATTTACACAGGAGAAGAAAAAGTTAAGTAATGAAAAAGTGTTAACAAAAATTTTAGACCCAGTGCTGGCCAGACTGTAAGGGACCTTGGTTCATGCTAACAGTTCTGGGGGTTTTGTTTATTAGAGTAATTCTTTAAGAAAGTAGTTTGCTGTATGACATATCAAAAACCATTAAAGTAATTTTATCATTTGATAGACTCCATGATCAAAGCTCTGAAATTTTCTGTGGATATCATTAAGAGAAGAACAAAGCTGTATGGAGAATTACTTGAGAATATATTTAAAAAACAGTTTAGGAAATTATAATTTATGAACTCAATATCCAGCCATTAAATGATAAATAAGAAAATGAATGTATTATTAGTTTTGATCATACTTTACTTTTATCATAACTATGAATATGTAAAGGGACATTGTCAGATTGTTTTAAATTTTATTCAGTTTTAACTGATAAAACCAAATGTACTTCTTAGGCGAAGAATTGAAGAAATTGAAGAAGAATTAGAGAAAACAGAACGCTCATTTAAAAACCAGGTAAAAATTATACTGCCCTATAATTGCAGAATTCTTCAATATCTAATACAGACAATTACAATGGCTATAATGAACTCCCAAACATGTTTTTCAGATTGTTTCTCATGAGAAGAAGGCTCATGATAACTGGGTAAGTTTCTTTTCTTTTTCTCTTCTTTATTTTGTGCATAGCCTACCACATCTGAATTTGAATACTTTTTCTTCAATAGATTAAAGCTCGTGCTGCAGAAAGAGCTATACTTGAAGAGAAAAGGGAAGCCGCTAACTTGAGACATAAGTATGTGATTTTCGTACCTATGTTTCCAATGCTTTTTAGAATGTTTTAAAGATATGCTAGCTAGTGTCTAATAAAAACTTAATAGCTATTTCATATTTAAGTTCATTCTTTCTCAATATTCAAGATTACTGGAGATATCTCAAAAGATGGCAGTGCGCCAAGATGAACCTGTGATTGTAAAACCAATGCCAAGATCACGGAAACCGCCACGGAGAGGTAGGGGCACTTTGTAAATGGCAGCAGTCTGTTTTTTTGGTGCAGAATGTATTACACACTTCTTATTTCTGTGTGTAATAGTTATGATGCCCTAGAAATAATCCTAAGAACTTACTGAAGAAAAAACTGTCTTCAATTGGTAATGAGGCTTTTGTTCTCCTCAGCTCGAATGAACCAAAATGGCTCTTTTGACCCATCACCTGTGAGTGGTGGCGAATGCTCCCCTCCGTCAGCAGAGCCATCAGGAAGAGCTCGCTCTGCCACTTTTACAGGAAAAGATATGCCTACAAGTGAGTTTAGTAAGTAGTCATGTATTACTCTGCAATAAATTGTTTCAAATGGGTTTTTTTTTTTTCCTTTTGAGAACTTGCATGTTAGTACTTGGGTCTGTCTAGAGAAGAAAATTTCTTTGTCTTGATAAATAGCTTACTGCAAGATCTGCAGTAATACTTTCTACAGAATAAAAAGCATTAATTTGTTTTCTCCAAAGCCATTGTATGGTTTTTTTTTTCTTTTAAATCTGATACTGTGAAGTATAAATCTATCTTTAATCTTGGATGGGATTACCTCCCAAATATTATTAAAGTAGTCTTAAAACTTTAGTTTATGCAGCACACATACTTCTATTTCTCATTACTCTAATATTACATACTAGTGTTATTTCTAATTCTCAATAAGTCTGTTACAATTGGCAAGAGTAGGAGTCAGATTGCATATAGACTCAATAATTATATCAAGTCTGTAACCTGAAATACAGGACCAGTACTATTAATATGTAGGGTTTATTGTTGTTCTTACAACCCAAGACAACTCTTTTAAGTCTGCATAAATTGTGTCTCATATGTATGGGAAACACCCTTTTGTTTTTTGTGTTTTTGAGATAGGGTCTTGTTATGGAGCCCAGGCTGGCCTCAAACTTGTGATCCTGCCTAAAACTCATGACTGCTGGTATTAAAGACATGTCCCACCGTGCCCAAGACCCATTTTTAATGTTGGTTTTTCTAGTTAGAGAGTTGAACCCTGACTTGTCCACAATTGGTTTATTTCTTCTAAAAAATACATGCAAGGGCTGTTATTTCTTTCTCAAGGTGGATGGGCCTTTACCTGGTCCTTGATGGTTATCTGAGGCATCTGGGAAACCCTTTGCCTCTGGTAAGGGACCTAGGTAATTTCAAAGTGTCTAAAGTCATGGTACAGGACTTGTTATTCTTCTCATGAAACATAGAGATCAGAACGATTCTATGTCATTTCTCTGGCCTCTCACAGACCCAGGATCTGATTCAGCTCCCATGATGAACAACAGCTCCAGAAGCTCTACCCCATCTAAGGTGGTGGATGAGGGAAAGGTAAGTTCTGCAGTCACTCTGAATTATAGCAAGGTAATCAGGAGCACACAGCTTTTCCTTCAGCACTCTCTCTGCTCCATCTTGTTTTTTTGTTCTGTTCGTACTATCTCATTTTTTTAAAAAAGCAAACTGTTCCCCAAGAGCTGAAGGCCCCTCAGCTCTCAGCATGACCTCTTTTGCTGAGCATTCTGTCACAGTGAGTACTTAAGAAGTTGAGAACTGGACTTTTTACTTGGTGTATTTCTGGAAAGGATATGAGGAACATGACATTCATCTTGTTTGCTTTAAATGGCATAGCAGATTGATCTTACTCTTGTCCTTGTCATTGAAGTCTCAGGTTGGTTAGTTTCTAGTTTCTTTCCTGTTTTTGGCTAGATGACTAACCAGTTTAGAGCATCTGCTTGTTACTAAAATTAACTGTAGAATGTAAAAAGTCATCACTCCAACTTTTTATTGCCTGCTTTGTGTTAAATGCTGTGAATCAGAGTAAATCCATTATAAATTATGTAATTCATTATTATCTATGTTTGGAAGTATGCTATTTTAAAATTCCACTGTTTGTATACAAAATTTTGAATGATCTGTAGGTTTGTTGGAAGTGAAAGTGTTTCACTGAATAAGGAGTGATGATGCCCTGTTGAGCCAGTTCTGAGCCTTAAGTGCATTCTCTTGTTACTTGCCTAACTATTGTAGCTATGTCTTCTGATCATACTTACAGTACTATTCTATACTGAAATCAAAATTTAAATATTTTAATTAGTGTCCAACACAGTTTTCCATAGGAAGTGATAGTATTATTAGTGAGTGAAAGTAAACGGCCTTCCTAATTCATTGTGTTGGAAAGTATTTCCAAGTTCCAGTGCAGCACCCCAGGAACGTACATCTCTTGAGAACTCTTTTTATCCAATTGTAGTTTGGATAAAACCCAAGATCCCTTCGCAATAAGATCTGAGAATTTGAATAATATATGAAAGCCCTATTAAAGGTACTCTGAAAAGTCACTTATCGGTCGGTACATGTGTAGAGAATAGATTTTTCATTTTCTTGTGTTCTCTGCATTCTAAATGTGGAAATAATGAGCTATTCTGGTGATGAGAGATTAGAGGAAGGAGGGACTTCCTTTAAAACTTATTACAGTGTATACTGCATGACTTTTATTCATCAGAAATCATCTCTTAATAAGTTGGCACTCTCTTGCTTTCCCTTTCCTGTACAGATATAAGCAGTAGCACAAGTTTAGTGGAACTGCTCCCTCATGTGGCATCCTTGTAACCTCCTCAAGCTGTCTCTGGAAATATGATGGGAGGTGGAGTTTTGTTGCACTGATATTGTTCTTTGAACAGGAGACTGATGTCTGCTTCACTGGATTAGCTTTTGCTGGTGTTGGTGCTCTGTCCTATCAAGGAATTTCAAAACGTTTAATTGTCTCTGTTCTACAGGTTAATATGGCTCCAAAAGTGCCCCCTCCATTCCCAGGGGTACCTCTTATGGGCTCTCCCGTGGGAGGCCCTCTACCACCATCCATCCGATATGGACCACCTCCTCAGCTCTGTGGGCCTTTTGGGCCTCGGCCACTCCCTCCACCATTTGGTATGATGATCTGAACAGTAGTGATTGACTTGTAAAGCATATTTGTCTTCTCTTTCTTCCTTGCTAAAAGTTGCTATGGCAGGGCTTTACAATGGAAGAATAAAGTTGATTTTAGCTTTTTCTTAAGTTTCTTAGGACTACATACTCTCCTTGGACTGAGACCAAGAAATAGCTATTTCTTATTTATTTACAGAAAGCCAGAAATTTACTTCTGCAGATGTTTATTGAACACTAATGGCTATGTACTGCAATGGATGGAAAGATGGATAACACATACTGTAACTTATGATGTCCCATAGGTCACAGATCTGTACAACCTATAACATAAAGCTTATATTCACCCAGCTTAGAAGCATAAGTCACAGAATGTAGATGATTAAACTCTCCTCATCTTGAGAGTATACTGAAGGGAAGTGTTAAAGAGAATGTAATAGTAACTTAATGCTGCTGAATTTAATTAGGCAGAGCTGGAAGGCCTTTCCTTTTCCAGCAGGGCACCTTGATTGATGGGTGTATGTTAGATACATGCTAAGCTACTTACTGCATGAATTTTTAATTGATACTTTAGTAAACAGTATGATGTCCTTGATCAAAATTCCTGTTGCAGTGAAGCTCTTATTTTATAATCTGTCATCTTGGCTTGGTAATACTATTTGCAAGAACAACTGGACCTGTTTTGAGATATTGATGCAGAATTGTACAGTGAAAAAACACAAGCTTGGATCTAAGTAGAGCCCTGTTGAAGACTGGTCTGTGTAGCTGAGTGGCTAGCTGACTGTACATAGGCTGCAACTTAAACTTGCTGAACTTCAGTTGTCTTCGTTTGTAAAGTTGGGATGCCACCACTTGACTGTCTTGAAATTAAAGACTGTATGAACATTTTGATATGTTCCTGGGTATTTATGTGTTTTAATATTTGTTTTTCAGTTCCTGGGATGCGTCCACCACTAAGCTTGAGAGAATATGCACCAGGTGTCCCACCTGGAAAACGGGACCTGCCTCTTGACCCTCGAGATTTTTTACAAGGACACACACCATTTAGACCTTTAGTCTCTCTTGGTCCAAGAGAGTATTTTATTACTGGTGCACGATTACCACCTCCAACCCATGGCCCCCAGGATTATCTGCCACAGCCTGCTGCAAGAGAATCACTACCTTCAGGCTCCAGAGATAAGACACCACCTATTTCTCAAAGTAATATTCAGGACTGTTCACAGGCTTTAAAACAGAGCCCGTAACTATGACCTCTGACAGTAAGTCAGAGAAAGTGAACTGTGTACTATTCATTACCTATTTCCCAAAGTAATATTCAGGACTGTTCACAGGCTTTAAAACGGAGCCTGTAACTATGACTTCTGACATTAAGTCAGAGAAAGTGAACTGTGTACTATTCATTACCTATTTCTCAAAGTAATATTCAGGACTGTTCACAGGCTTTAAAACGGAGCCTGTAACTATGACCTCTTGACATTAAGTCAGAGAATGTGACGATAAAAAGACTTCATTAGCTTCAAAAAAAAAAAGTCATTATGATGAAAAGACTTCATTAGCTTCAAAATCCAAAAACTTATTTTAAAAGGTTAGTTTTTAGAACTAAGCTGCCTTCGCAGTGTGCACTTTTTGAGCCAAAAATTTTCTTCTCTAAATAAAAATTACTTAAGCTAGAACATCCTTCCAACTTTGAAACGTGCAATAAAGATTATACCTGTGTTTTAGTTAATGTAGCATATGTAATTGCTGAATGATTTAGAATGTTATAAAAATATGAACATTTCCTGTGGAAATGCTTTAAGAACATGTATTTCCATTATCCAGTTTTTGTGTATACTGATTGCATACAGAAAAATGGTGTTTACAAGCTTGATCTTGTTTTTCCCTCCAGTAACTGATTACAAAGACTGTTACGCTAAAAATGTTTACTCAAAGATTATAAACTTCATCTCCCATGTTGAAGTTCCATGCAGTAATAGTTCATAAATAAAAATTGTTTATTAATATTTCCCAAGTGTCTGTTGATTCATTGGATTGTCATGAAATGTGTGCCATTTAAGAAACATGTAAACTCAGGCTCCCAGAACTGAAGATGGTGACTTGGTAGCACGCTCCTTATTGCTCACTGCTAAGGAGGTTCAACCTCAAAGTCACCTGTGAACGTTACAAGGAATTTTTCCTTTTGTTTCAAAGATGTCAGTGGTCTCCCACTTGCTCAGCATTCATGTGCTTTCTTATGACCCACACTGCCTATTTCAGGATGGTTTTCTGAGTATGAGTTTACATTAGTGGCAAGAATTGTTTGGCATGACTGCATTAAGTGTTTAATAGCAAAATGAAAATGATATGTTGTAACTCCAAAAGTAAGGGAATTTCTTTTTAAAAATGTAAATAGTCCATGCTGTTTCCCATACCCTGCCACTGATTTTCAAGGAATATACCAAAAAAAATCCAAAATCCATGAGAAAGAATGAGTGAGAACCACAAGGCTTATATAACAAGTCAACAGCTATGTGCTAAACTCAATTCTTTTTTTGATAGCTACTATTCCAAAATTAATATTTGAACATTGGTGCTTTTATTTAAAAATCAGTTAAGTATAAGAATCTGGAATGGCACCACACTTAAAGACTTCTACCCATTACTATACTGTATCTTTAAAACAAGGTTTCTAAAAACTAGCGCTTGGGCTGAGGGCATAGCTCAGGGGATTGAGCACTACGTACCAAGCATGAGGCCCTGAGTTCAAACCCCAGTACTGCTTCCAAAAAATAATAAAAAATAAAAACTAGCTCTTCAGACATTTCAATTACAATAACTTTAGCAGCATATTTTAAGAAGTTTAAGATTTAGATAAAATTATAAAAAGCTTGAAACTTTTATTTACTGCTAGACAATATTCAATTTTATGAAGTCCCTATTAAATGATATTATTGAAACCTACAGCATGACATGTCACTCTTGGGATTTTTAAACCACTAAGAATATGGTAAAAAGGAGCAAAGCTTGTGTGAAAACAAAATCCTCAACTACTGAAGATAGTAGTTTAGAGAGACAGGATCCCTGAAAGAAGATAAAGTTCAAAATGAATGTATAGGTCCTTTAAGAAAAGAGACTACACTTTGGGGCCTCCATTTAATATCAAGAATAGAAGAAATTATCTGGTGTGGTAGTGCACACCTGTAATCATATCCCAAATTCAAGACCAGCCTGAGCTACATAGTAAGATGCTGTCTCAAAAAACCAAGGTCTGGTGGTGTTACTCAGACATGAGTGCTTGTTTAGCGTGTACAAGGCCCTGAGTTTGATCCCTAGCACCATAAAAAAAATTATATTCATAGAATAGCCTTTTAATCATGTAAAATCAGTCACAAACACAACTTTTTAATATACCTGTCAATCTCTTCAGGACATAGAATGATTCTGAAGTTAACACAACTTCTAATGTCAACCAAGGGTTTTTTTTTGTTTCTTTTTTTTTTGGAGATGATCTCGCTTACGTAACCTAGGCAGGCCTCAAATTTGTCATCTTCCAGCCTCAGCCTCCTCAATGCTGGGACAAGCATTGGTGTGCCACCATGCCCCACTAACAAAGAGTTTTAAACAGCATTTAAATAAAGGTTATGCCAGCTGGAAGATGATCAAGTAGGAAAGGACAAATTAAATTTATTTTTAAATTCAAAACTAGAGTGTTTTCCCCTTTAAAGCCCTTCAGTACTTACAGAAAACTCAGTAAGATGTAGAGATTCCAATGTAGTTTGAGCAGTTCTGAGCCAGGCCTCCTCCACATGCATTTGACTGCACCATGTATGTAACAAAACCCCAAGCAAGCTGCCAGTAGACAGATGGTATCGAGAACACTGCCCCTCCATTAAATCAGACATTTCAAAAGTCACCCTGAGCTAATTCTGTTTGAGTTGAGTGGCTAAAATGGTCTCATTTATGAAGCAGTAGTATTTTAGCCTGAAAGCATTTCTGCTACAGTTGTGGTTATTATCTAATGACTGATTTTTTTTTTCTCCCTCTGGCAAGTAAATTTAAGTAACTTGTGAGATGTGGAATATTCTGTGCCAAATGCTTCAAGTCAATGTTTTTGTCATTTCCTTCAGGTCTGAATTAAAGTGAAGTTAATCTCACAGTGTTCAATTTAAGCATCTTTAATACTAATGAAAGGCTAGTTCATATAAACCAAACTTATATGAAGGATAGCAGGTGTTTCTGCATATAAATTACCAGTTTGATAGACATGTCTTTTTCGGTCTATGAGAAAAGAGAAAACGGTATATCAGTTTTGCTTCATTTTAATAGTAAGTTTTAAGGAATCATTTTTTAGGCCTCATCAGGAATATCAAATAAAAGGTACTAAGTACTCCACAGGGTACAGTGCTGCTAAGCACCTTAGAACTTTACATGACATGGAGAAGATGCAGTTTTGGCTCTTGAGTAACTACAGTCTGGGCGTTTAAAAGTTGAATGAGCAATGAAATTAAGGTAAATTCTTCATCCCTTGCAGCCATTGTAGATTAAGTTATTTTGGCATCAATAAATTATTTCATCAATCAAGATGAAACACGACTAAATTTGGTTGAGAATTCTTTCAGGCTCATACAGTTTTTATTAACATTCATCTAATAAACAGAATTGACCCAATAGACAACTAAAAGTAAAGACTAGCTCTCTTGAAGTGCAAGGGTTAAAACAATTGTGGTTACTTATTTTAAAAAGCAAACATATTGAATGATATGACTAGGGTTATTACACTAGTTTAAAAGTAGACCAAGGACTGAGTTTGCATTCCCCTCATGCATTGTTCATTTAAAAGTGATTATTAAAATATGTGGGTTCTATATTAACCCACAGAAAGCCCATCACCAATCTTAATGTTCTGTGTATCAAATATCCACCTCATGTGTTCTATGAAAGTTTTATTTGCTTCATTATTAAGCCAAAAGTAATGTAATCAAATTATAATAAGCAAATGGCCTGCATATTTTCATATGGAAGAATGTCAATACATCTAAATAGGAAATAAGTGGCAATCCTATCTATCTATATAAAAAAAAATAGACTATCTTTCCAGAGTTTGCACTCTCACTCTAAGGAGAGGTATACAGATTTTAAGTTTGACAATCAGTTGTCAGAAAAAGAGCAGTTATTATAACCTGCAGTATCTCATTAGCATCTGATTCTATTTTTAGCCTAATGATTTATAAGATGTTTTAAACCCATCTAAAAATGTGTGATCTGAGATGGTTCCCATGTTGACCCTATAGTGTCAGAAAGAATAACAATGTGATGTAGAAGAATAGCTTAGCAATCAACATTACTACAAACATTCTTACTTTTAGAAAAACAATCTGGTCATCAGGAAAAAGTCACAGCTACAACCTGGGAAACACTCCCATGTGGGATATTGATCTGGCCAAGGCACACCATTTCTAATAAGGAGAACTATCAGATCAGGGTGAAGTTAGGATACCTCTAAGAAGCAGCCTATAAACGTCCAAACCAACCTTCCTAGGCAGCATAACTGGTCCTTTCAAAGCAGTTTGGTACTATCCTCCCCACCTCAACCCATAGTTTGAAGTTAAACCAAAAAAGCAAACTGGAGCAAAAGTGAGCAGATGTGTAAACTCTTAGCACATTCTTATTGCTGTATTAAGTTTTGAAGATGAGCACACACCTGCCACAAGAGTATTGTTCCAGGAAGCAGGGTAGAATCGGTGGTAATTACAAAATAGACTATTAATTGCACAATTAATAGAAAAGTAAAAATATGTCTCAAAATCTACAATAAACCTGTATCCAAAGGAGTCTTATATGTCAGTGCTGTGCTGGACTTTGAGTTCTGTGGTACAGCTTTGCAATGGACTTGCTTGCCTACTGGCATGGGTATGGCTCATCTCTTGCCTATTGAAGGGTGAATATGCTACACAGAGCTATGATGGTTTCTACTGAGTGGTAAAATTCACAGAAGTTCCAAGTTATTCACATCAGGATCATTCCTTGTGCAAAGTTTGATGTAGATGGAGATAAAGTGGTTTCTTGGTCAATAATTGCAATTTCTTTCTTTTAAAGTCAGTGGGTTTCTTGTATCTGTAACCACAATAGAAAGATCATTGTTTAAATACTTTGATGATTGATCTATTCCAAGGTTACATTAGGGATAAGAGGGACTAGGAAGAAACACAAACTAGTCACTATTAAATAGTATGAATCCTGTATGTACATCACTTACAGTTCTATTACAATTGGTCCGGGTTTAATTTCATCCATCTCCATAAAAGCAAAACACTTGGTGCTGGTAAATCTTTTTTTAGGCTTGTAGTGTTTGAATTCAAAGAAGATAGCTGCACCTAAGGAATTAAAACAAACTACATAAACCACAGATACCTTTCTTCTGTGCTGGTTCATTTTCTTTGATTATCAGAACCTTATGAATAAGTAACAGTTTGCATAGTTTTACAAAGCAACCTGTATCAAACATAGTTTGATGATGTATGATTACAACTTACTGTGGCTTGTCACCCAAACTTGTATCTGAGTAGAGTGACATTTCTCCATATCAACTAATTCTACAAGGTATAGCAAAACTTCCTGTGCTAAACTGACTTAAGAATGTAAGTCTGTACACAGGTAGAATCATGTACCAGTAAAGATAATAAAATACTTAGACAAGAGGAACATAGAAGATACTTGTTAAGTATCACTAATACCCGCAGAAATTGTTTCAAAAAGCACTTGTATAGATAGAATAGGCATTTAAAAGTTCATTTTAAAAACTCAAATTTGGGGCTGGGGAATGTATCTCAATAATAGAATGCTTGCCTAGCATGCACAAAGCCCTGGGTTCAATCCCCAGAATCACATACATGCACACACAATTCAAGTTTTTGAACAGTTTCTGTTAATCCTGAAACAAAACCTCAAACAATACTGTATTTTGGTGTGGTTTGGAATCCAAACATTAATCACATGCTGGTTCAGTTATAAAATGTTACCTGTTTCCTAATACCTTCTTCAGAGCTCAAAGCCCTACTTTTGTTTTCTTTCCTTTAATTGTCTGTGGCTGTATCAAGATAGTGCTAATATGCAACTCAGGTTACTCCAGAGGCACCTGCACACCCATGTTTACTGCAACACTATTCACAATAGCCAAGTTATGGAAACACCCAAATGTCCCACTACTGACTAATGGATCAAGAAACTGTGGTACTTATACACAATGGAATTTTATTCAGCCACAAAGAAGAATGAAATCTTGTCATTCGCAAGTAAATGGATGGAACTGGAGAACATCATCTTAAGTTAGTCAGGCTCAGAAGGCCAAGAATCATATGTTCTCCCTCATATGTGGACTTTAGAACTAAAACAGATGTAGTTATATTATTGGACATGGGTCACATGCTAAGGGGAGAATGCACAGAGGACCAGTAGGGAAAGGCAGGAAACCCAGGAAAGTGTTTGATGTGCCCACTGTAGAGGAGCAAATAATGTAATCTTACAAACTGACAGAGGCCACTATGGGAAGGTAACCGGGAAGTAGTGAAGAGGTCTGGTAGAGATGAACCAATTCAGGTTGTAATACACATGTGCATGGAAGCAATGCTAGGAATCTCTCTGTATAGCTATCTTTATCTCAAACTAGCAAAAACACTATGCCTTTCTTATTATCTCTTATGTTTTCTCTTCAGAAAAACTGGAGAAGAGGGCAGAACAGGTTCTGCCTGGAAGCAAGGAGGGTAGGAAGGAGGGGAAGGGGAAGGAAGGGCTGGGGAGAGAAATGGCCCAAACAATGTATGCACATATGAATAAATGAAAAAATTTTAAAAAGATAATGCTACGGAAGGAAAGGTCTAAAAGCAAGCCCATTCTACTGCCCTCCTCAACAGTCAGTTACGAGGAATTTAGATAGTTCTACTTCCTGAAGCCCAACAGATAAACTCTCCACCCTGCAGAAGAAAAAAAAATTAAAAAATAGAGAAAAAAGTTGCCTAACCAACATAGCCAAGAACAACTGATTTCTATAAAAGGCATGGAAACTGGTAACAGAAAATTAGGTCTCACTCAACTGGCTACTTCTTAATGCAGCCTTAACCAGAATGGTGCTGAATCACGGCTTTTAAAGACAATCAGCAGACATCTAATACTTTCAGTGATGACAAAACTTTTCTGTGACTGCATGTTTAACAATGTTCAGAAATGTGTGTAAAGCCTTGGTATTAAGGCTTAAATACTCAGGAGACAATGGGAGGTGGTGAGGGAGAACAGGGTATTCTTAGCCATGGTACTCCCTGCCTTAAACAAAAGGGTTACAATAGCTGAGTTGCTAGTGACCAATCCATCCTACCATCTCCACAAAAGGGTGGCTTCTCTTCTCCCTTCTACAGCAATAGTGGAGACATTTGGTTATTAGGGGGGGAAAAAAAAAGACCTTAAAATTTTGAAAATAGCAGATCACATTTCTTAGTCTTGGGTTCTTAGGGAACTCATTTTCTCACCACGATTGTGCCTGAAGTCTGAACAAACATAAAAAAAGGCGTGTTTGAAAATAATGTTACAGTCTAAATATGTTACCATCATTCTGAGGAAGTTTAAAAACATCCTATCTGCATCATGATATGTTTCTTGCATTCCTGGTATGCATAACTGTGTACTCTTGGGAATTTGTAAAAATGAATGAAATGTAAAGTGAGAATATCCTAGGTAATTGAAAGGCTTATAAATATGAAAGTATGTTCATTAGCATTAATATTCATTAAAACTACACTAATTGTTAGCCAGTATTCACACTTATAATCCTAGCTACTTAGAATGCAGAGATCAGGAGGACCGCGGTTCAAACTTAGCCCAGGCAAATAGTTAATAGTTCACCAAACCCTATCTTCAAACTACCCAACACAAAAAAAGGGATGACAGAATGACTCAAGTGGTAGAGCGCCTGCCTAGCAAGTTTGAGTTTAAACCCCAGCACCACCAAAAAAACCCCACAAAGCTATAGTAACTATAAATAAGTGCAAAGTTGGAGAAAAGGAATAGTAAGATCCTAATATAGTTCAACTATTAACATGCAAGCCATGTCATAAGGAAAGAACACGGTGTAATGAAACAGAAAAGCTAGCCCACAAAACACTCCATCTTCTCCCCTTCACATCAGAAACATTTCTCAAAGCAATGAAGACAAAAAATGGGAAAATTTATCAATATACTTCAATAATGAAATATTTTCAGCCTTATTAGGCATCTATTTACATATTCTTCTGACACGGTGACTCTCAAGCTTTGGTGCGCATCAGAATGAGCTGGAAAGCTTCCTAAAATCTGTGGGGCTAAGGCTACCCCATAGTTTCTGACTCAGAAGATGCGGCTGGACCTGAGCATCACCTAATGAGGTTCTAGGAGACGTTGCTGCTGCTCTGGGGCCACACTCTGGGAACAACTGTCTTGACAGAAGCACTGAAAGGTGAGTCTTTAAGTGCTCAAAAACAGGTCACAGCACCAGATTTTTAAAATAAAACATCAAATATCAGAGAGGTGAGGGCAACTGTCCATCTTATACAAGTTTCCTGCAGAGTTTCAAATTTTCAGAAACAGCAACTGAACCTTAGGTGATAAAGAGATTCTGAATCTTCTTTTTGGAGAACACTGACATTACAGTGGCCAAAAGGCAACTTGAAGCATTTAATCCTAAGAACTGTGCAAACTGGAAAAGTAACCTTGTTTTAGAAGTTTATTTTTTCCTATCCCATCTTCCTTCCTTCCAACTAATTGCAAGTTATGGTATTTTCCTACCCAATATGTCCAAGTGGAAGAAAAAACTGATTCTTACTGTTAGCAACTAACCTAGTATGAGGAAAAACTTCCTGTTTTGTTTTAAATGACAATAACATTTTACCAGCAAATAACACTTTATTAAATTACAGTGTTATTATACAACTAGATAATACAATTCCTAATTCCCACATTTAAAAAATGTTACTAATCTGATTTTTTTGAAATCGATAAACATAATTATGTGACATTTACTTCTGCCAGATACCAACTGCTAGGTCCACTATGTGCACAATCCTGAAAGAGGACTCCGTCCATAAGAAGCCAATGATTCATGATTACAAACCTTTGGTTAATTTTTCAACATGCTTCTGGAGCTCAATATCCACATTAAAATGGACATACGTATCTTCTTTTCTTGAAGCCACAGGGGTATCTTGCACAGGAGTTAAATCTATGCCATTCAGATCTAGAGAGAAACAAAAGTCTCTGCTTAGGACCATTCAACAGCCTCTGTGTTTCCTACAGAGGACTGGAGAGGGCTGAAAGGAGATTCTCGGGCTAACAGAGATTCCTACTCGGTGTGATCAGGAGCTTGGGAGCTGCTGGTGTCCACAGAGGTACGTGGAGGGAGCTGAGTAGAGAGGATGGGAGACCTCATGAAGGGGAGGAAGGTTTATCATGGCCAGGTCTCAAAAAAAAAAAGCTTACAGTAGACAAAATTTGATCTTTATAGCTAAGAGGTAAAAAGAACTTTGTTTTCCTGATGGTAGACCACTCTATTTTAGTATACAATAAAAATGTGGGACAAATATAACTTACCACAATGTGACCCCCTGCCCCTATTTTCCAACTTTGAAGTATATGGCTTGGAAAGGCCTTTGAGAATCTAACATTATCAGAATTCACCTGTTGTATTAAAATCAAATGGACATGTGAGCTGCTAATGAAACCCTTCCATCAATGAACAAAATTATACTTATATTATCTAAATACTGGTTATAGTTGCTAAAACATAACTTGATTTGCAACATCAGATGGCACAGTAAGTTACTGTTTTAATTTCTTGAGTCCAGGAATTCCCATTTATTCAATTCAACAAGGACTAAGTATTTATGCATTCTTCAACAGAACTGTCTTAGGGAACTTAAAAATAATTTAGTACATTTGATTATTTTAGTTCTTAAAGATATTTACACAAAAGACATGTTGCAGTTCATTATATATGCAAAAGTAACATCTACTATATTATCATTAAATATTTTTGTGTCTCACAGTGCATATTCCTGAATGAGTTATGTGGCTTTGGAAGTGGCCTATTGAACAATGTAGAGTATAAATACTTTCCAATGAACCACATGTTTGAAAACAGTAATATCAGAAGTAAAAATATAATAGCATTAGTGCCACTGGTCATATTCTGTACATATTAAATTTTTTCTTCCTTTTTTAAATTATTGTTGTAATGGAGGCACATTGTGGTATTTACAAACTTTCTTACAATATATTAGAGTTGAATTCACCTCCTCTATCACTATTCCCTCCTCTTGCATTTCTGGAATAGTTTCAACAGGTCTCATTTTTCCATTTATATACATAATTAAATAATATTTTCACCATATTCACCCTCCTACACCCTTTCCTTATATCCTCCCCCGTCCCACTGGCACCAACCCCTCAGACAGGATCTGTTTTTGAAAAAAAAAGGCATTTTTGTTTGTTTAAGATAGCTACACAGGGTGTTTCATTGTGACATTTCCATGTATATATGCATTATAACCTAAATTGGTTCATACCCTGTATTTTTTGCCTTTCTAGCTTATGGTGATTTCAACAGGTTTAAAAATTCTATATTCATTCTTGTATAGGAAGTATATTAACCATATTTAGTTGGTAGTAATAAACCCATGGATCTGAGTTTATTTCTACAACTGATAAAAGGTCCTTCCATTTAATTTAAGCCTACATCTGTTTCTTTGATTTGTCTTAATCTACTGATTAAAGTAAAATCACTTGTATTAACAGTACAGTTATTTCTGGATAATGATATGACGATTTTATCCTTAATGACTCAATAATTATGAAGTTTTTTGAGACTATGTTACCCAGGCTGTCTTGAACTCCTGGGTTCAAATGATCCTTAGTCTCCCCAGTAGCTGAGATTACAGGCATGTACCATTGGATCTGACATCAATAATTACTTTTAAAAGACTCTTAAGTGCTTTATAAGTAAAGCTCTGTATAATATGCTTTGAAACAACAAAACAACTTAACCACTGTGGTTTCCCTCTTTTTCTTTTTTTTTAATTCTAAGGGGTGTGAACTCAGGGCTTTGCCCTTTCTCAGCAGATACTCTACCCCTTGAGCCACACCTCCAGCCCTGGTTTCCCAAACTGAAAAAGTTATTTTTAAGGAATAAATGGACTGCCAACATTTGGATAGGAGAAAAAAAAAAATAAATTTTAATTACACTTAACGCCACAATAACATAGGTAAGGGTAAGAAATAGTTCACTTTTCTGTTCTGTAGGATTCAAGCATACTTCTCTGTTTCTACTGATGTGCTTTGAAGGTCTGATTCTCATCCCCTCTTCAGAACCTGCTTTGTAGAAACCTCTCTGGGACAGGAAGGAAAGGGCCTGAAGCAGGAGGGATGGGAAAACAGAACAAGGGGCTTTGCCAAGAAAACCACACACCCCATAAGTTTAGGGGCATTTTATTACCCTGCATCCTGAAAGCTGGATCTGCTATTAATATGTATGTCTAGGCAGCACCCTAGATGAATCTGAAGAATAAATGATACATACAAAGGCAAATTCAAAAGCAAAAGCAAATATAAGTTATAAATAGAAAAGTATTTTCAGTAAAGCTCTCATAAATGTTCGGTGTTCTCTTCCAGGGATTTCATCTTGTGGTAGGATGAATTAAAATGAGTTGTCATAGATACAAAAAAAATTATTCCAAATGAGAAGCAGTATCATAACATTTGCCTGGGTCTGGGAATGTCAAGGGAGTTTCTTACCCTTTACGCTAACTGTAATATAGGGATCAATGCACTGCCCGGCATCTTTCAGACCAATTTTCTCAATTCTGATGGTGAGTAAGGTCATTCCTGGTTCTGATGGCAACCTTGGTAATAAAGTACCTGGCAACAAAGAAACCACAATAAAAGTTAGCTCCACCAATCATTTCAGAGTAAATATTTTAACAAACAGAAAAGACAGAGACTTGCTCTTAACTCAGTAACTAGTCAGGCAGTACATGTTTTGGTTTCCAGAACTCCCAGACACTTGCTTTTACTCTCTTTCGACAAGTATCTAATTGATACACAAGATAAATCTGTACTTCCATGTCTCAAAAACACCATGAAGTAGAATATTAATTCGAGCTTGTTAAAAATTCTACTCACTCAAAGGAAGCCCAATTATAAACTAACACATTATTAATAACATAATATACTCATATAATATATACACATCATATATACTTATATAACATACATTATATTTCAATATGAAGTAGTAGAACAAAAATAGGGAAAGCTTTTACCTATTTGCTATATTATATGCTATTGTAAAGTTTTTTTGTTTTTTAGCGATCCTAAAATTTCAAAAATTTAGTATCAGTCAGCAAATCTTTTAGTTAGAATTTACAACTTAATATTTACACTTTAATTGCATAATCATAGTCTAATTTCTCATTTTTTTCCTCATTCTATTCTGTATGATTTATTCTGTCAGAAGTTAATACTTTAGAAAATGCCACATCAAGCCATAGGAGCAATTTGTATGTTTGAAATCTTTAAAAAATGTTAAAACTAAAGGCCCACCCAGAATGGCATGAGAGCATTCCCTCATTTAAGAAAATGGTATAGCTGGGCACTGGTGGCTCACATCTCTAATCCTAGCTACTCAGGAGGCAGAGATCAGGAGGATCACAGTTTGAAACCAGCCTGGGCAAACAGTTCACAAGACCCTATCTTGTAAATACCTAACACAAAAAGGGCTGGTGAAGTAGCTTATGGTGTAGGCCCTGAGTTCAAGCCCCAGCACCAAAAAGAAGGTCTGAAGGAAGGAATCAATTGTACAGCTTGTTCCTTTTTTTCAAGGCATCTATGGAGAAGGTATAAAAACAGGAGTTGATTTTAATCTAGTATGTCCACAGTACCTTCAACTACACACAAAGCCTGACACTTACAAAAGACTTTGGTTGATACACTCAAGTTTCTATTCAACAACAAATATTGAGGTGTATTAATCAATCAGCTTACTATATTCTAAAATGTTGTATATTTGATTGACAACAAACCGCCTTGAAGGAAATTGTTGAGCAATGGAAATTGAAATGGATTGGGGTGATAGATGCATAACTATAAATGTATCAAAATCATTAAACTGTATACTTACAGTAGGTAAATTTTACAATACGAAAATTATACCTGACTATTAAAAATAATAGTGATTTAAACATTTGCTTCAATTATTTCATATTGAAACAAATATGAAAACAACCCAGAAAATGCAGAAAAGGAAAAGATTGGAGACTTCATTCCATGGGTATATTAACAGACCTTAAGAGGCTAGGGATAATTCTAAATATATACATGATATAAGACCTTGTATGCTGTCTTTTCTGACTGACTTGTACAATGAAGGTGTCTCTAGAAAAGAGATTTTTAAGTGAATTCTGGGATGAGCTTTGAAGAGTTAAGAAACACCTTTGAAATTTTATTAAAAATATGAGTACTTGTACTTATCTGAATTCTTCTGCAGAAAAGTTCACATTATACAATATTTGGTTATATAAATAACCACAGTTTATTTATCTAACCTTCTGTGGATAGACATTTGAGTTGCTTCAAGTTTTTGGATATTGTTAACAATCCTGCTGTATTGTGAACATGTTATGGTGCCTACAGCACACATTTCCGAAAGAGGAATTACTGAGTCACATGGCATGTACCTCCAAGCCTACCGTGTAATGTCAAGTTTTTTACAGTGGATATGCCTATTTCTCTTCCTAGCACAAGTGCAGTATTGTTCCCAGCGTTCCACATCCTTACTTGCACTTTGTTTTCTCAGATTGTTCACTTCAAGCCAAATGAAGTGTCGAGAGATTTCAATCTAGTTTTCATTTGCATTTCCTCTGAGGGTTGATATGATTAAATGCTTTTTCTTATTAGATTGAGCATCTGGATTTCTTCTTTTCTGAAGTGTTTGCCCATTTTTCTATTGAAATATCCATCTTTTTTTATTGACTTATAGGTCTCTAATATTTTAATATAAGCTTTTTGTTGGATATATTTTACAAATAGCTTCTTCAGTTTTCCTTTTAAAAGCTTTTTATTGAAGCACAACATGTATATTTAAAAATCCATAAATCTTAAATACATTTATGTGCATTTTCAGAATGTGAAATACCTGTGTAAGTCTGATCAGTGCAAAGAAAGACATGACCAGCATGCTAGACACATCCAAATCTCAATCTCTCTCTCTCTCAAGAGAGCAATTATTCCTACCTTAATTAGTTTTCTATGGTTAAGAATGACTTTTCTCTGTAATGGTGTCTTCTAAGACAAATTCTTAATGATAATAATATACTTAAAATTTTAAATCTGTTCCTTTATAATCAGTGCCTTTTGTGTTCTATTAAAGAAACCTCTACCTATAATACACAAAGGCATTATAAATAGTGTATTGTTTTTCCATTCATACTTAATTATACATTCCACAGAAAATTAATTACTGTTTGGGGTATGTGGCAGGAGCTCAATTTCATTCTACTCAACATAAATAATCATCCCAGCACCACTTATTAAAAAGACTGTAAAATTTTCCCTATTGATATGCAGTTCTACCTTGATCAGGTATGGGTCTGTTTCTGGGTTCTCTATTTCTTTTCTTTTTTTGGGGGGGTGGTTCTCTATTTCATCTCACTAGTCTGTTTCTTATCCTTGCACCACTATCAGTGTCTTACTATAGCTTTATAAAAAATATCTTGACATTTGGAAAACAAATTCTCCCACCTTGATATTATACTTCAAGAATCACCTACTTTTGGCTCTGCATTTATAAAATTAGACCTCCCCCTTTTTGGTGGCAGAGTGGGTTTAATTCAGGGCCTCACTATTGCTGGGCAGGTGCTCTACTACTTGAGCCACTCCACCAGCCTTTTTGTGTTGTCTATTTTTGAGATAGGGTCTTGCTTTATATGCCCAGACTGATTTGGATAATAATCCTTCTATCTGTGCTTCCTGGTGTAGCTGGGATGACAGGTGCCCACAACCACACCTAGCCATTGGTTGAAATGGGACCTTGTGAACTTTTTGCCCAGGCTGACCTTGAACTTCGACCTTCCCAATCTCCATCTTTTGAGTAGCTACGATTATAGGCTTGAACCACTGCTCCTGGCCTAAAACTAGCTTCTAAAAAACTATTTTTACAATGTGTGAAGTTCTTAAACACACACAAACCTGTTGGAATTACAGTGAAATTCAAATCAATTTTAGAAATAGTCACATCTTTACAAATCACTTCTTCTAATCCATGAACTGGTATATATCTGTACGTTTTTAAAAGAGTTCTTAATTTTTTCTTAATAAAGTTTTATTTGGGGCTAGGAGTGTAGCTCAATGGTAGAGCACTTGTCTAGCAAGTGTGAGGCCCTAGATTTGATCTCCAGAACTGCAAAAGAAAAAACAAATCCATAAATATTAAAATATAGATTTATAAAATAAACAGTGAACTTTAATATAGAATGCTGAGCAAAACAGTTGAGAGGGTAGATAATCCCCTCCAGCAGGGCTACAAGCAAAAGACCACGCCAGATGCAAACCTCCAGAGATCCACACTTGTGCACCAGCTGGCACTCTACAAAAACAAAAACCAAGATGGGAAGTCTACATACCACAGAGCACATAGACATAAGGGAAGGAGCCCAAACCACACACACACACACACACACACACACACACACACACACACACACACACACACACACCACCAAACTCCAAAGATATCCTCTCTTCATTGCCTAAACTGAACAACCTGAACTTAGATTCACCAATAGAATCTACTTGTGGTGGAGGACATCCAACAGGATCTCAGCAGCAAAGCCAAAGGCTAAAATCACCAAAATAATAGCCTTGCAGCTGTGAGTTAGGACTCCTGCAGTGGCAGCAGAGGCAGAACTGCAACACAAATTCTCTGAACTCAGGCAAGAAAAGAAGCATAAGTTGTCTGTGCTAAGACAGAAAATTAGGAAGCTAAGGTGATCAGGATGAATTAAGAGTCCTTTTAGCCTTGCGCAGTCAGTGTAAAATACAATGTCTTTATCACTTTGCATACCTCAAGGGCCAGAGAGATTGCTGCAGAGCAACCACTGCCCAGAATTTATTTCCCAGAATAAACCAACACAAGCTGAGACAGCCAACCTGAAGGATCCTCTGTTCACATACTAGGGACAGGTTTCTGGCAGCCCCAACATTAGCAGTTCTACTTATAGTAAACACTGTCTTGAATTCAACTCAGCAGGGAGAAGATTCTTGGAAGCTCACATCTGCTTTCCCCTGGACTTCACCTATGTGCCTTTTCCCTTTGCTAATTTTGTTCTTGTGTTCTCTCATAGTAACTTGTAGCTGTGAGTACAACTATATGCTGAGTCCTAGAGAATCACTGACCATCTGGATGGTATTAAGGACCCCTGACACAAATGATGCAGTCACACTATGTAATTACATAGCTATTGACCACAGTCATGAAAATTTGTTTATGTTTGCAGTGGGCTCTGGAAAGGTTTTGTTCCCCAATAGTAAGTATCAAAGTAAGTCCCAAACACCAGGACCTTGGATGAAATAGCACATATTCTTTATAAATGATACCCACCTGGAACTCGAGCAGGAAAAGAATCAGGAGACCCCGCTCCAGCACCACCCTCTTCTTCATCTTCTTCAAATTCCAAATTCTCTTCTTCACCAGGTGCTAAAATTCTTCTACATGAAAAAAAGACAAAAAACATAGTGAACTACAATATTTAAAACATTAATGTATTAGTTATGCCTCACAGTGAATCATTTCCCAGGTAAGAAACTGATTATTTTAAAAAGTTGATACACTGCAATCAATGTTACATCAATGACATCAGTTACCACTGGTATCAATTGTAAAATGATACCAAAGTTAATATTAAAGCCAAGAAACGCAAGGTATAAAATAGATAATAAAATGAAAAGGCAAATATGGACACTTATTTGTTTTACCTTAATGGGACAGGCTGGACATCAAATGGGAATTCTTTATTATATGTAAGAATATTCTTTAGGACTAGAATAAAAAGATAAATGAGCATGAATTCTTCCATGAATAAAAAACCAAATATATCTTAAATGGCTAGTTTTTAATCAACTTTTGTATGTACATTTGTAATAATGTATTACGCATTTATCCACTGGAGATCTTAGAAAATGAACTCCCAAATAGTTCTTCTATGTACAAGGTCCTAGGTGAGACATGGGATATCAGAGAAAGAGAATACCTCTTCCCTGTAAGTGCTTTAAAAGACTGATATCAAAGATGGCAATTAGAGGGATATACATAAGTACATTTTATTCTGTCTTGAGTAGATTTCTCCTCAACACCACCAAATTGGTAAGGTGTGTAACAGCAAGGATATAATTCTCATATTCCTTTTATGATAAAATTTATTATATATTTACATATATAGACACACCCAAACAAAGTGAGATTTATCTTCACTAGAAGTCTTCAAACGACATGGTACCACCTTCTGCTTCCTGGCTGTGGTCTGTATTACAATGGTATACATGTCAGCTTGGAGAAAGATGTTCTACAATATTACTTATTTTATACAGAGAGAAATACTCTAAGTGTATAATTTAGTTGTCTTCATTTCTTGCCTTATGGGTTCCCAGTAACTAGCTGCAATTATATAAAGGTGAATTCACATATCAACTGGGCAACCCAAAGGGCTCCCATGATTTTGTACTCAACTTATTCAACCTTTAACTTTGAAGTTCTGCAGTTTAGAGCTAAAAGGACAAGAGTCAGTGTTGTCATTAGCAAAACACAGTTGAGAAGATTTATCTGAGTATTTGGCATATAGCTGCTACATCTTAAAAAGTGGCAACTTTTGAAAGATCTTGTGATGCAATCAGAGAATTGAGTATATGTATAGGAAATGATTATATATATATATTAGAATAAATAATTTATAATCTTTATGGTTATTCTAGGTATCTAGAAAATTCTTTCTTTTTTTTTTTTTCTTTTGGTGATGCTAGAGAACAAAACCAGGGTCTCTTGCATGCTTAGTAAGGGCTCTTTTCACTAAGCTACATCCCCAGCCCTCTATAAGATTCTTAAATTTTGTCTGGGAAAAAAAAAACACCTGCGGAAAATAGTGACTAAATAAGAAGCCAAAACTCTCATTACTCTTCATGAGCATAAAAGTTAATTTTCTTTGAAACCATTCTATAACTACAGTTGAAACTTTTTTTTTCCCCAGTGCTGGGGATTGAACCCAGGGCCTCCCACATGCTAGGCTAGTACTCTACTAAGTTACACTCCTCAGTCCTAAACTTGTAATCTTTTATTTAAAACATATGCTTTCCTCAAAATAATCTTTTATATATATAGCAAGTCATGAAAGACCATATATTATATGGCTCTACTTATATAAAATATTCAGAATAGGCAAACTTACAGACAGAAATTAAATTAGTAGTTTCCTAGAGCAGGATACTGGAGGGGTGAATGGAAGGAAGAAAAGAATGAGTGATTGGCAATGAGTATAGGATTTCTTTTGGGAGTGATAAAAATGTCCTAAAATTGAATGAATGGTTGCACAACTCTGTCAATATATTAAGAAATCTATTATATACTTTAAATTGATGAACTGTATATGAACAATATCTCAATAAAAGTTTATGAGCTGGATTACATAAGGTAACCAAAACTATTGAAAATGACACAGTTCATCATAATTCTTACATACAGAAGGACAGTGTTCTGTAGAAATGAAATATGATCACCTATCAATTGTGGAAAAGCCACCAAAATAATGACAAATCTTCTGTGATTCTTTTTTTTCCTTTTCTCTACTAACCTAAACAATAGAAATCAGGTCCCCTTGCAGCCAACCCTGAGAAACCCCTCTTGCCCTGGACCTGCAATTATAATCACATTTCAACCACCTCAATTATACATACCTGTCTTTCTCAACTTGCTAAAAATGAATTAGAATTGGAAGCTTATGGAATTCATACGAACATTCTCTTTAGTTCTTTTACTTCTTACCCAAGGCAAGAAGCATCAAAAGGACTATACTAGTGTGAACTAAGCCTGACTGACCCATATCCTGAGATTCAGGCTCTACTTAGCTACCAAAGGCTCAAGTGAAACAGCAAATCATTTCACCTCCTATAACTACAAGATGAGAAAATGAGACCAATGGCCAAGGCTCCTTTCTGTTCTAAATGCTATAATCTTATGATTCTCTTCTTAAAATTTAAAAAAAAATTATTAGCATATAATAGTTGTGCAGAAGTATACATTGTGATAGTCACATAGGTGCTAACAATGTACCTTAATTAGATTCACCCCTTTCATGCTTCTCCCTCATTTCCCTTCTTAGAACTGTTTTAGCAAATTTCATTTATTCTATTTTTATACATAAATATGAAATACAGCCACCACATTCACCTTCATTTACCCTCTCTTTAAGCTCTCCTCATCCCAACAGTCCCCACCTCTGGAAAGGACCAGTTTTACCTTCCTGTCCTTCATTTTTCCTACTTAGAAATTTATCTGAACAGATGGACAAATAAAATCTACTGCTCTCTATTTACATTAGTATGTTCAGATGTGCAATCCTGTCTCAATGAAAGAAAAGTTTATTGACTTACATTCAGTCATATTCAACTTTGTGCCTTTGCCCATACTGCAAATATTTCTCCTTATGAAAACAGCTTTACTGGGCATTATCCTAACTAACCACCAAACATTTGAAAGAACTGTTTACTTCAAAAATTTTTAAAGAGGGTTCTGAGAAAATTGAAGACAACAAGGAAATATTTTGTAGTAAAGCCCCACAGAGGGCTATGGTTTTCAAAGACACATAGTATGAATGGCATCAATGACTGTGACTTTATATTCTCTGTTAAGACTGTACTGTAAATGTTTATCAAAGTAATTATGGTCTTATTAAAGCCATTAAGACAAAACAAAGGCTAATATATATTTAGATGAAATACAACCTCATATATTCTACAATGAAGATGAAATCCAAACTATGATTACTATAAATATTGTAGGAATTTAAAAAGCACCACAAAAAGACACATATAACTAGCTATTAAGAAAAATAAGTCCAGTCACCATCTGTACTAATGTTAATATCTATAACAGATATTTTCCTGAAAGAGTATCACCCAAAAATATAAAATGATACTTACTTGGTTCTAGCTTCTTCAGGTCCTCCAGTTTAAATTCTTCTTGAGACTGTGTGGACTAAATTTAAAATATGCATATTATATCTTTTTATTACAAAGATTTCACTGTGCCCTATGTCTTTTAAGTGGCAAGACCAAATATTCAAAATTTATCTATTTCTTGATTTCAAAGTAGAAAATGGAAAAGTCTCAAAATGGTTTTTGTTTTTGTGTTCTTGGAACATTCAGGCTAAAAGTAACAGAAAAAAAATAAAGTTATCTCTTTTATTTCTACAGTTTACAAAATACAAGTCACTTAAATGTGAGTTCCTATGGTTACAGAACCATTGTGGGACAATAGTGCTTTTGGCACGAGTGCCAGAAGTGTTACCAGAGTAATTCAGAATAATTTATTCTTCCCATATTAGAAAAGAAAAAAATCTGAATTTACCTGTAAAGCTGCACTTCGCAATTCCAAGCATGTTGCAATTTTACCTATGGTTTTCTGCAAGAGAAAAAATGCTATAAATACCAAAATTACTATAACTGTTGATTGTTATAATCAAGTTAATTTTTTGATAAAAGGTCTACAATACTTTTAAACAAATTAAGCGTTGTTTTTGTTTTTTCCTCTATCATCTTGCAAATTTTAGAGAAACAGGAAACAAAGGGTTGAGATGGGGGAAAGAAGTTGAGTATATATTCTTTTCTTATCTATCATGCCACAACCAATTTTAAACCAAGTCTGTATTGGTGACAGCTTTGGATATGATTTAAAGGTCAATGAATACAGCCATTATGGAAACCAGTATGGAGATAGCTCCAAAAGTTAAAAATAGAACTACGATATGATCCAGAAGTCCTAGTCCCAGGTCTATGGCCAAAGAAAATGTAATCGATAATTCTAAAGAGACATCTGCACTCTGATGTTCACTGGCAAGACAACTGCCAAGAAATTTAAGTGTCTATCACCTGATGAATGGATAAAGAAAATGTGTTACACTTACACAGTGGAGTCATAAAAGAAAATCTCATCACTTGCAATAACATAGATGGAGCCAGAGATCATATGCTAAGTGAAATGAATTAGGCACAGAAAGACAAGTATCATGTTAATAGTGGTTATTAGAGGCTGAGAGAGTAGTGAGGAGAAGGGGGAAAGCTTGATTGATTGTACTAAGTTAAGGTTAGAAAGGAGCAACAAGTTCTGCTGTGCTGTTGCACTGTAGGATGACTATGCATAACTAATGGATTGTGCATTTCAAAAAGTTACAAAAATAATTTTGGAAGTTCTTACTGTAAAGAAATGATAAATATTTTAGTAGATATATCTAACTTGATTTAAGTGTTACACAATGTATTCATATAACCAAAACATCACCTTACCCTTTTAATATGCACAATTTTTGCTTATATGTATCAATTAAAAATTTTAAAATTATCATAAGAAAATTTCCAAAGTGAAAGCAATGAAAAGGACTCCTTGACATGTTCCTTCCCTAGCTTCATATTTTCTTCTTCAGAAAGCCTGAAATAAGACTAAAAGTCTTAAAAATAAAAATACCTGAAAGCATAGTGGTATAATACATCCCTAACTTAATTAAAGACATAGGCAATACTAAGTAAAATCAGTATTTCTAATCAACAGTGGCAAATTTTACAGTCAGATTGTTTTATAGAAAGACATATGAAATGGATATAAGTGGTAGAGCACAGTACTTGCTTTTGTGGGGATTTTTTTGTTTTGTTGTGTTTTGTTTTTGTGGTACTGGGGGTTAACTCAGGTTCTGCCCCTTGAGCCACTCTACCAGCCCTTTTTTGTGATGGGTTTTTTCAAGATACAGTCCTGCAAACTGTTTGCCCAGGCTGGCTTCAAACAGTGATCCTCCTGATCTCTGCCTCCTGAGTATTTGGATTACAGATGTGAGCCACAGGTGCCTGGCAGTACTTGCTTTTAATAATTAAAGCTCATTTTGTATTATGTGAGATAAGATACATATAAAATCACATAATACAAAGCAGATAGTCAAGTCTATGAGGTTCAGCAAAGTGAGCCCCCTTATAGTTATCCTAAAGAAACAGAACAAGATCTGTATAAGGAATCAAGTCCCAAAGACTAGAAGGATTTCTAAAATTAAAGAGTTTAGAAAACCATCATGATTCAACTGCCTAAAGACTGAAAGCAGGATAGGTTTGAAAAGTAAGGTGGAATGGGACATAGTCATTCTGAAATGGACTTTCAGTGACTAGCTGGGGAATCTAGGACTATTTTAGCAAGTAAGTTACACAGAAGGTTTAGGAACAGAAGGACTCTGTCAGATCTGCCCTTAAAGAAGACTGTTGTGGGCCAGAAATGACTGTGCACACCTTATAGTCCCAGCTGCCAAGGAGTTGAGGTAGGATCATGGATCATTAGAGACCAGCCTGGGAAACACAATGAGAATGTCTCAAAAAAAAAAGACTACTGTATACAAAGCATAGATAAAGAAGAGATTCACAAAAGAAATGATCTGGAAAGACAGGCGAATTATGCCATCAAAACTTTTAGATCCTTCCCAAAAAAGTATTTCTGAAGTTTCTTTAGAAATAAATCCAGCCTAGTGACGTGTTAATGTACAAGATTTGCAATGCCAGCACAAGGAAATTTTCTGAAAAAGAAAATGGCATGTTTTCCTAAGTGAACTGATGACTTACAAAAGTTTAGTAAAGACCTGGTGAAGTGACTCAAATGGTAGAACACCTGGGTAGCAAACATGAGGCCCTAACTTCAAACCCCAGTGCCGCAAAAAAAAAAAAAAAAAAAAATAGATTTAGTAAATTGGATTTGGCAGAGTTTCTCTTCAGTTAATTATCTTTGGAAGGCAAATGACGAGCCAAGAGGAATAGTAAATATTGCCCTGACTCCTGGTGCTTAGGTTAGTGGGCACTATACAATTATGTTATCTACAACAAATAGTTGGGACAGCAACTTAAAAATAAACCATTAATGAGCAAGACATGCTTTTCAGCCAGTAAGTAATTAACAAAATTTAGCCATTTCCTCAAAATTCAAAATTTCTTTTCCTTTTTTTTAAATTTTGGTGGAAGTCAGGTTTGAATTCAGGATATTGCACTTTCTAGGCAAGCACTCTACCACTAGAGACACACCCTCAGCCCTTCTGTCTCAGTTAATTTTCAAATGGGGCCTCACAATTATGTGTGGGCTGACCTGGACTTCAAGCCTCTCATTTATGCTTCCTGCATAGCTGGGATGAAAGGGCCACCCCCACACTCAACTTTCATTGGATGAAATGAGATTCTCCTGATCTCTGTCCCCTGAGTAGCTAGAATTAGAGGCATGAGCCACTATACCCAGTTTAAAATTCTTTTTACAAAATGTCCAGTTTTATTCTAAAAGTTTAACTTGAAGATTATGTTTGAAAATTGCATTTCTACATTGTAACTCCAAAAGGATTCAAGATATGCGTAGTTTTATTCAGCCTCTCAAGTCGTTATTGTGTAGAAACCAGCTGGTCTTTTCTACATAAAATCTAACATCTCCAAATCATAGTTGCTCAAAGATACCACTCAACATCAATAAGACTAGTATATAATTTTAAGTATACTACTAATAATGACAGCAACTATTGAACACTTATTAAAAAACAAGTTCACTTAAAAGACTTACAAATACTCATTCACTCATGATAACCCTATGAGTTAGATACTACCAATGTATAAGTATTATAAAACAAAGATGAAAGAACTTGTCCTGGACATCAATACCTTTTATAGAACACAGCAAAATGAACAAAGCCATATACTTATATTAATAATCTATAACTTTTTAAGTTCTTTAAAAATTGATTTTTAAAAAGAATTCTGTCTGTATTGAGATATGTCAATAAGTTAATCTTTAAAAGTAGTAATGTCTTTTCCTTTTTTACTATAAATTCCACATAATTTCATGCTTTTATCATTAAAGGTAAAAATACTATAGATTAACAACTATGAGTCCACTAATAAACTATTTTAAATGTAAACATTTCTTCAAGTTAAGCAGAAGCAACAAAATTTTACACAGAAATGTACTGAGTTATGGCAAAATACCAAGAGGCATTATTCATAACTATTTTAAGGGACCACACCCAATCTCAGTATTAAAAAGGGAATGAAACACTATCATTTCAGCTGTGGCAAAACTTTTAAAACATGTAGGATTTCCTGATGCCAAAATCAAGTGCTTGCTACTGAAATACTTTCATCTTTCTTAGAAATAAATAGTTCACAAAAGTGATTAAGAAACTCAAGTTCATCTGTACCAGAGCGTAAGTAATAACTATGAATTAATGTACAGTAAGACTAAACTCTGAGCCAAATATGTTGGTGTAGCACCGGGGAGGCTGAGGCAGATGGATCACAAACTGAAAGCCAGCCTGGGCTACACAGGGAAACCCAGTCCCAAAAAATTAAAAAAGGAAAAAAAAAATCAAACACTTATGGTAAATGAAGTGTAATTTTAGAAAGACTTACACTTCTAGCGCCTCATTCAAATAAATTGCATTAATACCTAATGGTGCACAGAAATGGAAAACACTCATTTTTTAAGTGTGGACTATTTTACTTTGTCATTGCAAAGGAAATTGATAGCTCAAAAGATCAGCTAAAGGAAAAGATGGAAAAAGGGACAATAAGAGCTGAATTAATTTTGTTAAAGTGAACACAATTTATGTAAGGAAAAATCAGTTAAACGCTACATAAAGTAGTATAGTCCCATTAATCTAGTCTTAAATTTTAAATAATTAGCCAGTCATCTTCTGTCTAGCTAGGGATGGGGGTGTGAAAAGATGGGGATAGAGAGAAGGGTAGAAGTAGAAATGGGGGGGCTTTAAAATACAAAACAAGAATATAGTGCTGGATTTCTCATTACCACCAAATTTGAATCAAAACAGGGAAAAACTTTCTAAGCATCATGAGACAGGATGTTCTATTCTGTCCAGAAATTTACATGAGAAAATCTGTTACACCAAAGTAGGGAATTCAGTGGAATGAAAGCTGCTGGCAGCTTTCTGTTGGCTATTCAACCCAGTTGTTATAATGACAAAACTATTGAGAACTGAAATGAAACTTAAGTGAACTAATCGTGAAGAGGGATCAAATAAGAATCATACTTAATTTAAGCCAGAAATCTTTGAGAATATAAAGAATAGAAAATATATATGAAATTTTGTACTGTTCCCAGTTAATAAGATTTAGAGATCAGTCATACTGCTTTAGAGTTCTTTAGATTTAAAATAAATATTGTGAAACTGCAAACTATTCAAAAATTAGGATTTACCTTGTCTTAAAATAACCATGTATTAGTATCAACAATCTAATATCTAACAAAGCATTTAGTCATCAAATATTTTTGAGAGCTCATTGGTGGCTCACACCTGTAATCCCAGCTACTTAGGAGGCAGAGACAAGAAGGATCAAGGTTGGAGGTCAGACTGGGCAAAGGCAGTAAGAACTATCTCAAAGCTGAGCATTTTGGCACATGTCTCTAACTACAGCTACATGGGAGGCAGAAGTCGGAGGATCAAAGCCCAAGGCCAGCCCAGGCAAAAGCAAGACTCAATCTGAAAATAACTAAAGCAAAAAAAGGGTTTAAAATATAGCTCAATAATAGAGCACTTCCCTAGCAAGTGTGAGGCCTTAAGTTCAAACACCAATACCATCAAAAAAAAAAAAAAAAGAAAGAAAAAAATTTAAAGAGAAAGTACTTTTTAAAATGATATATCTTCTTAACAAAGTTCCACAAATTATTAAATAGTTTTAGTTCTAAAATTTGCCACTGTTAGGGCAGGGTATGGTGGTTCATACCTACAATCTCTGCTACTGGGGAGGCAGATCACCATTCAAGACCAGCCTGGGCAAAAAGTTAGTGAGACCCCATATGTCAACCAACAAGGTAGGCATGGTGGCATGTACCTGTAATCCCAGCTATTTGGAAAGCGCCAGCTTGAGGTCCAAGGCCATCCCTAGGCAAAAACTTGAGACCCTATCCAAGAAATAACTAAAGAAAAAAGGCTCAGGGCATAGCTCAAGTGGTAGAGAGCTTGCATAGCAAGTGTGAAGCCCCAGTTCAGCCAAAAATATAAATAAATAAAATTTGCCACTGTTAGGGTCAGGTCTGGTGGTACATTCCTGTAATCTCAGCTACTTATAAAGCAGAGATCAGGAGGATTGCAGCTTGAGGTCAGCCTGGGCAAAAAGTTAGCAAGACTCCATCTCAACCAAGAAGCTTGGCATGGTGGTACACATCTGTAATCCAGGTATTTGGGAGGCATAAGAAGGAGCATTGTGGTCCAAGTTGGCTGCTGGCAAAAAACACAAGACTCTAACAGAAAATAACCAAAGCAAAACAAGGGCTGGGGTTGTGGCTCCAGTGATAAGAGTGCCTGCCTAGCAAGCATAAGGCCCTGAGTTCAAACCCTAGTACCACACATACAAAAAGCCACTGCTATTAAAACACTGAAGATAGTAAAAGCATAAAGAATACATTCAAAATAGAACACATAAACATTTTTTTGGTAAGATTAAGGTAAGACACATTCTCCATTTTTTTTAAACAGTATTGGAATTTGAACTCAGTGCCTCATATGCCTGCTAGGCAAGCATGCTATCACTTGAGCTGCTCTGCCAGTCCTTTTTTGTGTTGGGTATTTTTTGAGATTGGGTCTTGAGAACTATTTGACCAGACTGGCTTCAAAATGGATCTTCCTCATCTCTGTCTCCCGAGTAGCTAAGATTATAGGCATGGGTCACTGGCACCAGCATCTGGCAAATTTTCTTCTTCTTTTTCTTCTTTTGGTGGTACTGAGGTTTGAACTTCTTCACGCTTGCTAGGCAGGTTTGAATTTAAGGGCTTCACACTTGCTAGGCAGGCACTCTACCATTTTCTTCATTTGAGGAAAATATAATTGAGCATTTTCTCTCGCTTATGTACCAGGCATAACATTTAATTAATTTTTGCAGATCAAACGGTTTGTATCAAAACCTCTCGCATTCTTCTGAACATTAGATCCAATATAATGTTTTATAAAGGGAAAAGGGGGGACTTCCAAAAGCAAATAAATTTAAAATACTACACACCCAAACTCTTTAAAATATTCAACACACGTTATTAGCGTATTAAAAGCCCTAAGAATGGCTCACACCTGTAATCCCAGCTGCTTCCAGAGGCAAACATCCAGAGATAGAGATCAAGAGGATCTCAACTGAGGAAAATCTGGGCAAAAAATTAGCCAGACTCCCATCTCAACCAATAACTGGGTATGGTGGCATGTGCCTGTCATCCCAGCTGCACAGGCATGGGAAGCACAAATAGGAGGATCCTGGTCCAGACCAACCTGGGCATAAACCAGAGACCCCATCCCCAAATAACCAAAGCAAAAAGGACTGGAGTTGTAGCTCAAGCTGTAGAATGCCGCCTAACGTCTATTCAAATTTTTTCAGAACCCATGTTTCTCCAGAACATGTCAAAGATTTTTATTTTCTAGCCACATATTAACTTGGTACCTCTGATAACTTTTTCCCTAAGTGACAGTAACATAAGGATTATATGTCAGTATGAATTTTCTCTTATATTGATGTTTCTCTTGTATTTTTAAAGAAAATTAAACCCTTAAAAGCATACAACTTGCCTTATACGCATAATATAGCTCAGAATAATTTGCAGTCCTTCTTCAAGACCAAGGAATAAGCAGGCAAGCAAAAGCACTCTTTGGAGTCACAAACAGCAGCCACAAATGCCTCCTAGGCAAGTATTGTAAGTAATACACACCTCAAAACTCAGGCTTCCAGGAAGAAGGAGGTGAAGAGTACTTCAAAGGCATAGGTCACTGGAGTTGTAGGGAAGGGATACTTTTTAAGGTCATTTATGGTTCTCTAACCCATCATTTAATACATAAGGAAATCCAGGCCCAGAGCCAGAGCCAGGATGCAAGACTGAAGGTCTCAGCATTCTCTTCTAGGGCATGCTGCCTCCCAGTCCTTTTGGAGTGCAAGATCTGGGGGTATTTAGAACCAACAATAAGCCATGTGGCTGCTAAGGAACAGCTATAAATTAAAGAATAAATAGCATTACCAAATACCAGCTTCAGCCTTAAAAGGTTAGAGAAAATTACAAAAAAAGTTATTTTTTTCTCCTTATAGAAAAAAAGACTCATATCTTGAATTTTTTTGTAGTTTTAGAGTATTTTAGGAGGTCAAATCACTTTTTATTTGAGGTCATGGAGCTCAGGTCCTATTACAAAGCAACAAACATTGGAGACAAAACACGTAAGTAACTCAAGGTCAATGGTGATTAAAATATGGGATCATTATGTGCCCACTGCAGAGGAGCTAATACAGTTATCTTAAACTGACAGAGGTCACTACGGGAAGGTGACCGGGAAGTAGTGAAGAGGTCTGGTGGAGATAAATCAATTCAGGTTGTAATACACATGTGCATGGAAGCAATGCTAGGAATCTCTCTGTATAGCTATCCTTATCTCAATCTAGCAGAAACGCTATGTCTTTCTTATTATTGCTTATGTCTACTCTTCAACAAATTGGAGAAGAGGGCAGAACAGGTTCTGCCTGGAAGTGAGGGGGGTGAAGAGGGCAGAACAGGTTCTGCCTGGAAGTGAGGAGGGTGGGGGGAGACGTGGCCCAAACAATGTATGCACATATGAATAAATGAATAAATAAACCAAAAAAAATGGGATCATTAATTGTTTTTTAATTACATAAGTTTTCATTGTGTTTGTATATTTATAACTACCTTGTGTTTGCTAGGCATGAGCTCTACCACTTGAGCCAAACCCCGAGCCCTTTTTGCTTTAGTTATTTTTCAGGTAAAGTCTCAGTCAATCCTCCTACATATGCCTCCCTCACAGGTGAAATGACAAGTTTGTGCCACACCACTCAGCTTTATTAGGTTGTTGTTGAGATGGGGTCCTGCTAACTTTTTTTTGCTGATCCTGCTGATCTCCATCTCTCAATTAGTTGGGATTACAGACATGAGCCATAGAACATGGCCCTCATAACACACTCAACTATTAATTTATATACTTGGATATCTAAAGAAGTACCAATTCTCTAATGCCAGCTGATCACTTCCTAACAGATTCCTTGGCAGAATACACAAATCTTACAGAAGTGGTACAGTCTTTGTTCTTTTCCTTAAGCAAATCAGTTATTTCTTCTGTGGTAGTTATTCCAGGCTAAAATCCCAACTCTCCTAAATCTATTGTAGATATTAGCAATTATTAAGGAAAAAAAAAAAGACAAATACTCTTTTAAATGGCATCAACATGATCTTGGAGGGGGCAATATAAAAAAATTAAAGTTGATCTAAATATTTTAAAAGTGCAAATATACTAACTTGGGCAAGAAATATGGCTAACTCTAATCTTTGGGGGCTTCCCCCACCCAAACTCCCATCACTAAGGGTCAATGAACTATGGACTAAAATAAATTTGCTTAGGCTTCAAAAGTTAGGCAAAAATCACTTCTACTCCCAAGTGTGCAGAAAAACACAAAGAAAAGAAAAAAGAATTAGTAAGAGTGAATTGAGTCAGCACAGTTTTCACATTGCTTTTAAGAGATAAGGGAAAGGTAACATATTTTTCACTATCAGCAAGATTAAAAATTGACTTCATGCTAGCTACTCTCAGCTAGAAGAAAACGGGTGTTGTTTCTTCCCATTTCTTCTCACTTTTTAGAGTAAAGTTGCTTATTCACTGTAGCCCATTTCTCATAATCTCTAACAGGGAATCAGTTTCACACACAAAAATTTTAATTCAAGGAGAAAGAACACAACTGAAACATATTGCAATCTTATACATTTATTTTGCTGACAGATTTGCAGGCTAAATTTTTAAACTTTTTTTTTTTGTGTGATGGGTTTTTCTGGTTTGTTTGGTTTGGTTGTATGGGATTTGTATATTTGTTGGTTTGTTTTGAGACTAAGTAGGTAAAAAGAAAACTGCAGAGTTAAGTAAGTGTGAAAATGGAACACAATTATTCACAAGTCTTTTTATTCCCTCCTAGTGACTCTACACAAAGTCCAATCTTTGAGCTCCCCCTCTTCTGAATAAAGAAATTGGTCAAATGAAAATCAAAGGTACATCTAAATAATCACTTAAAGGGAGACAAAGCATAATGATTTATTTTAGATACTTATAACAGTTTATTTTTTGCTTAATGGACACAAAAGGCCTGTTTCATTTGAAATTAGATATATCTAGAGATTATTTTATGGTACCTTTTGTTCTTCTGTGAATTCAGAATTATTGTGTTGAGCTTGGGCCTCTTTTTGTAGATGTCTTGCTAATCTGTAAGAAGAAAACATTCTTTACAAATGAAAGAAAGCCAAGGATCTCAACTGCAACAAGGTGAAACAAATTAAGTCTTTCAAAAACAGTGAAGTACAATAATACTTTGTTCTATTTCAAAGTATAAATCTCTATTACCCTTGTAACCAAACTCGACAATGATGATGAAAATAAGCTTTTCATGCCATTTCACTGGGATGAATTTCAGCTATAGGTAGTATAACCAGAATTCTAGAGCTGGAAAAAATTTCAAAATCCTACTTTCTTGAGTATACATGATTTCTCCTAGAAACTAGCCAATAAATTGTTGTTATTGGTTAGCACTTCTGGTGAGCACCAATAACAATCTCAACCAGATACTTTATCAGCCTATGACAAAGTGATAAATCTCTATCAAAATGTATTTTTAAAAACATTTTATAGGGAAAAAAAATCCTCCAACAATCCGAAACAGTAATCATTGCATGCCCAATTATCATCATTCTTAAAAATACCAGGTAGGCCTCAGCTGAGTTTTTCAAGGATGGATTTGTTATTAGTCTAAGCTCAACAATGAGGATCCAAAACTATTTCTGAGCCAGCAAAAACCAAAGGATTGACTCTTACAAATAAACAATAAAAACAACTATTTTGAGCAAAGAATTTAAATAGACATTTCTGGAAAGATATAAAAATGGCTAATAAACACATGATTAGTCATTAGGGAAATACATACCAAAACCCCAAAATACCACTTCACACCTAAGTGGATGGTTCTAATTTAAAAAAATAAGGCAGAGGGAGAAAATAACAGATGTTGGCGAACGTAACAGATGTTGGTGCAGATGGAAAAAAACTGGAACCCTCTTACATAGCTGATGGAAATGTAAAATGATGCCACCCTCTGTGGAACAGTTTGGCAGTTCCTCAAATTTTAAATACAGAGTTACCATATGACCAGCAATTTCAAACTCCTAGGTGTACACCCAAGAGAACTGAAAATGTATGTTTACACAAAACTCCCATATACACAAATGTTTACAGAGCTAAAAAGTGGAAATAACAAAAATCTCCATCAATGATGAATGGATAAACAAAATGTGTTACATCCATTCAGTAGAATATTATTCTGTCATAAAGAGGAATTAAATTCAGATAACTTACTACAATAAGGACAAACTTCAAAAACATACTAAATCAAAGAATCCAAATATAAAAGATGACATTATATGATTCCATTCACAAGAAAAGTTCAGAACAGTAAATTCATAGTGACAGCAAGCAGATTAGTGGTTGCCAGGAGACAAAGGCATTTGGAGTGACTGATATCAAATATGGGGTTCCTTTTGGGGATGAGGGAAATGTTCAGGATTAGAAGCAGCAAGGGCTGCACAACAGCGTGAAAACACTAAAAACTACTAATTACACACTTTAAAACAGCTAGTTTTATGTTATATAATGTTTATCCCAATTGAAAACAATTCAGGGGAAAAAAACTAGCAAAGAAATGTAAAAATAAAATTCCCAAGCAGAATATGCTATTCTAGGTGGGCCATGAAGGCAGGAGTACAAAGGGCAGCAAGTGCTAGCTTTTCTAGCAACACAATTGAAGACAGTTAATCATGTTTCAAAAAACAAACAAACAAAACAGGAAACAGTACTAGATGGAGCTCTGGTCTATGTAAGCAGATCTTTAAAGAACAGTAAAGACCAGGTATCATCATCATCATCATTAGTAGTAGTAGTAGTAGTAGTAGTAGTAGTAGTAGTAGTAGTATTTGTGGTACTGGGGTTTGAACACAGGTCCTCAGGCTTGCCAGGCAGGTGCTCTACCACTTGAGCCACTCCACCAGCCTTTTTTTTTTTTTTTTTTTTTTTGTGTTAGGTATTTTTTAGATAGAGTCTCTGGAACTATTTGCCCAAGTTGGCTTTGAACCAGGGTCTTCCTGATCTCTGCCACCTGAGTAGCTCAGATTACATGCATGAGCCACCTAAGCCCATCTTCGGTCATTATTCTTTTTTTTTTAATTTATTTTTTATTCTTTTTAATTGTTGTGCTGAGTAGGGGTACACTGAGGCATTTACAAAAGCTCTTATAATGTATCAAATATATACTTGAATTCACCCCTCCACCGCTCTCCTTTACAGGCATTATTCTTGATGGCCTCTATCCAATTTATGAAAGGTTTGCATCCCTCATTATAGAGCAAGAAAATCCTACAAAAAAATAACACTTGCCAGGATAGCTCCAACATGTTACTTAATCAATCTGCTTCCATACATTTCTTTTCTCCCAAAGCTGGAAACTGCTAATATTTTTTCCTAAAATGTCAGAGAATCACTTTTTTGTGAATTCTAAAGAAGAGAAGGTGCAAACAGAAACAAATAGGGCCATTTTCCTTGTTCTGGACTTGCTTTCTTTTCTAACTCCTGCTGAGCTACCACCGATATGGAGTACTTTATAGAAGGAATTCATAGTGTGTATCACTAGCAATGTAAAGTAAATGTCCCTGAACTCAGGAAGTTACAGTGTGACACAGTTTCTCTATTTAAATAATTCTACACAGAATTTGCTAATAGTGGCTAACAACCTAAGCAGGGTCATTGTCAGAAGAAAAAGTATAGCTTTAAACTCCTGCTCAAATGTTCTGTTTTTTTCTTTTTTCATTCTTATTGTGTTGGGTGGGGGTACATTTACAAAAGTTCATGTAATATATCTAATATATCATACTTGAACTCACCATCTCCACCATTCTCCTTTACCCCTCCCATTCCTGGAATAGCTTCAAAGAGGTCTCATTTTTCCATTTACATACTTGTGTACACAGAATTTGCACTATCTTCACCCTTCCACACCCTTTCCCCACCCCCACCCGTTCCCAGGCAGTACCTGTTCTTCTGTTTTCCCATTTTGTAAAAGAAAAAAAATGACATTTTTGTTTGGTTAAGATAGCTACTCAGTGAGTTTGTCACATTTCCATGTATATCACTGGTTCATCTCCTCTATTTTCTGTCGACCTTAGTCCCCTTCTTTTGGTGGTTTCAACATGTTTAAAAATTGCATATTCATTCTTGTACAGAGAGTACATTAATCATATTCATCTTAACTTCCTTCTTTTACCCTACCTCTCTCATACGTGACCTCCCCTTAGTGTGACCTATTTTCCATAATATTGCTGTATTTGTATTGGGTTTATATTCCACATACATGAGAAAACATGCAGCTGTTGGCTTTTTGAACCTGGCTCACTTCACTTAAGGAGCCACTCTCCAGTTCCATCCATCTACCTGCAAGCAACAAAATTTCATTCTTCTTTGTGGCTAAATAAAATGCCATTGTATATAAATATTACATTTTTCTCAATCTATTCATCAGTAGTGGAACATCTTGGCTGTTTCCCTATCTTAGTTATTGTGAATAATGCTGCAATAAACATGGGTTTGCAGGTGCCTTTATTGTAACCTGACTTACATTCCTTTGGGTATATCCCTAGGAGTGGAATTGCTGGATCATATGGCAATTCTATTTTTAGTTTTCTGAGGAGCCTCCATACTATTTTCCATAATGGTTGTACTAATTTCCATTCCCACTAGAAGTATGAGGGTTCTTGTTTCCCTACATCTTTGCCAACATTTGTTGTCATTTGTGTTCTTGATGGTAGCCATTCTAACAGGAGTGAAGTGGAATCTTAGTGGTTTTGATCTGCCATTTCCTTTATAGCCAGGGGTGTTGAGCATTTCTTTATGTGTTTTGTTTTGTTTTGTTTTTTTAGCCATTTAGACTTCTTCCTTTGAAAAAGCTCTGTAAAGATCATTTCATTGGGTCATTGATATTTTGGGAGTTTAGTTTTTTGAGCTTCCTATATATTCTGGTTATTAATCCCTTGTCACATGTATAGCTGGCAAAGATTTTCTCCCATTCTGTGGGCAGCCTCTTCAATTTAGAGATCATTTCTTTTATTGTAAGGAAGCTTTTTAATTTTCAAATGTTAACAGTAGAAAGGATACTAAATTCAAACATAATCCAATTTTCAAAAACAAGTCAACAGACTGTGAGGAAATATTGCAAAAATAAAGGACTTATATCCAGAATATATAAAGAACCCTTACAACCCAATAGGTAAAAAGATAATTAAAAAAAAAATAGGCAAAAGATTTAAACATACACTTCACAAAGGAAATTTAGAAGGAAAATAAGCAAATGAAAAGACACCATCATTACTCATTAGAGAAATGTTAAATTGAAACAGCAGTGAAGTACACTATACACCAACTAGAAAGGCTATAATCAAAGATACAGACAGTAACAAATGTGGCTAATGTGAGAAAACAGAAACCTTCTTACACTGCTGGTAGGAATATAAAATGGTACACCCACTTGGGACAACAATTTTACAGTTTCTTTTTATTTAACATATGACACAATTCTACTCATAGCTATCTATCCAAGAGAAATGAAAATGTACGTTCACATAAAGAATTGCATGTGATGGGCTGAAGGAGTAGCTCAAGTGGTGGAGTGCCTGCTTTGCAATATCGAAGCCCTGAGTTCAAACCCTAATCCCGCCAAACCAAAAAAAAAAAAAAGAAGGACTGCATGTGAATGTTCAGGGAAGTGTTATTGATAATAATCACAAATTAAATGTCCACCAACACACAAAATGCAGTGTATCTATACGACGTAATACTGTTAACTAATAAAAAGGAACAAAATATTGACACATGCTACATGGATAAACCTTAAAGATATTATGATAAATGAGCCAGGCACAAAAGATTGCATATTGGATGATTCAAATACATGAAATGTCTAGAAAAGACAAGTCTATAGAGACAGTATGTAGATCACTGGTTTTCTGGAACTACAGTGGGAATATGGAGTGACTGCAAATGGGTAAAGAGGTCTTTTGGAGGCAATGGAAATGTCCTAAATTTTTACTGTGGTAATAGTTGCACCCTTGGTAAATTTAACTAAAAAATCATTAAATTGTATATGCAAAATGAGTGAATTCCATGGCATATAAATTATGCCTGAGTAGTTTCATTTTTTCCAAAACTTTTTAAAAATCTAGGCAAAAAAAATAATTTTTCTAAATCACAAAAGATTACATTATTATTTTAAGACCAAATGAGACCTGATTTTGCCCAGGGAAGGAACAATCTGTATCTTCTGGTTATTAGGTAAACAAATAAAAGCTGACATTCTATCAGTAAAGGTGAAACCTGTCAACTGGTCTTCTCTAGAGACTCATTTAATCCTACAAAGGTGTCTACAGGTAAACTAAGATTGCCTTAAGGGGTGTCTTAACTATTCTCCAAGCACATACACAAGTGACTGATAGAAACTCCACATTATTTCAGACATTGAAATTAGTTTATCTCAAACTATCTATAGTGAAGGACCAGTTTTTTCCCCCAATTTCTTCCAGGTTAATACTTTTGTTAAAAAACATATAAATAAAAGGAAGATGTCACATTGCTATCAACTTTCTGAATGCTTACACCAGATTTCTTTACTTTGTTGCAGACCAGCAACAGTTTGTGGAATGGCACAAACCACACACCGTATTATACGCTACACAGACATAAATTGCTGTAAAGATGACTAAAAACAAGTCATCCAACCTTCAAACTCGTCCACTCATTTAACAAAAACCTATCGAGCATCAGTGTGTATCACCTCAAGATTGTTTCTGTGAAATACCTGACTCTGAGCAAGTCTCCATTTCACTTTGTCACAAGTTAGGAGTCATGTATGTCCTGGTAGCTGAAAAAGGTGGCCTGCACATGGAAATACTTTTTGAATTGGCCATGTACATTTTCATAGCATTTTAGCATCAGCTCCATAATGCTCCACAGCATCCACTCAATAGAATATAATCACATTACTATCTAAATAAGCAATTATGTATTGATAGCCTAGCGTTACTCTGGACACTGAGAATAAATGCAATCCCACCCCTCACCCCTGCCCTCAAAGAGCTTACATTCAGGTGGTGAGAGACAATTAACAAAATAAATACATAAAATATATTTTAGATCATGATAGGTACTGTGAAAAAAATGAAGCAGGATGTGTGTGCATGGTGGGGGGGACAGGATGTACCAGACTGAGGTAAAGTGTGTAGGGGTGAACAGGAGGCTCTGCAATTTTAAATAGGTAGTGAGAGGGGGGTCTTGATGAGAAAGGTAATATTTGAACATAAATCTGATGAAAGTGACCAAGAAACCAAACAGATAATGCAGGTTAAGAGTATTTCAAAAAAAATATAGAAGTCCTAAAACAGAAATGTGCTTCACAGAACAGCCAGGAGTGTAGGAACAATTTACTTTCAAACTTTGATAATTTCAATACCTGATTAGTCTACAACATTCTATTAAACTCATTGCTTTGAAGGCAAAAATCAAATTTTTCTCATTTTTTATCCCTCATTGTCATGCTTGGTGATGAAATTAAGGTATTCCTTCATTATGCATTATAACAGTACATGTACCATCTCTCCAACATCCCCACAAACCAGTTCCTGTACATTGTATGACTATAAAGGTATTGCTGCTTATTCAATTAGAAATCCCAATTTTCCTAGACTCTTCCTCTTTCACTCTTGGTATCCACACTACGACTAAATCTTGTCATTTTTTACAAGTAGGCCTGGTTCCAAACAGGCCTACTTTGCTGGGGGCTTTCCTCCCAAATAGCACTTTCAAATATAAGAGCAATTTGCCTTCATTTCTGGATAGACTAGACGAATTTAAGCTCTTCACCTCATTTTAAGTGTAGCTTGTATGTTTATTAAACAAGCTAATCATCACATTTTTATTGAAACTTGACTCTGCAGTTTTTGTAATAACTGGAGGACTATTTTGAATCCGTGAAAGTTCAAAGATTAGTATTGAGCCCCAACAATGGATTTGTGCCCATTACTCTCATTTGGATGTTTCTAGAAATTCTAACTAAACAGTTTGCATATTCAACTTTCCTTTGTACATTCAATTACACATGGCATTCTTCACTTTCTTTTGGGAAGTCTGCTGCCCAGTGCCAACAGCTGCTGGGTCTCACCACATCACAAGTGAGAGGCAGCTTTACATTTCAGGCTGTGCAATTTTCAATAACAGAATGAGTATAGCTCGGTACTCACTGTCTAACTAGCTACAGTATGGTAGGGTATGTTCTTCTGCAATGAAGGAAATGTTGAAATTTGTCCAATTTATTTACAGAATTACATTACCTATGTTTTGTCAAATCATCTTAAGCAGTGATGTGTGGAGTAAGAAAAAAAAAAATCCTAGATCTCAGTGACATCATTTTGTGACGCTGGGTAATATGTTTAACCTGAGCATTGGTTTCCTCATTTTGTAAAATTAGAATAATTATATTCTCAGTGGACAGTTGCTAGAACAAATGAAATCACGTGAAAGTGAAAAAAGTGCTAGTTGCTAGGCACAGCAAAATTGGCCAGAACATAGTTGTTTTCAAGCTTTTTGAAAGTAGAGGTAATTCAAAGTCAGCAAAATGGGGTAAAGAACTTCTACACATGTAGGTTACCTCAATGTCAGATAAAAACAAGTGACTATGGTAGGGGGAGGACAGAAGTAATTTTCAAGTTCAATCCTGTATTCCTTCTAGAAGGCACAGGGAGTGGATTTTACTCACACATGGCTTCATACTCTGAAACCTCAAACAATAACTTGCTTTGAAACCAAGAAGTAATTAATGGCAACAGTTGCAAACAATAGCATTTTAGTAGGCAGTTCTCATGTTCAGTAATATATGCAAGAAACTGAGCAAGACGTTTATACATAAATCTTGTTTTTTTCACCTTAAAAAATCCCTAAATTTTTTTTTTTGGGGGGGGAACCAGAAATCGGACTTCGGTGGATAAGGAAAACTAGAACTCACAAGTACCCTGGGGCTATACATTGTACACAGGAAAAGGAGGAGGGACCCAAGGAGGGAGTGGCGGCTCCCGTGCGTGGTCTATTAATTCACATTTTGCTCTCTTCTGTTCACATCCTGCGCGGACTCCACCCAAAGCAACTGAGCGAGGGGGTGGGTGGGACTCACAGCCTAGCAAATAACAGTCCCAGAAAGCGAAACGAAATCGAGGTGGAATCGTGAAAACACGGCTCATCAGAAAGAGGGGTGGAGAAGGAGCTCGAGAGGGAACCCTTCTTTTGGCTGAAGAGGCACCCGTGGCCCTCGCTGCTTCTTGGAGGGACACACACACACACGCAATTGCAACCAGTTCCCTCCTCTCCTACAGAGCAAGGCCACTCATCCTTGGAACGTGGGCGGAGAACGCACAAGTATTCCTCAGAGATTTGAAAGGAGAAATCCAGGGATGGCAACCTGGGGGAGCTGGAGGAAAAAGAAAGCGACTGCAGTCCGGGGGACCCGTGGGAAGCTGGAAAGAAACTAAGTGGGTAGCCTATCAGGGCCGGCGCCCTGGGCAGAGAAGGGCTGCCTACCTGTTGAATGGAACTGGCCCTGCGGAGGCAGAGGAGGAAGAAGGGAAAGACACCCCAGGGAGCGGACCCGCAGTCCCCCTGGCCGTGTCGCCGGGCCAGTGGGGACTGCAGCTCCAATGCCTGCGGGGCCCCACCCTGAGAAGCTTGGGCTGCAGACAGTGATGCGAGACACCGACAGAAACAAGGGGGAGGCGGCCCGCTCCCGCCGTTAGTCACTCACATCTGATACTCGTCTATCGCCTCCACCAGCTGGCCCCAAGAGTCGAAGTCGGCGCCTCTCCTAAAACTGGCGCCCCAGCGCTGCAGCAGACTCCGGGTTACCTCCGACATGGCGGTCCCCACCCCGTCCCCTCCCGCCCCTGCCCCAGCAAAGCCAGGCTCTAAGGCGCCATCCTCCCCGGGCCTGGCCCCGACATTAACAGGGCCAGGAGGAACCGCTACGGCCACCACCGCCACCCGCCGAGGAGCCGCCCAAGCCCATTTGCCGCCACAGCCAAACTTTGCGGCTCCGAAGCGCCCGCCCCGCCCCCGACGCTCCGCCCCCGACGCCCCGCCCCACGTTAGGTTGAGGCCGCCCCACTGCGCCGCGGGCCGCCACCGCTATTGCAGTGACCTCCCTGGGCTCCAAGGCCTGGCCCTTCTTCCCGCTCCTTTCTTGAGACCAGACCGAAGCTCAAGAGCAAGGGAGAGGGAAGAGAAGTTAGGAAGGGCCGATGAACCCAGAGCTCTGAGGGTACTGCGGCGGCACGATGTGCTCGGCCGCCTCGGTAGCTGTCATGGCCGCCGGTCACGTGACTCCGGCTCGGCGCCGGCCTGGTTTCCTGTCGCTCTAGTTCAGTAGACTCGGTTCTTCGCTTTCCTCCTTTTTATCTTTCGCGGACTCTGATACTGCCTTTCTTCCCTCAGGAAGGGTGCCGTGCAGACTTTGAGAACCCCGGTAAGTAAGAGGATGGGCGTTTACCAGTCATCTTTCCCCCCGTGTTGTGCTAAGCAGTAATTCCCAGTCAGTTCCATCTTAGACCCCTGGGATGATGGTCTAGGAAAAAAAAAAAAAAGCTTCCTTCTGATGCTTTGAACAATTGAAAGGGAATCTATATTGGTCTGAGCCGATGGTATGAGCAGGTGGGTGGCCCTGGTCTCCATCGGCTCCCCGCCCCTCCGGGTTGATGCTATCGGCTTTCCGCCGAGACGCCTGTTTGCCCACGGGCCTGCAGGTGGTGACGCGTGCGCGGGGTCGCCGCCCGGGACGGGACGGGACGGGACGCACGGGCGCGGGAGGAAGCGGGGCGGTAAACAGGAAGTGGATGCTGCGAGCTCGGAGACGGCGCTCAGGTAGGGACTGTGCGGTCTGCAGAGGTGGGTCAGGTGGCGTTCGCAAATCGGATTGTTTCTTGTTGCCGGGCCCCTCCACCCCTGAAAACTGGAGTCACCGAAAGGTTTGAAAGGTGGGGCAGAGGATTTGCAAAAAAAAAAAAGCTTTCACAAAATCAAGCCTAGAGTGTGGCAATACCTCTAGATGGCTTAGGTTCTAATGTTTTGGTGATGTTTTCTAAAAGGACTAGATGGGGCTGGGGATCGAAGCTAGGGCCTTGCAAGCACTCTATTATTGAGCTGCATGCCCAGCCCTTCTAAAGAACTTGCTAATGTTTCGAATCGGAAATGAACTGGCCCGGCTTTTCTTGAGTACACAGTGCATTCTCCATTCATTAAATACTTGGTGCTTCTCAAAAACCAGTTTTTCCATGAATAAGTAAATACCACAAAGGAGGTACGTGGCATAGATATTTCGTAACACTGCAGCCCACATCTTTTTTTCTAGTTGATTGGCAACTTTGTGCGTGCAATGCTTTTAACTTCAGTAAACCTTACCGGAATTTCTTCTGTGTTACTTCCGCGAATCTAACTGCCATGTTTGTTTTCTGGTCGGCCTTCCTGTATTATTACATGCACTACCTATGCAGGGAGTTTCAGGCAAGAGACATACAGTACTGCTTTTTTTTTTCTTTTTAACCTAAAAACTGGATTTTTTTTCAGTTGGCATTTCACTTAGGTAGTTTTTCAGATGTTTTTGTTTTTAGTAGTTGATGATCCGATATTGTGGTTACAGATACTAGATTCATCTGTACCCCTCTCACTTGGAGCTGTCCAACCAAGAAGTGTAGTCTAGGGACCTTAAGTGTTTTCCCTAGACTGTTCAGTGAGAACTTTCGTTTTAACAAAACCAACTCATCTCCAAGTGATTTTAAATGCACGTTAAAGTTTAAATATTACTCCTGTAGTGTATTTTAACATTGAAGTTACTTTGGGCATATTTCCAAATGCTAGTCTTTTTTTTTTTTTTTAAATAGTCCTGTACTAAACATGGACTATGATAAATAACCATCAATTAAAACAAAATTGATTTGTGGAGATGAAACATTTTATTTATAAATGTATGTTTTATGCATAATAGTTTCAGTGTAAAATTTATACATCTTAAACTCTTAACTGTTTTCACACTGTGTCTATTGTTCATTTAATGTCTTTAATTTTTATATATTTCTTTTTTGTCTATAGAACACATTTGGAGAAAATGACCCATTGGTTTCATAGGAACCCATTAAAAGCTACAGCTCCTGTCTCTTTTAACTACTATGGTGTGGTCACTGGCCCTTCTGCTTCCAAAATTTGCAAGTAAGCTTTAGCCAAACTCTACAGAGTAGGTTTTGTGGAAATATGTAACAAATTAACCCTAATTTTAGACTTTATACATTTAGAATGACAGATGAAGAGTTTAATCTTAGATTATTTAGACTTTGTCAGTCATCTAGTCCAGGATCCTTAATTTTAGATTAGTAAGTGAGTACCAGAAGGGCTAAAGCAGTGGCAGTAAGAGTTGAGCTATCTATTACCACATACAAAAGACTCCATAAAGTAGGATGTGGACATTATTAATTGGCCAGATAGTAAATTCATTGATTAGAGCAGGGAGAGACTCCTCCCTGTGAATTGAAATGACCTTTGAGGTAGTCATATAGGAGAAAGGATTTGAGCAGAGGTTGAAATACATTGTCTGACAGACCTGGGGTTGGTAGACTGTGTCCCAGTTTGGTCCACTGCTTGTTTTTATAAATAAAGTTTTATTGGAATACTGTAGCTCCACATTAATTCACATATTGCCTATAACCACCTCTAGCTTTTCTTCTACAGCAACAGAGTTGAGTTACCCTAAAGGAAACTTTATGAAGTCCAGACCTTGAAATGTTTACCCTCTAGCCCTATATAAAAAGTATTTGAAGAACACCCCCAATTTAGATAGAGGAAAAAGGAAAAAATCATTTTGTGCTGGGGATAAAGGATAGGTGTAAGAATACTTCAGAGGAGTCAATTGACCTGATTGGCTCTGGGAGCCTGAAAATAGTTCAATCTATATGAAATATAAAGCCAAAATAATGAAGACATTATTAGGACCACTAAAAGAAACAGGGGAGCTATTGTGTTTATGGAAAGAACTGATTGGAGCAAAAGGCAGAAAACTTAGTTTATTGATCTAGACCAACAGTGGTGAACTTTTTGAAAAGTACTAAATAGTAAATATTTTAGGCCTTGTCAGCTATATGCAGTTGCTGTTGCACATTCTTTGTTCATTTCAACAACTCATTAAAAAAATGTAAAATCCATTATTTTCATTTTTTTGAGACAGTTTCACTATATTAGCCCAGGCTGGCCTGGAACTGTCAGTCCTTCTGCCTCCACATTCCAAGTGCCAGGATTATAGGCACATACTACTGTTCCCAGCAAAACCCATTCTTTTTTAGTTATTTATTTATTTATTTTTTAGCAGTACTGAAGGGTTGAACTTAGTGCTTTGTGCTTGCTAGGCAGGCACTCTACCACTTGAGCCACTCTACCAGCTCATTTTGCATTGGCGATTTTTGAGATAAGATTTTGTTATGTATGCCTGGGCTGGCCTGAACTATGATCCTCCTACTTGTACTTCCTTTATAGCTGAGGTGTCAGACACACGCCACCACTCCCACAGTTTTTGGCTGGACTTGCCTCAAAGCCTGAACTTCTAATTCCCCACCTCATGAGTAGCTAGAATTACAGGCTTAAGCTACCTTGCTCTGCTAAAATCCTTTCTTATTTTGAGGGCTGAATAAAATGAGCTGTAGGCATACAAAAACAAGTTCCTGGATATAGTTTGCCAGCCCCTGATCTAGACTCCTGAAGGCTGGTCCCCTCTTACCTGTTTCATCTGTAGCATTGGGCAAGTTCCTTAACTTCTTTGGACTTAATTCCTAGCCTGTAAAATGTACAGCCTAAATTAGGTATTTCTAAAGTACATTCCTTAAAGTGTCTAATTTTAAGATGAATCTAACTACAGTTGTTGGGCTGTAGGTTATGATTGAGCACCTATGTAGAAATTGCTAGCAAATTGTTTTGAGTTTAGGCTAGGCTATAAGGATTCAGATGTCTATTCTTAGTTCAGGAATCACCCCTTTCATCTTCTAGATATATAATCTCAAACAATGACAAATTCAAAAGGTAGTCTGTCACATTTAGGATCCGCTCTATGCAATTGTTAGTATGTTCTTTCTGGAACCCTCAGGAGGCTCTCTGTCTTCTGGATCTGCTGTGGAAGTAAACAGAACCATGTTAGAATTTATGATGAGGATCTAGGAATGAAAGTAGTTAAATTAATCAGTGAGATCTCAAAAGAGAGAAAACCAAAGACTGAACATTTTTGTAGATAGCAATAAGCAGGGTACTTAGAGAAAAATATAGCAGGAACTTTTAGAAGTTAGAGGAACACCTGGAAATTTTAGTGTTAATTGTAATCATGGGAGAAAAGAATTTCAGGAAGTAAAAGATAGATTGGCAATATTTCTTGCTGCAGAGAAGTCAAGAGACTAAGGAGCAGTTTTAAAACACCTTATGGTCTTTGCATACTCTTGATGTGTACATTGAATAATACAATGCAGTTTTGTACTTAATAAAATATATTTTGACATTTTGTGTGTAATGTCAAATTTAGAAATTTTAACACAAATATGTTAAATAGCTATTTGTCAAAAAAATTTACCATGAACTGGTTAAAATTACTTTTGATTCCTCAATCTTAAATGCATGCATTTGTTTGATTTTTTTATTATTAAAATTTGCTGCATATTTTTATTACATAATCAGATCCACAATTTGCCCCTTTAAAACAACTGTTATTTATCTCTAGCATTGATCCTAATTAAATTTATTCCTGTATTCTGTTATACCTTAGAGAAGATGGGGTGGATGAATACAGTCGTAACACAGATTACGTAACTTTACTGTCTCTTTCACATAAGTGACTTGAGATCATCCAGGACACGACTCCTTGAACTGTTCACTGATTTGAGCTGTAATCCAGAAATGATGAAGAATGCAGCAGATTTGTACTTTTCACTTTTACAAGGTTAGTGAGTTGGGGTTTTTTGTATGCTTGTTGGCAGTACTGGAATTTGAACTTGGCCTCCTGCAGACACTCTCCCACTTAAGCCACACCCTCAACCCTGTTTTCCTTAGTTATTTTTCAGATCGGGTCTTGTGGTCTTGCCCAGGTCTGACCTCAGACCACGATCCTCTTACCTATGTCATCAGCATAACTGGGATCATAGGCACTTGCCACCACTGATCAGCTTATTCATTTGAGATGTGATTGTGCTAACCTGTTGCCTGGGCCGACTCAAACTGAGATCCTCCTAATCTCCACTTCCTGGATAGCTGGTATTACAGGTGTGAGCCACTGCACCCAGCACAAAGTTATTTATTTATATGGACTTCTGAGTTTGTGAAAAAAGAACCAGGTAGAAGTTTACATTTAATTCATACTTTTCAGATTTAGGTAGGTTAGTCTTTTACACAGTGTTTGATATGCTTGAGTTTGAGACATGTGCAATTGTAATGGTGTTGATGGGACTTTTCTAACATTGTGAAAATTAAATGTATACATATTTCATATTATATTACCTCAGGAGAAGGTTTGAGATGTGAAAAGAGAGAAAGGGGCCAGCAGTTTTATTCAAGCACCTGGAAAAGTAATTATCTGAAAATTTTTCTAAATAGAGCATATGGTATTTTTTTCTAAAACTAAAATGTCTCGTATCTTTTTATAGGTTTCATAAATTCACTAGATGAATCTACGCAGGAGAGCAAATTGCGATATATTCAAAATTTCAAGTGGACTGATACATTACAAGGTCAGGTTCCAAGGTGAGCAGTGCTAATGTAGTCCTAAATTGAAGCCTTCCCCCTCCCCTCCCCTCTGCCCAGTACTGGGGTGTGACCTCAGAGCCTACACCTTGAGCCACTCCACCAGCCCTTTTTTGTGAAGGGTTTTTTTTGAGATAGGGTCTCGCAGAACTATTTCCCCAGGCTGGCTTTGAATCACAATCCTCCTGATCTCTGCCTCCTGAGTAGCTAGGATTACAGGTGAGCCACTGGCATCTGGCCATAAATTGAAGCCATTTTTAAACTATTTAGCCAGTGGATAACTCACAGACTCTTATTTGAAGAAGAAGAAGAATATAAGACTAGTCAACATTTTATCAGTAAATTAATTTAAAACGTTGGACCTAAATCATAATATTTACTATTAAATAAAAATATAACATTTTTCCAGACCAAATCTAGAATTGAATAGCCTTGATTCTTTTAATACATATAAAGAGTATTTGGGGAATTTGGAACCTCAAACCAGCTTTCAGACTTTGCCTTCCTTCAAGCTTAGCCGAAATGTGGTTTTCCCCTGCCCCTCTTTTTCAGATAGATAGTTCAGATGTCTTGGGGACAGTCTCTCACTCTCTTCCCAACTTTGTATCCTTTTGTTTCTCAGTATTTTCTTCCTTATTTCACTTCATTGTTTGTGCTCTTTTTAAAAACTTTCTTTCGGTGCCTTTTTATCACTCAGCTATTTGTGGTAGATCCAGTTATATGAGGAAATAGATCACAGTGGTGCTAATCTTAACTGCTTTTGAAAACATCATTGGATTGCTAAAATGTCCACATAGCCTTGTCTTAATTTGCTTTAGAACTGTTTTGCCAAAACAGAAAGAAAGGGATTGGAGATTGCTAAAAGACCAGGGCAGATGGTGCAATATAGTAAGAGTATAGACATTTGTTCATACTTGCCATTCCAGTTTTCTACTGATTGAACATCAGTGTTGTCAACTAGACTTTGGTGTGAGGTATAGATCCTGTGAGGAACAAAATAAGAAAATTTATGTTATTTGAATTTATATAAGATATTAAATATTAGTTTCCTTTCTTGCTTAAGAATGTTATTTGTAGAATTCATTTGATTTAGTGTTCAAATTGCATAGAAAGTGTGAGGAGGATGGATCCTTCCCAAATTGTAATATTCTTGGATACCAGAGCTTTCTTAGACTTCACTCTCTGTTTTTCTTTACATGATCACTTTGTTTTTCATCCAAGATTAAGGAATTTTAATTAAGACTGTCTTCAAAGAACCTGGTCTTTATTACGTTACAGTTTTGGACAAATTCTAAAAATACTTTGCATTACATAAATTTGGCACTTTTTCCCACACTGCTAAAATTTTATTACATGTTATAGCAAGCTATTACTAATTAATGTCTTTCAACATTTCATGACATAGTGAGGAATTATGTAATGAAGATCTTAAGTAATATTTGCTATTAAGTATAAATGAGACTATGCTTGACCGCTACATATCAGTGAGAATTGAATTGTGCTGTATGTATACCTGTTTAAAAAAATACTTTTCAACTGTACGTGCTCTGACTACTAAATTCATGTCACAGAATTGAAGTATTCTGGAACAAGACAGATTGAAATAAGTGAAGGATACAAAGGGAGAGGACTAGAGAGTGTAGCTCAAGTGGGTATAGCATTTACCTAGAATGTAGGACTCTGGGCCCTATACATAACATCACAAGAAAAAGAAAAGGGAGAGAGGTACTCATGAGGCTTCACATAAATTAGCACAATTGTCTTTTTATGTAAACGCAAAGTATCAATTAGATATGCCCACTAGATCTCCAGATGTAATTCATTTGAAATTTCCATCTGAAATGAGTAATCAACTGGAGATCATCTTGTTAAGCGAAATAAGCCAGAATGAGAAAGACAAGTGTTGTATGTTCTCTCTCATATGTGGAATATAGACCTAAAAACAGAAAAATGAATGAGTGGTAAAACACGGTGGGTATCAGAGGGAGGGAGGGCGAAAGGAGAAGATAAAGGGAATCACTCTTGATGCATGTATGAAGATAGAATATTGAAACTCATTACAAATTGCTTAGAAAGTGGGAAGAGAGTAAAAAGTAATAGAGGGAGTGAATTTGATCAAAGTACATTGTATTCATGTTTGGGAATATCACAGTGACACCCCTTTGTACAATTAATATACATTAATAAAGAATAAGCTGTTGTAATTAAAATTTTTTAGTTTTAGCAGAAAAGTCTTTAGACATTCTTGTGCTTTGACAGCATCGTTCTCTCACTGGGATGTCCTTCTGCTTCTCATCTAGTCATTTATAAAGACACAATTCAGTTTTTCTATCTACCTTCTATAATCATTCTAGCCTAAAACAATCTCTCCTCTGAATTCCATTTTCTTTGTATATTTTATAAGAAAGAACCATCTATTTCAGAATCAATTTAGTAGTTGTTAAAAGCACAGATTTTGAACCCCTTCCCAGACTTTTTAATGCTGAAATTAAGACCCAGATATATATATATGTGCTATTCTGTATACAGTAAGTTTGGGGAATTATTTCTACATTTTTTATTATGAAATACCCAGTACATACTGGACCACTGTATTTAGCTATTCATTATTAATTACCTATGTCTCTTATTGCTCCATCAATATTAAACACATGAACACTAGATACATGCATATAATGTATATATACTAATAAATATATATATTTATATATATATATACTTTTAATTTTTATTTTTGTTTATTTATTTTTTTGTGTACTGGGGCTTGAACTCAGGGCTTTCACCTTGAGCCACTCCACCAGCCCTTTTGTTGTGATGGGTTTTTTGAGATAGTGTCTCGCAAACTGTTTGCCCAGGCTGGCCTGGAACCACCATACTCCTGAATAGCAAGGATTACAGGCATGAGCCAGCGGTGCCCAGCTATAATTTTGGTTGGATATCCAGTGGATTTCATGTAGCGATGTCTTGATAGTTAGAACTTAATGATTATGTTCTTAATTCCAGTGCCCAGCAGGATGCTGTTTTTGAATTAATTTCCATGGGATTTAATGTAGCCTTATGGTATACCAAATATGCTTCAAGACTGGCTGGAAAAGAAAAGTAAGTTAAAAGGGAAAAGTTACATAGAGAGATGTTATTTTTGAACTATATCAAGTTTAATTATTTAAAAGTATAGGCTGATTGAAAAGTATCACTTTGAGTAAGTGAACGATCACCTCAAAAGTATTTGAATTATGCAGCCTAGTGTTCAAAGGGAAAATAAACTTTATAATAATCGTGTCACAAGAAAGGTCTTCCTAAGTATGACCCCAAACCAGGAAGCCATAATAAAGAAGATTAAATACTTGGCTACATAAAATATTATAAGCAAAGTTTAAAATACAAAAGCAGAATTGGTCAAAAACATTGCAATGTATATGATAAGTCATCCATTTTTATAATGTATACATTTACAAATCAACAAGGACCATCAAACCAATTGAAAATAACACAAACAGGTAATTCATAGGAAAAGAAATGTAAACATTTTACAAGTATATGAAAAGATGTTCTGACAGCTAAAGCATTTCAAAGTAAAATGAGATAATTTTACAGTAACTAAAGTGGATAAATAACAGTAGACTAGCAAATTAATTGTGACTTGTTCACACATAGGAATAATACGTAGTCATTTAAAAAATTAAGTTGAATTCTGTGGGCTGATATAAAATGATGAAAATGAGCAATGAGTATAGCTACCACTATGTACATATTACATATAAAATATTTTGTGCTTGCTTATAAAACAGTCTGAAAGGGAAAATGAAGACTTTGTCTAGTGTTTATCTCTAGACTGTCTCCTTTTTTCATTTGCAGTATCTTAACCTTTGTGTATTTTTCATGAGTATTTTTTTTAAGTGTGAAAATTAGATTTTTTTTAAAGGGAGGAAAGCAAGTGATAAACACAATTAACTAATTTGATTTAATGATAATGTACAAGTTGTTGGTTTTAGTACTGGAATAGGAATCATCCTCTAAGTAATATAACCACTGTCTTCAAGCATAACAGAAGATGAAGCAAAAGAAGTCCATCGAAGCCTCAAAATTGCAGCTGGGATTTTTAAACATTTAAAGGTAAAAAGTGTGTGTGTGTGTGTGTGTGTGTGTGTGTGTGTGTGTGTGTACACACGTGTGTACTTAATTCTTCAATTGAATAATTCTTATTTTGAATGGGGGAGGAGGAAGAGCTAGCATAGGTCCTCAGTATCTGTAGGGGATTGATTCCAGAACAAACTGCCACCATCTCCCCAGGATACCAAAATGGATGCTCAAGTCTCCTTTATAAAATAGCATACCATTTGTATATAACCTATGCACTATGTACATCCTCTTGTTTAAATTTTCTTGATTGCTTAAATTGCCTAACACAGTGTAAGTGCTGAATAAATAGTTATACTGAATCATTAAGGAAATGACAAAAAAAGTCTGTACATGTTCGGCACAGGCGCAATTTTACTTTTAAGTAGTTTTAATCTGAAATGATTGAGCCCATAGATGTGAGACCCTCACATATGTAGAGCCAACTGTGTATATGTTCTTACCTTATTTATGACTGTAGCCAATTACTGAATGGTAATGATTTACAAGCATTGTCTTAAAAGCACTCTTACCACTAGAAAATTCTGCTTATTTTTCTGTCTCTTCTGAGAAGTTAAGCTAAAACACAGCAGATAAATTAATGTTTTTACCTTTTGATATTGTTCTCTGCAGCAGTCACAGTTTTACAAAACTGAACTTGTGATTGTATTCTCTGTATCTCAGTGAGCACTGGTGCAGTCATTGCACTCAGGTTACTAAATTGCCTGGAGATGTGATGGGAATTTAGAGAAAGAATAATGTACCATCCAATAAGAATTCCTTTCCCCTTCGTTCTAACTAAAGTGCTATTTTTTTTTTTTAATGTATATACTTTTTTTTTTTTTTTTTTTTTTTTTGGTGATACTGGTATTTGAAATGAGGACCTCAGACTTGCTAGACAGGCACTACTGCTTGAGCCACCCCACACACCCTTTTTCACTTAGTTATTTTCTGTATAGTGTCTAATGCTTCTTATTGGGGATTAGCCTCAGGCTGCTGTCCTCCTATCTATGCCTGTCCGGTAGTTGGGATTGCAAGTGCATACTACCACACCCCCACTTATTTGTTGAGATGTGCTCTCTATAACTGCTGCCCAGGCTGGCCTCAAACCATGATCCTCCCAATCTCTGCCTCCTGAGTAACTGCAGTTACAGGCATACACCACCATACCTGGCTATCTTTAATTATTAATGCGAATGAACAATTCAGGCTATCATGTAAAAGGGACTTTTTGGTAACTCTTACAGTTAAATATTTTCTGAAATGAAAAGTATGGCTTGCATTGTGTTATATTGACTAAGCAGTCTATTACAACCTAAATTTTTCTCTTGAATTTCTTTTTCTTATAAAAGCTCATTTTTAGTACCCAGGGCCTTATGTTCTCAGTAAACGTAGTGTTGCTCCTTTTTATATAATTTTTGTTTGTACTCTGAATTTCTGGGAATGTCTCATAATTTTTGATTTCTTCATCTCTAACAACTTTTGGCATCTTTGTTTTCTTTCTCAGGAAAGTCATGTTCCAAAACTTATTACACCTGCAGAAAAGGGAAGAGATTTAGAGGCCCGGCTCATAGAAGCATATATTATCCAGTGTCAGGCTGAAGCTCAAGAAGGTATCCTAAATCTTGTAAGATTTTTTTTTTTTCTAAGCTAATGCAGCTAAAATCTGCATTAGCTGTAACTGAGTTTCAGGTTTTATGAAATTTATGCTGAGGAGTAATTTTATCTTTAACACTTCCCTTCATTCTTAGCAAGAAAAGTTCTTAATAGCTCTTTTAAAGAGGATTTTGATTCCATGCCATTTCTTAAAGCATAAAATTAAGTTTTTAACTTACCTTTTCCCCTGTATTGTACTCATTCTTTTTCCTCTTCCACTATTGACTTACCTTTGAATGGCAGGAAACAGTGGGACTTACACGAAAACAGTAAACTTTCTGTGCTTTTGCTTTTATTTCATACTCCTCTGCTCTGAAGATGTTTCTCCTTTTGTATCATGCTATTTTGTAGTAATTCTTTGTGTTTACTAATTGGTGGGTGATTTATTTAGAGAACTTACATCGGAACCAACATATCCAGTATTTTCTGTTTGTGTTTGCATTTTCTATAACTTTTTACCATTATAATTTAAACTGTATGAAAATCCTAAAAAAGAGTATCAGACTATGTTTTACTGTTATAATTGAGCTTCTCACCATGGAAGTGAGCTTAATTATAGATTCCTTTTATTGTTGTTGGTTACAGTAACAATTGCCCGAGCAATTGAACTAAAACATGCTCCTGGACTGATCGCTGCCCTGGCATATGAAACAGCTAATTTCTATCAGAAAGCTGGTAAGCTTGTGATTCTGTTGTTAGGTGTTTAGTTAAATTTTCACACTTACTTTGCTCTTGACTGAAAAAGGAAGAAAACAAAAAAGCTGTCAGAGTTTTTCAGTATTTGTAAAACAGGAATAATGTCTTCATTATTTTGTTGATCTTCTTTACAGTTAGTATGTTACATAACTTGTAGTGGAAAGGACAATGCTGTACTTTTTAACTAGTTTTATCTAATAATAATATAACTTTTTTGCCTTCAAAATTGTTTTTGGTTGTTATAATGATCTTATAATTACTATCCTTGTTTAGACAAGAAAATGAACCTAAAGAGTTTAATCAAACCAATCTGCTACCAGGTGGGAGATTGAGACCAAATTCGCTCCTATTATGTTCTGTTCACTGACTTAAAGAATGTATACACTACTCTATTTTAGTTGCTGAGTACAGATAAGTAGGTAGAGCCACCGTCTAGGAAAGGAGACAAACTCATAATCACAATATTTCACCAAGCAAGACATTTTTACTTCCACGAGGTAAGAACCTGAACACTGTGGGCATGCTAAAGAAGGCTTTCAAGAAGAAGATGGCTTTTTAAGCTTCATACATACAGAGGTGTCACATTTTTTAAGAAGCTTTAGCATATGGGCATAGGACATTTTGTAGCATGTACAGAGATAAGAAAACTTTGCATATTCTGGAACCTTCAGACAGTTGCTCATAAGTGAAACACGTGTGAAAGGAGAAAAGATTGGCAAAGTACACGTGTGAGATCAAGAATTGGTTTGTGAGCCTATCTAAAAAGTTTGGCCTTGATTCTGTAGATGAATGGGACTGGATTTAAATTTTCCAGAAAGGGCCCTATAGTTGCACTTTGAGAGGTAGGCTTGCTACAGGAAGGAAGAGTAGACTGACTTAGCACTTAAGTAGAAATTGTCTTTGGAGGAAAGGATGAAAACTTTGATAAGATAATGAAATAGGAAGTGGAAAGGAAAGAAATTAAGAGATGTTTGCATTAGTAAGCATGTGTATATGTAAGTGAGTGAATGTATGTTTTTTTGTACAAGAGTCAGTGATGGTGGGAGTGAGTAAGATGAGAGTATTCTTGCTTCTGGCTTGGGTGAATAGACCACTCTTTGCATTGCTATGTTGTATAAAACTTTAAAGATGGATAACATAAATAGCACTTACTTTGAAGTTCTTAGTCATATCTATTTTTATCGTTACATTTAACTTAAAGTTACATTAATCACCAAAGAGGTGCCATGGAATTTAATAATCATCTTACTTATTTAAAATAAATTTATGGGAAAACAAATCACTTTAAATTAGGATTTTGATTTTTTTTTAATGTATGAGTGCATGAATTTGAACCTGATGTCATTGTGTCTTTACCATCAGAAGACATGAAGTAAAAGTCTTCTAATGAATCGGGGTGAAATTATGTTTTGCTTTTTAAAATGTAACTTTAGATCATACTTTATCCAGTTTGGAGCCTGTGTATTCTGCCAAATGGAGAAAGTATCTTCACTTGAAAATGTGTTTCTACACAGCTTATGTAAGTATTAATAACCCTAAGACAATGTAACCTACTGTTTCTCCAGCCCCTTTAGCGTGAAGTATCTGATCTCACCAAACTGTTCATTAGCATTATACAAATAATGAAGAGCTCTTACTAAATGTTCACTGACAGTCAGTGCAGCCATTGTGAACTAAACTGAGTAGAAAAAGAGGATACAGAATTGTAGATCTGAAATTGCTCTTTGATTCAAAGCCCACTTTCAGGCTGGAACCTTCTGCATGCTTATGAGAATTTTCTTAGTTGTTTCATCCTGTTTGTTAAAAAAAATATTTATTAATTCTAATCTTCTGGCATATTGTGTAGTTTATCACCTAGATTGGTAAAGAGCCATCAATACGCATCATTTTAGAGGTTACCACACTTGTTTTATTGATTAATATGTGGGAGACAAATCAGACCCCTTTTTCAGGGCTAAGTAAATATTTTTATCTTATACTTTATAGTATGGTTTCAAACATACTACCAAAGTCTATGTGCAATCACTAGATTGATTAGGCAGTTAAAGAATAAATATTCAGTCTTCACTGGATGTGGTGGCGTAGGCCTGTAATACCAGCATTCGAGAGACTAAGGCAGGAGGATCGTGAGTTTGAGGCCAGCCTGGGCTATAGAGTGATGCCCTATCTCAAAAAAAAAAAAAAAAAAACCCACAACCATCTGTACTTAACCTCAACACACTTCTTCCCTCTCCCTCTGCATTAGCATAATAATTTCTTCCTTTGTCTACTATGCCCTTATTTTAAAATTAAATTTCATCTAGTAACTTTTGCTCTTGGGACATGGTTAAAAGGTAATCTTTTGTCAGATGTGACTAATTCCACCTTTTATATGAACAGAAATGGGGAAAAGCTTACTCAAATAAGGGATCGTATTAATACCTCAAACGTAGCTAACGGTATTTAACATATATATAAGTGTAGGGAAAGAATGAATAAAATGTGTCTTTCTTCAGGCTTACTGTTACCATGGACAGACTTTGTTGGCTAGTGATAAATGTGGTGAAGCAATCAGGTCTCTCCAAGAAGCAGAAAAGTGTAAGTTTTTCTGTCAAAAATGTAACTCATTTTTTAAAAACTAAATGTTTTATTATGAAAGGGAGTAGAGGAGTTGAGCTATAAAAGAGATTGAAAATGGGTGAAATAATTGGAGGACAGAAAAACATGTTTCACAGCTAGAGTCTGTAGAAAATGCCCATCTAAGTCTTTGACTTAAAGTTTTTTAGTACAAATAAGCAATAATTTAATTGTTATTAAATGACTTACATCCTTTTTTACATGCAGTGTATGCAAAGGCAGAAACACTATGCAAAGACTATGGAGAAACCAAAGGACCTGGACCAACAGTCAAACCTTCAGGACACTTGTTCTTTAGGAAACTTGGGAACCTTGTGAAGAATACCCTAGAAAAATGTCAAAGAGAAAATGGATTTATGTGAGTACAATTTGTAATACTAATATTGGTTTACAGGTATAAGATCTTACTTAGCATGCTAGTATCACAGTTGCTGTTAGTCTCTGTTCCCAAAGGTTTTATCTGAAGTTGCATTTAAGTTTAGCATTAATTTTCTCTCTCTCACTTTTTTAAATTTGTGTGTGCGTGTGTTACTGGAGTTTGAATTCAGGGCCTCACGCTTGCTAAGCAGGTGTTCTACCACTTGAGCCATTCCACCAGCCCTAATTTTCTCTTTAAATTAGTGATAAAGTTCAAATATATATGACCTAACTTTTATTCTGTATATGATAACATGTAAAAAAATTGTAAAATGAGTTGTTAACAAAGCTCACTTCATTAAGATGCTCGTTGCCCTGCTATTCTTTCTCCATGTCACTTCTCCCTTGGCATATCCATCTCATTCTGGCTTTAGTTACCTATCTAGCAGGAAAGTTAATGTTCTCACAATCCTTTCTAGCTCTTGCAAGCAGTTTTCTGTTATTAAACCACTGTTGAAATTGTAGGTCACTGCCTTGGTAGGTTGGTGGAATCAGTCTTGTCCCTGTTTTTATCTGTTTCCACTCTTCCCCTTATATTCTGCATCCGGTCATTCTGAACTTTTCCTTTCCTTGAGCATATCTAGTTCACCTTTTCTTTGGAAGTATTCAGAGTCCCAAGTCTGGGTTCATTGCCACTCCTTGTCCTCATGCCACTTTACATCCACAGTAGCTTCAGTTACATTACATTTTAATTAAATAGGTTTTCTTGACTTTTTCACATACTCATCTGGGAGCTTACATGAAGCAGATAAACATCTTGGAACTAAATTGAGCTTTAAACATACTAGATACTTACTGAATAAATGAATAAACCACTATTTAAATTGCTTTTTGCAGTTACTTTCAGAAAATCCCAACAGAAGCCCCACAACTGGAACTCAAAGCAAATTATGGGCTGGTAGAGCCTGTGCCTTTCGAATTTCCTCCTACAAGTACTCACTGGACACCAGAGACATTGGCTGCATTTGATCTCACCAAGAGACCAAAGGATGACAGTGTATGAGACCAGTGTTTTTCCTTCACAAACATTTAAAAAGAATTCAGAGTTAGCATTTTGGTATTTTTCTCTGTTTAATTGGTACATATGGTTGTCTGATTGCTAAGTGAGCTACTTGCAGTGCTGAACGAGATCTGTTGTAGAACTCTAAGATACAGCCTCTGGTCCTTCAGTGCCTTCTGATAATCTATGCCACTGAATGACTATTTTCAACATGTTATCCTGCTTTTCTGTAATTTGTCAATGCCTCCTTTTAAGAAGAGTGTGGAAGAAAAAAAAATGCATGCTTATGTTACTATAGCAATAGTCTGTTTTTGATTTTGAGTTTTTAAAGATTTGATCTAATTTCAGGTTCCATGAATTATCCAGGAACGATATAAGAATGCTTTTATTTATTTATATCTAAGTACATCTTGGTGCTCCAAATCAAATGGTAGCTTAACTGGGAAGTTTTAGATGTGGCTATCAAAAGACTACGGAACTGTGAGAAAAGACATGGGAATTATTTTGCAACCATAGTTCCTCTCTTGGAATTGCTTTTTTTAAATATGTAATGTCCTTCCCATACTAAACCATAATTCCTTAAAATAATCTTTGTATCATGTTCAGTCCTCTAAAATAATGCCCTGAAAGAGCTTATTACTATCATAAGTTTTTTCCAAACATCCATACATGGATTTGTTACTCACTTCTTCCCTCTTTAAACACATGTGAGTAGGAGTACCATGAGCTTGACTTTTGCCTACCAATCTGGTTTTTGTCTTCACTGATAGGTTGACTTCATCTTTAAATTAATTGATAGGAAGCTTCTGGAATACCATGGTTAATCTCCATGCTGTGTCATTTCATGTAGTACCTTTGAAAAGTCTGAAGTGGAAAAGTCTCCCAAATCTTGATTTGTGTATTTACCCTGTGTTTTCTTTCTCCATAGGCCAAACCCAAGCCAGAAGAAGAAGTGAAACCTGTGAAAGAACCAGACATCAAACCTCAGAAGGACACTGGATGCTACATCTCCTAAAAATGCAACATGCACTTAGAATGTCTCTGCTAATAGATGCAATATACTGCAGAACCTCAGTTCATATTTCCTGAAATGATTTCTCTGAAGCCTATAGAAGAATTATTAAATTCAGGGGGAATTGGCCTTCAGTTTATTTATTCTTAGTTTTTATTGTAGAGATGTTTCATGCTTTATTTTCAGACTCTCCTTTTCAATCAGGACAGCATTTGAAAGGTTTTATGGTGCCTCTAAGGGGTGTATGTAGGAACTGGATCTTTTTTGAACTCTGGGTAGTTAGTTTCAGTTTAGTGAGTTTTTAGGTATGTTTTTCTGTCTTCACAGAAATGTTTCTTTTCCTTCCTATTTGATAACAGATTGACAAGAATCAGTTTTGAACAGAGACTGTTTTTTCCTCTCACCATTGTATTAATTGCAGCACAGACTTGTTATGTTCTGAGTTTCTTGTCTTTTCTGGTAGGGAAAAAGTCATTTACAAAGATCAGACAACCTTCATATCAAATCCCTTGCCCATAATAGAATCTATAATTTACTTGAAAATCAGCGTTTACCACAATCTAAAATTTACTACCACAAGAATCATGTGCTTCATTCAGTTTCTGTAACTCTAAAGTGATTTTTACAAATATCTTTTCTAATGGGTTTTTTAGAGGGTAGAACTTTGTAACACTGCTTAGTGTTTCTGTGTAAGGGCAGACAGGAAGAATAGAGAATGTTTTTTTGAAGAAGTCAAATGTTGCATGGTGTAAAGAAAAAAACTTAAATGAGATAGATTGTCCTGAACCACACTGGTAACTACTTCATTAAGGAAGTTTTAGTAAGATGCCTCTGTTACCTTATTTCGGTGTACATTGGTTTTACATGGTTTTCTAGTATCTACTAACAGAATTGTATTGCTTTAGGCAAAAGCCATAGCAAAAAGTCAGGAAAGCAGACGTAGGTACAATATAAGCTTAAAAATGGATTGTAAAATTTGAAACAGTTCAGTATATATACAAACTTGGGAAATAGTGGATGCATAATACTTTTAACAAGTCATACATCTGTAGATTTATCTTCAGTTGATTCTCTGGGGGTGTTAGGTAATTTTCCTATTATAAGTGATACATTGGTTGGGTCACTTAATAGAAATAATGGTGTCTTTTGAGAACTTCTTATGTGTCGGGCAATGTGCTGAGCACTCATATAGATAAACCATTGAATCCACACAACAACCCAAGATGTGTAAAATCTACATCAAGTATTGAAGTAGGAATATTTCATTATGAATGAATAGATTATACTATCTGAATCAAGATTGTGTTCAAATAAGTAATTACTTAAATCATACAGTTTATACTCCTTTAAAAAAGCAATATGGAACAAGCAAGGGTTTGGGGTTTTTTTTTTGACTATATGGAAATGCTAATTGCTGTTTGCAGTGTAATGTTTAATATTTGAAGTTGCATTTTCCAAAATATTTGCAGTAAAGACTGAACAGACATTTTTATTTTGCTGTCTATAGAAAAATATTTTATTATTTCACTGTGTTTTGTGTGGTCTTTACTACAAAATCACTTGTTTGCCATTTACTGACAAAACTTTAAACAATACTTGATGCTAGCTAGGTCTTTACTCTCTGCCTCTAGAACCTATTTATCTTGGGTAGTAGGCTTCATTAACCTTGCTACTATATTTTCACGTTGAGATTTTTGTGGATTAATATGTAAAATGGAAACATAATATGCTGTCACTTCTGTAAAATGCAATAAATACTGGTATTTAAACCCCAATTGGCAACATTGACATCTGAAAATACTGTCAAACCAGCAAAGGTAACACTTTATGACTAGCATACCCCATTAAATATATTATTTTTTGAAGTGGTGTTGGAGATTTGGGAAAATTATCAAATGTTGCATGAAGGTGCTAGAGAGATTATTTGTGCTTACTGCTGCATGAGTTTCATACCAGATAGTGACAGCAAACATGCTTCTGCTGTTGTTTGTATAGTAAGTTACCTTTTTATTTATGAAATTAAAAGCAATTTTACTTACATTTCCATTGGAAAGCTTATTTTTTGATGAATATTTTTATGTTTGCTAAGCCATTGACTTAATACAGTGTAAATTCTTATTCACAGTAAATGTTAAAACACATTTGTATCGTTGTTTGAGGCTCCGTGAGTTAATTGCATGTTTATCACTCCTTGACCAGTTTGGTTTCTACTTCTGTTTGTTGTACCTGTCACCTCATAATGTGAAAAATACGCTTTTTGATGGGCTTGTTAATGCCTGACAGCAGAACACATACTTGTGTACTGTGGTAAAGTACACTGAAAAGCTTATTAATGCTATACACGGGTCTGTAGGAAACTGTACTTTGCAAACTTTTGAGGTTACATTTTCATTACTGTATCAACATACTCAGAAATTAAAACTTTAGAAGTAGTTCCTTATTTTCCAGAGTTTAATTCCAGTGCTTCAGAAAATACTGTATTTCTAATCTCTTAACGTGTATAAAACTTGCAGTGTCATTTGGGTTATCATGACTTTGGGTCTAAAAACTCTTTTACTTGACGTTTGAGTAATTAGCTTACAACTTAAATTTTCATTTAAAAATATTAGATCACCCAGTGTCTTCAGTTTTATTTCTGTAATGCAGAGCTTCTCAAGTAGCTTGCCTTATGCTGTTCATTGCAGCCTTCTGTGTGGTGAGCCCACAGGCTGGTCACCTCCATAGTTTCAAACAAAATTTTCTGTCTCACCTGCCATGAGGTAGAAAAAGTTGGGAAACATCCGGGTGAGACAGGCTTATATGTAAATGAGCGCTTACATGTTGTCATGTTGAATTTAAAGATGACAAAAATCTTCCAGGTAATACTCAGTAATTCTCAAGGAGCAGAAGGATTTACTTCTACATGTGCGTATTCACATTTCACATTTTCCCTCACTGTCCTGCTGCACACACACCCTAAACCAGTCAGCGAATGGAGTGGGCCAGTTTCCTCTAAAGCCTGTGTCTGAGGCTGAGCAGAGGTTAGACCTTTACACAATTTCAGGAAAAGAGAAAGGTGGAAGCAGGGTACCAGCAGTGTCTAGGCATACAATGCCAGTTAGCTCTTGTGTAAATTACCCAGCACTGACCGGTTCTCTAATTCATTTTAACATGGTCCGTTTGAAAACCTTGTCGGTATAAATGAAAACTGAAAGCACTCTAGCAAATGTTAGGTTATTATACCTTCAAGTTTAATGCCAGGATGTAGAACTAATGGGTGATCTTAATACAGGTTACAGTAAAATTAGTGTACAGAGGTAATGAGAAGATATATTGAATGAATAGTTTAAAAGCAGGAAATACAATGAGTTTATACTTATTTTCCAATCTATAGTACCTTGGCCATCCATTAAAATTACAAACATGGTTCATTCATTGAATGTTGCATTAGGACATTGTAGGGGCAGAAAGTACAGCAGCAAACATAGGGGAAAGCCTCTCCTATTTTGCCCAGGATTGGCAGGAAGGAAGGGGAAGTGGGAAGCAAGATGAATGAGATGAGTATATGTTTGATGTTGATAAAGAGAAAAAAAGTGTCAACAGTGAGTGGTGGAGGAGGGAATGTGTGAAGGAATGGAAAGTTGCCTTGAAAGAGATGGAAGAGGAGGAGAATAGTACAGGTGGTTGGAGTAAAAGTCCTGAAGCAAACAAGTGGACAAAGTCTAAGGGAAAAGAGAATAGTGGGCAGAGCAGCCAGCACCAAGGTCCCTGTGGGGAGAGTGTGACTGGAGTGACGGGAGATAAGTTAGAAGACAGCCTTGTAGGCCATCATGAGAACTTTGGCTTTTACTCTGGTGACCCACTGGAGTCACATGATTAAAACTGAACAACTCTGACTTCCTTTTAAGTATATACTGTAGGAGGCCTAAGGAGACCATTGCAGTAATAGGTCAGAAGTGATGGCTTATACCAGAGTTGTAGCAGAGGAGTGGTGAGGAGTATTAGGATTCTGCAAATATCCTAGAGAATTTCCTGGAAGATTTAATGTGAGGTGCGATTAAAGAAATATCAAGAATGACTAAACTTTTTGGCCTGAGCAACTGAAAGAACAGTTGCCATTAATTGAGATGGCAAGACTGCCAAAGTAGATGTGAATTCATGGGGGGGAGGTGTTTAATACCAAAGCATGAGCAAAGATTTAGATAATTCAGGATTGGGAGGTCTATTAGATATACAAGAAGAGATGTCAAGTAGGTAATTCGATCTGTGAATTACATCCAGAGAAAAAGCCTGGCCAGGAGAACAGAAATGCCGGAGTCATCTGTGTGTACAGTACTTAAGCCACAAGGCCAAAGGACTTTAACTCAAACAGGCTGTCCTCCCCATCCACCTCTTTCAAAGCAACTTTCCACTCCCTTCACACCCACCCTCCACCACCACTCAATCTTATCTCCAGGTCTGTTTTTCTCCTTGGTACTTAAAACATCACACATGAAATCGAGAGGTTGGACAGAGACACAGCCTGCTAATTATATTACATCCTTAGGAACTATCCTCAATAACCTAGATTTGGGATTTTTAAAAAACAAAAGGTAAAGGCACAACAAACTTGTTTAGAAGCTTGATGCAGGGAGTATTTGGTCCACTGAAAGATCACTTACAAACGTCAATATTTAGGAATTGGTGCAAAGTTAGCAGTGCTGCCAAGGATTTTGCAAATGAAAATAAGATTCTAAACTGCTCACTATTGAGCCTAAATAGCATATTTTAAAATGCCCATTAGATGGCAGAAAAACATTCATGAAATCAACTGTGAGCTAAATTTCTGCCTGGTCCCCCGTTCAACCTCCCTGAGAGCCCTCTGAATTAAAAGATGAGCATGTCTATTTAATACACACCACTATTATGAAGAACAGAGACTAGTATTTTCTTCAGAGAGCCCACAGGCATCATTAGCCTGTAATAATTAGAGGGTAAGCCTTTTCAGGAATAAGTCAGGTGTTTGGGGGACTGCACATGGATGTATGTTTTATTTGGTTGGGAAATGTATGAGTTTGGATGGTTTTGAGTAAGTTGAATATGAGACTATTAAACCTTATTTAAAATTTTTGATATTTAACTTTTTAGCTTGAGGTAGGACAGAAGAGGGTTGCTCAAAAAGTAAAAAGCAAGAAACCTTTCTGGAAAATAATACATTAAGTGTCTTAGAACTAGCTTGATGTTTGAGCTTTCTGCAATACAGCCAAGTCACCGCATCACACAAGTCTTTCTGTTTTAACTTGGAAATAACTTTGTCCCCACTCTCGTGCCTGCAAGTTAGAATCACCTAGACAGTCTCCCAAAATTCTAATGTATGTGTCCCACACCCCAAAGATGGTGATTTAAGTGGTCAGGGATGTAGCCTATGTTTGGGACTTTTTTAAAACCTCCAAGATGATTCTAATATGAAGAAAAGTTTGAGTCACTGGGTTTAATTAATGCAGACCAAGTAAATACAGCAGACCTTCCCACAACTCAAACATGCCCCACCCTGTAAGACAAACACAAGAGCACACTTCCACGTCAGCATCCTTTAGAGCTCTGTTTGGCCTCAGCCTAGTTCAGTTAATTTATGGAGCAAGTAACACCAAATGTAACTAATTAAAGCAATGAAAGAAAAATACAGAATGATTATGTGAGTTGCTTTTTGGAAATTTTTTGGGTTTTGTTTGATCATAGGTGTAGAATGTATTTCTCATGGCATTGATAATATTTACTTTTAATACTAATATGTTTAGCATACTAGTTGGTGTTAAATAACAAGTTAAAAATTTGGTTTTGTTTGTTTGCTGCTCTTTGGCATTAGAAACAATGGTAACAACTCTTCCTGCTTCATACCAGAGGCTCTTCTGTCAGGAAAAATAGCTGTATTAATTGCCTCTTCAGCGATCTCTGAAGGGGCTGGTGTCATATCACCTTGATCTGAAAGATAAATTTAACCTTTGGGGATTACACCTCACTCAACAATAGCATAAACTCAGTATTGGACCCATACATAATATTAGTGGTTTGTTTATACAGACATAAGCATATGTATATAGGTATATGTATGAGTGTGCGTTCAGCCATGATTGTATTGGCCTGAAGCATTCAATTTCCAGTCTTCATTTTAATAGATGGCTGATAATCTATTTACATTTATTATGATTACTGATTTATTTGGAATTATTGCTATAGAGTTTTACTAGCAATAACTGATTAAGCTTTTTCTTTGGTCTGTCTCCTCTTTCTGGCTTTCTATGGGGGTGGTTTTTTGTTTTTTCTTTCTACAAGTTTTGAAACTGTACATACCAATTCCATAATTTTTCTAGTTACCTTTAAATTGCTAACATGTATACTTAACCTATCCTATTCAACTTATTCCTAAACAATGCCTAGAAGAAATCAACTCCTCATAGTTTTTGTTATTGTCTAATAATTAATACTGCTTTGTCTTTATACCATTCTGAAATAGTGTAATTATGAATCAGTACTGCTAGGTGTGGTGGCTCAAGCCTATTTATCTAGCTACTTGGGAGGCAGAGATCGGGAAGATTTCAGTTCAAGGCCTACCTGAGCAAAAAGTTCAAGAGACCCATCTCATCCAATGGCTGGGTATGGTGGCATGTACCTGTCATCCCAAGTACATGGAGAAGCACAAATAGGAGATCCATAGTGCAGGCCAGGCATAGAGACCCATAAAAAAGGGCTGGTGGAGTGAAAGAGTGAAAGAATCTGCCTAGCAAGCACAAGGCCTTGATTTCAACCCCAGTACCAGCACCAAAAAAAAAAAATCAATATTTATTAAGAATTATCTGCCTATTGCTAATTAATTCACTTCTGTTTCTTGCATCTTGCTTTTACTTCTCTGGATCCAGTTTCCTTCTTGTTGACATACAACTTACTTTAATAATCTTTCAGTAAAGATGGCTAATAAGAATGAATGGCTCTACCTTTACAGATCTGAAAATACCACTTTTCTCCCAATTATTGTTTAGCAAGGTATTGAATTCTTTTGGACAATAATCCATTGTCTTCTTTTTTCTATTGTTGCCTAATCATTATGCCTTTCTGAGTAATCTTTTTTTCTCTATTATAAACCTTAAATTTTCCTATAATTTTCACAGTCTACATTTGCTTTCATGCCTATTTCTCTCTCAACAATCTATGCTTTTCACATTTGAAGACTTGCATCTTCAGCTGTGGAAAATTCAAAGCTATTACCTCTTACACATTACCTACCCCATTTTTCTATTCTCATCCTTGGTAAACTCAAAACTCCTATTGGACACACGTTGAACTTTCTTGTGTATACTTTACATCTCATACACTGCCTTCATGTTAAGCAGAGGTAGGTGTTTATGCTGTGTTCTGAGAGATTCCTCAGATTTTTTCACTATGTTTAATCTACATTCATTCAACCTATCTTATGTTGACTATATCTTTCTAGAACTTCAGTGTACTGTTTCAAATCAATCCTTTATCTTTTAAAATATATTAGACATAGACATAATTGGTTTTGAAATTTCCTGTTATCCTGTTGTTCCTAATTCTTGGATGAGGACTGTTACAGTTTAGATCTTGAATGT